AGTAGCCAGGATGGAGGCCCACTCGTCGTTATTTGCTGGAGCAGCATGCTCGAGAAGGTCACCTACAAGGGAGAGAGACTTGAGCTGTGATTCCAAAGACATTTGAATGATGGATTGGGTTTGGAAGGGGTTGTTGTTGTTGTAGTTTGGTGTATGGAATGATGGTGGTGAAAAAAGAAAAAAAAAGGGTGGCTGGAGAGTCTTTTTTATGGCGTGGGGAATCCGAAGAATTTATTGTGTGTGTGTGTTTATGGTAGTGGAGGTTTTTTTTTTTTTTTTTTTTTTTTAGTGTGTAAGGCAGCAGCGCTCGAAATTTTTTCAGTGGTGACTCTTAAAAAAAAAAAGATGGAGCTGTTGATGTAACACATTATGTAACAGATTACATTTGTGTAACAAATATATATATATTTTTTTGAGGCTCCGACACAGGGGGGGTCTTAAAGATAAGGGGTATGTGGAATACTCTAATAAACAGTATATTTCAGTCTTTTTTTTTTAAAAATTTTTTAATTTTTTTTCCATATCTAAGCACGTGATTATTTAAGATATTGATCTGTTACATTTTCTGTTACAAAATAATGTTAAAATCCAAATCTCCTTTCAGTCACTTAAAAATACAAATCAGTCACAGCTGGTTTTCCCGCCGTATAAAAAAACGGCCGATTCCCGCCTAAAAATTCTCTTTTTTTTTTTTTTTTTTTCACCACCAACCACCTTTCAAATTCCATCCATCAAACCCTCTCCTCTCCCCTCCCTCCTCCATCCATCCAAATCTAATTCATCCTCACCAATGTCTGAACTTGAACAGAAAGTCGCTGAGGTCTCTTTGACCGATGGCCCTACTCTTTACGTTAATGACTCTACCGGTATCGACGAGTCTTCTGCCAATGGATCTCAGGAAAAGCCCTACAAGACTCCCGCCTACGCCCTCTTTGTGGCTCCCAATGCTTCGATTATTGTCTTCAAGGATGATTCCTATGAGCCAATCTCTCCCTCTGCTCTCAAGAAGGCCAAGAAGGGTGCCGATGGTCTTGTGAAGAAGGCTGAAAAGGCCAAGAAGCTCGAGGAACAGCAGGCTGCTCGCGAAGCTGAGGAACAAAAGAAAATTGAAGCCTCAAAGGCTATTGTCATTGAGCAAGACAAGTCTCTCCCTGAGGCCCTCAAAATTAAGATCAAGGATTCCACCGAGAACCGTGGCAAGCGTATCAAGGTTTCCGGCTGGATCCACCGCTTCAGACCTCAGAAGGGTGTCGCCTTTATTGTTCTCCGTGACGGTTCTGGTCTTCTCCAGGCTGTTCTTTCCGGCAACCTTGCCAATGCTTACCAGACTTCCACTCTCACTCGTGAATCCACTGTTACCCTTTACGGTGTCATTTCTCCTGTCCCCGAGGGTCAGAGCGCCCCCAATGGCCATGAACTCGCCGTTGACTACTACGAAATTGTTGGTCTTGCTCCCTCTGGTGACGAGGCCTTTTCCAACAGAATCCAGGAAAATGCTGACCCCTCCATTCTTCTCGATCAGCGCCACCTTACTCTCCGTGGTGATACTCTTTCTGCCGTCATGAAGGTTCGTGCTGGTTTGCTGCGTGCAATTCGCGATGTTTACTACGAGGAGAACCTCACCGAAGTTACCCCTCCATGCATTGTCCAAACTCAAGTCGAAGGTGGCTCCACTCTCTTTGGCCTCAAGTACTATGGTGAAGACGCCTATCTCACTCAGTCATCCCAGCTTTACCTCGAAACCTGTGTCCCAGCTCTTGGTGACGTTTACTGCATCCAGGAGTCTTTCCGTGCTGAAAAGTCCCACACCCGCCGCCATCTTTCTGAGTATACCCATATTGAGGCTGAACTTGGTTTCCTTACTTTTGATGATATGCTTGACCACATTGAGCGCGTCATTTGCGGTACCATTGACAAGCTTCTTGCCGATCCCACCATTTCAGCTCTCATCAAGGAGCTTAACCCTAACTTTGAGGCCCCCAGCCGCCCCTTTATGCGCATGAAGTATGAGGATGCTCTTGTCTGGCTCAATGAGCACGAGATCCCCAACGAGGAAGGTGAAAAGTTCAAGTTTGGCGATGATATTGCCGAGGCTGCTGAACGCAAGATGACTGATACAATTGGTGTTCCCATTTTCCTCACCCAGTTCCCTGTCGAGATCAAGTCCTTTTACATGAAGAAGGTCAAGAGTGACCCTAGAGTCACTGAATCGGTCGATGTCCTCATGCCTAACGTTGGTGAAATCACTGGTGGTTCCATGCGTATCGACAACACTGAGGAGCTTCTTGCTGGTTTCAAGCGTGAGGGCATTAACCCTGAACCTTATTACTGGTTCATTGATCAGCGCAAGTACGGCACTTTCCCCCATGGTGGCTACGGACTGGGCACTGAGCGTATTCTGGCTTGGCTGTGCAATCGTTACACTGTTCGCGAGTGCTCGCTTTACCCTAGATTTACCGGCCGTGCTAAGCCTTAAATGATGACGATAATGATGATAATGATGATTATGATAGAATATGATTATATTATTTTGGAGATGATTCTTTTAATTTTAAAAAAAACAAAAAAGGAAGTAATTTGAATAAAAGTTTGTATTTTTATAAAGTTTTTTTTTTTTTAAATTTTTAAATATTCAAAATGTCGAATAACGATTATTGGATTAACAAGTGTTCATTATAGGGGGGACCTCCCTATTAAAGTACTGCCACATGTGTAACAACAACAACAACAACAACAACAAACACAAAAAAAAGGCTCACCAAAAAATTTTAAAACTCCTCCTGTCTTTACTAACAAAAAAAAAAGGTAGAAACTTCATCCTTTTTATATTTAAAAAACCCGCCACTACCACCACAACCACAACCGAAACTACTTTCTTTAACATCCTTCCACCCCATTTTTTTTTTAATACCCATCTACTAATGTCTAACCGATACTCCATCGATGAGCCCGTTCTGGGTGACGATGATATCGAAGAGGACATTGTCCTGGGATCGTTTCACCCAACCGAAAGAGATCGTGATCTGTTACGAGCAGACGAGGAGATTGTCAACTCACTACAGAAAAAGTCGTCAAAGTTTTATAAAAGCAACCACAACAATGACGATGATGACGATGATGATGATGATGACGACTACGACGATAACAATACCAGTAGCCGACCGTCTCGGTTTTTTTCCGGCAAGAGTTTACTAAAAAAATACAAGAAACTGGCATCCGAATCTACAGCATCTAAAAAAAAGGTCGGCTTTGCATCGGATGTCGTTGATAAACCAAGCAGCAATAACGGTAGATATACCAAGCTAGAGGATTACGATACCCCAACAGCTATTGGGGATGCAGCGGAGCATGGCAACTTCAACGACTCATCAGACTCAGACGACTTTGACAGCGATATTGAAATTGATATCCGCGAGGGCCTGTCACGGGCCGAGTTGCGCAAACGCACCCGCAAAGTTCACGGCATTGTGCTTGTTTTTGCTGGCTTTATCATTTTGTGGTTACTTTACAATCACTCGTTCCCATTCCATTCAGGTCATGGCACTGGCTCCGGTTCCGACGGCCAAGAGGGCTGGGCCCCACGCACAGTCACAAATAACGGTACACACGATTTCAAACCAACGACTCTTGTGGTTTCTCTTGACGGGTTCCATCCCCACTACGTTTCAGAGTCTCTTACTCCGCATCTACATACTCTCATGACCCGAGGTGGCGGTGCTCCTTACATGATCCCATCCTTCCCCTCGTCCACTTTCCCTAACCACTTCAGCATGGTTACTGGTAAGTACCCGGCCAATCACGGAATCGTGGGCAATACTTTTTGGGATGACAAACTGCAAAAGCAGTTCTTCAACACCAACCCCTCAGAAAGCTTGGAGCGAGTGTGGTGGGCCGCACAACCCGTTTGGGTCACAGCTCCACTCCAAGGAGTACGCACCGCAGTCCACATGTGGCCAGGCTCTGAGTCGGAGTGGAACGAGGTTACAGCTAGTGGGCTTTTTGAGTACGATCGATATAATGGATCGGAGATTTTGGAAAACAAAGTCCAGCGTGTTTTCACATGGATCGACCGCGAGATGGAAACTCGTCCAGAACTCATTTTAACCTACGTGCCGACCGTTGACACGGCCGGCCACAAATATGGCATTTCCGGTGATGGTCTGATTGAGGCGCTCAAACAAGTCGATTCACTTGTTGGGGAGTTAGTGTCGGGGCTAGCAAGCCGTAATCTGACTGAGATTGTAAACCTTGTTGTTGTTTCAGACCACGGCATGGCCCCCACATCCAATGAACGGCTCATTTACCTCGACGATCTCGTCGAAATTGATAATATCGAACATATTGACGGGTGGCCACTTATAGGCCTGCGACCCAAAACTTCCCTCAACCTCAATAACTTGTATCAAAACCTCAAGGAGGCCCAGTCCCTATATGGAGAGGACAAATGGGACGTGTACCTGCGTGAAGATATCCCGCCCGAGTGGCGGTTTGGTGGTAAGTCCAACAACAAATTCAAAAGCCGGATTGCTCCCCTGTGGCTAGTTCCCAAGGTCGGCTGGTCTTTTACCACAAAAGACCAAATGGAGAAGTTAAACGGCGTGTACAAGCCTTTGGGAGTGCACGGATACAACAATACTGAGGTCTTGATGCGGGCGCTATTTCTTGCCCAGGGCCCCTACTTTGCAGCGCAAGAGTATTTGCGACCATTTGAAAACATTGGTCTTTACAACATAATGTGCTGGTCACTTGGAATTAAGCCCGTGGCCAACGATGCACCTGAAAAGGTTCGCGACTTGCTAGCCGCTTTACCGGAAAACTGGACCGATGGTATTGTGTATCCAGGTGTTGCATTCTCTGCAGAGATTTTGCAGGTCAACTCGACATATGACTCGTTATTTGGTGAGGGCCAAGCCAGGTACGAGGTCCAAAAAGTAGAGGGAAAGGTGGAGAAGCCTGATGTTGCGGAGGAGCCTGCACCCGCGCCAACCCCTGAGGCTGCAGATGAGAATCCTGAAGAAGATAATATGGTGGCTACAGATGCGGTCCAGGATGATTTTGAAGATGGTAATGATGATGATGAAGATGATGGTGATAATAATAATGACAACCCCCCGACAAGTGGATCAACACTCAAGGATTGGTACGAATATTTCAAGGGCAAGGCTCAGGATGCTAAAACCTGGATGGGCACCAAAATTGATCATTTGACTGGATCAAAGGGACAAAGTGATAATTAAAACTGACGGTTTACCTTTTTTTTTTTTGGTCCTTGTATAATGTTTTTTATTTCATTTCCCCATTTTTTTTTTATTTTTTTCTCATTAAATTATAAACGGTTATATAGCAATCAATCAAAAATAAGTAGTTCATCAAACTCTACAGCTTTGCTTTCTTTGTAGAAGCCATCCAGCCAAACTCAAGCTTCTTGTCTTTGCCGACATCAATGATAATATTAAGTACAGATGTTTCAGTAGGATGAGCCAGGGCATCTTCAAATGCAGTCTGTACTTCATCTAGCGTGTGAACAAGGTACCCACGCGCACCAAGCGACTCTGCTAGAAGATGATATTTTGTTTCAAGCTGCAGGGCCGTCGAAGGGAGTGGTTTAGCGTCCAAAGTTTCATAGAGCTTGGGATCAACGCCATGGTACACGCCGGAATTATTCATAACTATAATAATCACGGGCAACCGCGAACGCACGGCCGTCTCGACTTCAATGGCACTAAAGCCAAAAGCTGAGTCGCCCTCAATGGCAACCACCAAACTCGCCGGATCTGCAGCCTTGGCAGCAATGGCGTAGCCCAGACCAACACCCATGGTCGCGTTGGTTCCGGCATCTAGGCGCGTACGCGGCTCCTGTAGCGGGAAACTCGACCGCGAAATATCCATTGTGTTTGCACCCTCAGACACATAAACAACGCGTTGTCCCGAGGTGGCAGTGTGCTGAGCAAGAGCTTCTCGAATCACTCGGTATACGGGCTGGTACTTAATAGGGAATGCCTGGTCAATGTCAGTACGTGCAGCCTTGGCTGTGTTGCGAGCCTTGATTGTTTCCAGGTGGGTCGGGAGAGCAGCTTGCACAAGTGCCGGTGGTTGCACTTGTTGAAACCCAGCAAGAAGTTGTTCGGCAACAAGTCCGACGTCTCCCACAATTGCGAGTTCGGGCTGGGCAGCGTTATTGCCAAGCTCATCGCCGGCCAAGTCCACCTGAATGAACTGAACATCTGTATGATACTTGGGGGGTTCACCATAATGCAAGATCCAGTTGAGTCGTGCGCCTAGTAACAAAACCACATCTGCAGATTTAAGAGCAGCCGAGCGAGCAGCCGATACATTCAATACAGAATCGTCCGGAATAACGCCCTTCCCCATGGGTGTGGGCAGAAATGGCACCTGAAGGTATGTGTGGAGTGCGCGGATAGCATTTTCGGCCCGCGCATATGCTGCACCCTTGCCAACAATGATAAGAGGCGATTTAGCAGTTCGAAGCAGAGCGATGGCCTGAGAAATACGGGCTGGGTCCCCAGAAGACTTCGGTGCGGGTCCTGGAGGTTTAATAAGAGGGATCTGAGAACGGTCTGCAGTGCCCTTGATGAAATCACCAGGAAGATCAATGTATGTAGGACCAGGCCGGCCAAAGTATGAAACACGGTAGGCTTGTTCTAGGAGCCCAGGAAGGGCCTCAAGGTTTGCAGGTCTTGCAGCAAGTTTAGTGTGCGGGGTCAGGTAAGCAACTTGGTCAAGTTCTTGGAATGCGCCCTTTTTTGTTTGGTGAGTTTCTGAGGATCCGGCCAGCAAAAGCAATGGCAGGTGATTTGCCGAAGCGTTCCCGACACCAGCAACGGCGTGCAAAACACCAGGGCCTCCAACAACTAGACACACACCAGGCTTACCAGTAAGATAACCGTATATGGAGGCAGCGTAAGAGGCAGCTTGTTCGTTGCGGAAAGATACAAATGTGATTCCTCTAGCAATACAAGCATCTGCAGCCTCAATGACGGGGATCCCGACAATGCCAAAGATGTGGGAAACACTGAGGGCGACCAGCGACTCAGCAATAAGCTCAGCGCCAGATAGAGTAGCAGACATATTGAGAAGATAGGGTATTGTGAGTGAGCAAAAAAAAAAAAAGGTTGATTGAAGTATGAAGTTGGATTTAAATAAATTTTAGGGTCCTAAATGGCGATGTCGAGCTCTTTTTATAGGTGAATTGCATGTTCCCACCCCACACACAGACTCACATAAGACCCGAGCCGTGCGGCGCAAATATGCCATTTTTTGCAGCAGCCACAATTTTTTGTGACAAAGCCGCCGCCACAATACAAAATACAACAATCGTTCAATAGTCACAGCCCGCAGACACAAACAACAATAACAACGATGACTCTAAAACAACCCTCGGCGGCCCGATGGCTGTTGATGTTGATGCTATTAGTATCACTAGTCTCGGCAAATAACGAATCGTTACGGTTCAGGCTTTCGGACGGCCAACTGCATGCCCATGCTCCTGTCCTTTTTGACGATGAGTCTCTTCGGCCCACAATTATCCCCATCCCTTCTGATATTGGGTTCAACACTTCGCGGTCAGGCCCTCATGACGACCGGCTCGTAGCACGGGTCTCTGCACCGTCTGTACATTCACGAGTCACGCATCACTATTACGTCCGTGCGATGGTCGGCTCATTATACGAAGCCCGCGTTTGCTGGCCCGCATCAGTCCCAGCCCAGTTTAGTATTGCGCTTAGAGATAATCACGACGGCAGCGCCATCCTCTCGGTAACATACTTACCCGACTATGTATCACAGGTGCCATCGCTCATGTTACATTCACCGCTTGAGGGTGCTTACGAAGTTATTGTCAACTTTGTTGTTCTCGAGATGCTTCCGCTTGACATTGCATGGATCCTAGTCACGATCCCAGCAGGCGCAATTATCGCCTATTTTCTATCATCAAAAGCAATTAGTTTTATTCTATAAGTTTCAAAAGTATATACGAGTAATTATTTACAAAAAAAAATTGTGGGTATTTCTTATCTTTTAATCTCTAGCAAACGCATGAGCCAGCCCAGCGTGGGAACCCAATAACTTCGCGAACATTTTCCTGGCCAGTCACAAAAGCAAGGAACCGTTCAAAGCCCATGCCGTAACCCCCATGAGGAAAACTGCCATGTTCGCGTAATTTGACATACCACTCGAGATCTGCAGGGTCCATACCCTTACGCTCCATAGCCAATTTGAGTCTTTCCAAGTCGTTTTCTCTCATGCTACCGCCTACAAGTTCGCCAATATCTGGAATAAGAAGGTCAAAGCACTTGACAGTTTGACGGCCTGCTTCAGGCTCGTTGAGTAACATATAAAAGGGTTTCTGGTCAACAGGGTAATCAGTGACAAAGACAGGGCGCTTGAAGTAAACACTAGCAAGGTATTTTTCATGGACAGAAGCAATAGAGTCGCCCCATTGAGGAGGGGCATTGGCAGGACCGCCAAAGCATGTTGGATCACGAGCATACTCCTTGGCCAAAATGTCGAGGGCTTCAGTGTAGGAAACACGAGGCCATGCTTCAGGAGAACCAGCAACAATTTCCCAACGTTCTCTAAGAGCTTCTTTGGCGTCAGGGTCACGCTTGACAGCTAGAAGGTCGCGTGCACAAAGTTGGCCTTCGACGTTATTTTCATCCAGCAATGGAGTAACTGCACTGCGTACCATGTTTTCCACAACATCCATGACCTGAGCCATTTCATTGACAAAGGCGATTTCGGCTTCAACAATCCAAAACTCACTTAAATGGCGGTTGGTATCGGAATCCTCAGCACGGAAAGCTGGAGCAATATTCCAAACACGGGAAAGCGCACCAGCAAAAACCTCAAGATGCAGTTGTGACGATACTGAGAGATAAGCCTTTTTATCTTGGCCAAAAAAAAGAGGGCCTTCTTTTCCGCCACTCAATTGAAACACTTCACCGCCTCCTTCGCAGTCAGAAGCTGTGATGAGGGGGGAAGAGACCTGGGTAAAACCGTTAGATGCAAAATAGTTGGAGAAAAAGGTAATGGCCTGAGAGCGGTATCGCAAAACTGCAGCGCCGGTATTTGTTTTCCAACGGTATTCTGGGATGGTTCGCAGAAACTCCTGAGTGTGAAATTTTTTCTGAAGTGGGTAATCTTTTGTGGCCGGGCCCAAGAGGTTGACTTTGTCTGCGGCAATTTCATAAACGGGGTTTGCTGGGTTGTCATTTTTTTTGGCAGGAGCACGTTGGACTGTACCGCTAACCTGAATACATGCACCGGTGAGCAGAGACTTGGCATCTTCTGGGGCAAGAACTACAGAGACCGGGACACCATAAGTACCGTCGGAGAGATCGGCAAAGGCAACGTTTTTGGATTTACGCACACTCTTGATCCAGCCGGAAAGAGTGACTCGGGAAGACTCTGGAGGTGGTGCTGTCAAAAACTGACGGTTGGTGAGCGGAAGCGTTGAAGTGTACCGGCGGCCCAAGGCCCTTATAGATTTGATCATTGGTGGGGTGGACTTATTAGGTTGGTTATTGAAGAAGATTTGGAAAGCTTCAATGGAGAGGTTTGGTGGTGGTGGTGATGAAACAGCAAAGCGGAAACAGGATCACTAGGCGTTCTTGGATATGCATACGGACTGAGATTTACAGTTGATGAAACTGCCCTTCCTAAACCAGCATTGTTTTTTATTTTTTTTATTTTTTTTATTTTTTTATTTTGCTGTTTGCCTCCCTTGCAAGTTTTTATTTCTTTTTAAATTTTTAAATGATTTGAAAGATTGAGTGAACTTGTTTGGAAATCATTTTTTTTTTTTTTTTGAAATCTCTTATTTCACTTTTCTTCATTATTATTATTATTATTATTATTTTTGTTACGTTTCATACTATATAATCACCCATATAAACATTTGATTCTTTCACTCTAACAACTTTTTTTTTAATCTGCTCCATCAAACTAACCATGGAAGGTAAGCCATTTTATTTATTTTTTATTTATTTATTCTTTTTCATTCCAAACGAACAAAAGACTATGAAAAAGCCCATATTTCTAACTACCTGACTCGCAGAATCGTGGTTTGATATTAACCAGCCGCCGCGTGCCCAGCCGCCGCACCGTCCGCAGTTTCCTGCATCTACAAAAGTGGGCCGGGATCCCACCCTAATCGGTGCTGAAAACCCTGCAACCGAGTGTGATCCGTCAACAACAACAGCAACACATACTATTAATACCATGCATTCTGGTAGTACTAGTAATAGAAATTATAATTATAATTATAATTATAATAATAATAAAAGTGATAAAAGTGATAAAAGTGATAAAAGTGATAAAAGTGATAAAAGTGATAAAAGTGATAAAAGTGATAGCATCAACAAAAGTTCATTTTCACCTTCTGTTTCTCGTCAGTCTCACCTTCGATTTTCATCTGCAACTGCTAAAGCTACAGTCTATGTCGACGTCGACGAGGCCGATCTCTCAACTGAAAGTATTCTTTTACCCGCAGAACCTTACGGATCCACTAACCACCATTACGAGTATCCCGTTAACCCGCGTCCTAGAAGTTCACCAGATCCTTCAGCTCCATATAGAACCATATCTAGAAGCTCTTCTTCGTCTTCAGGCACCATCACGCCCCCGCGGTCACGCCCCACCCCACGGCTGTATTATGACCCCAACATTAATAATGACGACAACAACAAAAACAAGAATATCGTCATAAATACAAAAAACTATAACAACAACAACAACAACAACAACAATAATAATAATAATAATAATAATAATAATAATAATAACGATCCTAATAGCAACCATGAAAGCTCCCCCCATATTAGCTCCGGCCTAGAGTTGCCTCTTTCTTCCCAGTATCATCAAAACAATGGTAGTAATACCGTCTCTATCATTACTCCTACCACTACCACTACCACTACCACTATGGCATCTGCAGACGCTGATCTCCGCACTTCTCTCTCTTCAATCCTTAGACCACGACCAGCACGACTAGTGTCTGCACCTGCTAGTGCCCCTTCATCATCATCTCCTAAACTTCATTCTCCTACAAATGCGTCTCGGCCTCCGTCTTCTTCTTCATCTTTTTCGTCTGGCTCTTACCCAGCTGTGGTTTATTTTGACCAAACTGTGTCATCCATGCATCACCAACACAACCACAATTACTACTACGGCAACCACCATAACCACCAACCTCCACAAGACACACTGTTTCTCGTGTCTGAACGAGAAGTGGACCGCCGAGAACTAGCCCACTTTTACGGAGTGCATTCGACCGTTTCAATCACGAGCTCTGCAGAGTCGCTCCTGTCTTCTGGAAGTAGTGACGCCGATCCAAATAATGATAATGGTGGAGACTCTAAAAATGCCTCGGCAGATATTTCCTCTTCCTCCTCTGTTGCGCATACACCACCGCACCATCGACCGTCCCCGCAAAATAATAATCCCAACAACACTAAGAAGAAGAAAAGGCACCATGGAAAACATGATCGAATTAAACGGTCGTCTTCTGCATCTTCCTCATCTTCAAGACCTTTTGTAGATTTAACAACTGTATCTCTAGCGGCAGCAGGTCTGTCGCTGGTGGCGGGACTTTCTTTTAGTGCGGGCTACGCTTTGGGTCGACGTTCAACAGGTCACTTGACTGTTTCAGGGTGATAATTTTATAAAATCGTCGTATTTTACGATTTTATTTTTATTATTACTATAAAATTACAACCGTTTTTTTTTATTTCTTTCATTATATAGGATGGTTTGGGTGTTTTTATTTACTATTTTAACTTTTTTTTAACTTTTAATTTCAAACTAAAACGAGGATTTTCTTTTTTTTTTAATTACTCTTTCCAGTTCAAAAAAATAAAAAAAACAGTTTGTTAGAATATGTTGCATTATCCATATTCCATTATAAACCACAGTAGCCCCCTAAGTTGCTACATATCTTTCTCAGGTTTGCTCTCCACCACTCATTTCGTATATATTGCAAAAAAATTTCAAACCTCTTCATCACCACCATACACACACACACACACACACAAACACACAAATACACTCTTTCAAATGCTGATCCCGCATCCCGGCAGACCGTCAGTCCCGTGGCGGGCCCTTGCTTCATCTGTCCGGGTTCACCTTTTCTTTAGACCTTTTCATAATCATCGTCACAACTTCAATCATCATCATCATCATGTTTCTCCTGCACATGTCATTAGTCCATACCTCGAGACTCTACTCTACGATCCCTCCATTTCAATCACCTCAGACTCTCTTGCCGACCGCACGCTACCGCTCCAAAAAGCAATTATTCAATTCTGTTATACTCCAGAAAGTATCTCATCACGAACTTTGTTGACTAAATCTCTTTTGGCTACCAAATCCCAAATACCCGTAAACGCATTCGCAGAGCTCTTGGAAAATCTCTACTTTATAGTCATTAAAAGTTTTGTGGCCACTGGAAATACCCGCAAATGCATTTCAGTTCATGATTTCTTTTTCTCAAGTGACATATTTCCCAATATATCCCAGACTCAGTGGCTTGGATTTGTCAAAAGTATGCTTCGTTTCGCAGAAAATACAGACAATGAAAGTAATACCTCTATAAGTGAACCTAGTCACAGCATCGTTCAAGCATTATACCAAGTCCACTGTCGCTTTGGATGGAAAAACACATTTGAACAAACGGCCGCTTGGATGTATTTTGATGGGAAGATACCAGACTCTCAACTGGCCCGCATCAAACCTTCTCCCAAAGACTCGCAAGATATAAAACTCCCCATACAGGAATGGATTTGGCGATTATTTCTGGGTGGTGATCTCCCAACTTCTCCCTGGCAGCTCATATTTTTAGAACGACTCCTTGGCCCAAATTCAATTTCAACCTTAATATCTTTATCCTCTGAAGACTTTATTCGCATTAGTCCAACAGGCTTTCATTTGTATCGGCAACTCGTGCACAGCGTGCGCGCAGGCCAAAATGGTCCAGAAGGTACAAATACATTTATCTCAGCTCTCGAATCCTCCCAAACGTTGCATAAAATTGCAGAAGCTACACTTTCAATGCCCAGTCCTTTTGGGTTCCATGTTGCCGCCGCATTTACGCGAGCCATTCCCTCGCTTCCTCCATATTTCTGGTGCACAGTGCTCCTCAACAAGCAGATTAAAACTCAGCAGGTCCTGAATCTGTTTAAATCACTTAACAGAAGCATCCCAGAAAAAGTCAAAGAAACTCTTGTTTTCCGTGAATCTTCTTTAAATTCAGATTATAATAAAACATACAAGAGACTCTTCAATATTCCCCCAAACAAATCTGACACTGAACTGCTAAAATCTTACGCAAACACTGTTCGCGTATTGTGTAAAGAAACTCCAGAAATCGCCCACAAAATCATGCAGGACCCTATTGCATACAAAGTCCCGGAAATCGTCAAGGCATATCTCACAGGACTTCAAGAAACTAACCAGTACAATCGGCTGTGTCGGTATGTCGAAAGAACTCTTGCACCCAATGCCCAAATCCCTGCAATTTACCGACTCTTTTGGCCATATTATCTTCTCGCCCTTACCTTTGCCAAAAATCCAAAGTACCCGCGACAGGGAACCCGTTCAAGAGAAGCCCTACACTATCTCTTTGCCATTCTCGGCGCAAAGGCAAACATTAAAATGCGCACAAACGTCCGGCATTCCAAAGACGTGATGCCTCTTCCTCTCAAATCCCTTGCAACACTATTCCCCCTCAATGGTGTGCCACTTACTCAACCTTTGTTTGATCGTCTCGCGTACCGATTGCTAATCTATGGTCGCACCAATACCCATGCGGCCGGGAAAAAGCCGCTACTTCTCCCGTTAGCCCCGCTCCAACTCATCAAGCTTCTGCGACTCGCTTTCGCTGCCAAAACAAAGGCCTCACAACCAAAATATCAGCTCTCACCCTACCGCCTATACCAGTACCTTGACGGTCTGCTCTACGGGTCCATGGCTGTCCCTCGCAGCGATCTCATTACTTTTCTTACAAAACTCTGGGGGCTCTATCCGGCCGATGTAGCAGCATGGAAAACAACCCACCCAGGCACCCGGTTTGCCCACGAATATCTCTCAGCCCCCATAATCCATCATATTATCTACATTGGCATTCTCTTGTCCCCATCAAAACCTTGGTGGGTCCTCGCCATGATCCGCCAAGCTCTCCTCGATCTCCCAGAGTCTTCTCCGGTGTCGTTTGCCTCACACGGCCACCTCATTAAGGAAACAGTCGAGTCTGTGCTTGCCCGCATTTACACAGAACAACCTATCTACAATAAACATGCAATGTACCAGCGTGCTGCTGCTGCTGCTCGAGCTCGTGGTGTCACTTTTGTGCGTCCAGTATTTAACCACTACTATGAACAAATTCCTGGCCATGAACTCTACAAGGGCCATAGCGAACAGGCTGCTGATTCAACATCACACTCTCGCATTTACCAGCAACCACTTCTCGCCGGTCCTTTCCGCAACGCACGTTCTCACATTCTGTGCAGATTCCCCTCCGACGTTCTTTCAGATGCCCTTAACATGATTTGGGAAGGTGTCTCCATGAAGGAGGTCGACGCTGCGCTCATTCACAAAGGTATTCGCGTCTCACCAGCTACTGTGTATAGTATAACGCGTGCAACATCCACGCGCACCCCACGCAATCGGCGCTACAAGACTCTGGCCCTGAAGCGACTGGCACGCAAGTTGCGTATAAAAAAGGCGCGTCGACGTATTTACAACAATTACAATCACTAGAGAATTGGCGTTTTGTTGCAGAAAAAAAAGTTTTCAATTGTATATATGTACAAACCTCCTTTTACCGATGTAAAAATTCGTCATCCGTACTAATTTCATCGTCCGACAATAATCCATGATCTTCATCTGTCCTGTGCAGTGAATCCTGCATGGCATTGAGCAAACGTGCACGCGCTGCCCTGTGTCCCTGCGCGCCGTTACTATCTTCATCATCAAGCATTTCTAGGCTATGTTCGTCTGTGTCAAACATCTTGAGCAGCTGCCATACGTCCTTGCGTGTCAACAGGCCCTTGAGCTCGCCCTTATAGGTGAATAAAATGAATCGTAGACCCAGTTTCTCAAACATGGATACCGCCAACTGCAGACTGCTTTCCCACGAAAGTGTGATTGGGCGCAGTTCTGCAAATTGATATAGAGGAACTGCCGATGACACATCCGCTAACGTACCATCATAATCGATTGTGTGAGAATATTCCGAATCGTGTGCAACCATAGACGCTGGCGACGCATCTTGGTATGGTCTTTTGTTACGCTGCGATGGTGGCATAAAACTACATTGTGTGTTTGGTGCAGCATGTTCTCCCACACTATCCAGGGCTTTTTGTAACTCCGAGCGCATAATGTATCCCACAAGTGTCATATTCGAAGTTGATTTTGTAATGGGGAACCCCCGTGTTTGTGTTGAGGAAAGCATCTCGCGAAGCATGCCGAGTGTTGCTGTTCCATTAGCCGGAATTATAGTCAGGTCTTCGACTTTTGTCATGACGTTTTCCACAGTCACGTCTGGAATAGGTTGGTCGTCGTGGTTGTCTAAGAAAGGATACTCCATGAACTGGATCCAACTCTCGTAAATTCCCTTGTGATTAAAAGAATCTGAAACCCATTTGGACACCATTACACCGGTCATAATGGGAATAACATATGTCAGTGCACCTGTAAGCTCAAACATGATGACGACTGTCGAAACTGTTAAATGTGTCACACCACAAAGAGTTGATGCAGCACCAACAAGCGCATAAACACCTGGTGTAATACATGGGCCATCTGGAGGACACGCTTCAAAAAGGAAAAAGTCAGGGTGACGAATGTGCAGAGTGCTAACCAAGATTCCAATAGCGCGCCCAATAAGAGCACCATTAAGCATAGATGGCATAATAATTCCTGCGGGAATGTTCATGCCAAATGTATAAGCAGTTAAGAAAAACCCTTGAATACCAGCTCCGGTAAGAACAAAGTAGTCTGAGATCCAATAATCAACGTCACATAGATGGCCTAAGTCACTATGAGAGCACTCTTGAAATAAATATGATAAAGATAAAGATGAGGGGATGCGCGTAAAAACACTGGGATATGTCACTATACCAGTGACGAGAGCAACGAGCATAACTTCGATAACTGGGTATCTTGCGAAAAATGATTGTTTACGGCGCCATGTTGCAATCTTAATGTTTAAGCTATTGAATAAGGCGCCATAAAGGCCACCAATAATTCCAATAAGTGCAAATGGAACCAACTCAAATCGATGCCATAGCCGATCGTACACTACCTGGAAAAGAACAAGGTTGCCTGAACGAAAAGGATTGATAAATTGGAGCGTGACAGCAGCAACCATGGCTGCAACAAATGATGTCCATAGGGTTCGTTCCGGGAAGTAATAAGAAAGTTGTTCTAGAGAAAATAGCACGCCACCAATTGGAGATCCAAAAGCCACGGAAATTCCGGCAGATGCGGCGGCCACAAAAATTTCACGCTTCTTGGCTTCGTTGTGATAAAGCTGCGGGAACAGTGCCATAACTATATTGGCGCAACAACAAGAAACGTGAACTAAGGGGCCTTCTTTCCCAACCCAAAGACCCGCTCCAACCACGAGAATAAGGCCGATTGATTTGAATAAAAGGGTTTTGAAACCGAGCATCCCGCGAATGACAAACCCCGATAAAATGGTTTTTATTTCGGCAACACCACTAAATCTCGAATGGGGTGAATATGAGAGAACAAGAAAACATGCCGAAGTTGCAAAAACGATAGAATAAATTATGTAAAAAATGTAAGACATGGCAAAACTGCCAACGATATGGTTCTCAACATGGAACGCACGCTCCCATGTAATCCATTTAGGACACTCGTCTGTTAGGTCGATACCCGAGCAGCAAAAGTCGCGAGGAAGATAAAATGCATCTGAACAATACCCAAACTTGACGTCCGCAAGCCAGCGAGATACAATGTCGATAAAAGCGGCTACCAGAGCAGCAAAAGAGCCTGTTCCTAGCAATACAAGCCAGACATGACTAACATCCAGAAACCAGACCAATTTGCCATATAAACCTGGGAGATGTTCTACACGTTCTCGGCGGATGCGTTCTTTTGCGTACTCATACTGCCAGTCAATGGCAGACATGTCGTCGTACGAAAAATTTCTGTTGTTTTCAGAGTATGAAAAATCATTGTCGTCATAATAGTCGGGAGAGTGATCTCCTTGAGTTGTTGGTAGGTGAAATTTTCGGAGAGTATTTGCGATGTTCGAAAATGAAAAGGAAGATGTTGAAGATATACCCTGATGAGATTCCGGCCGGGTTGTTTCTTGAGAGGTGTGTGTATCGATGGGAAGATCATCGAGGTCAGATGCAGTGTCGTCAATTATATCAAAGTCATTGTTAGATGTGTTAAAAGCGGGCGATGAGGAGGCAGCTGATTCAGTAGAAAGCGGCATTATGGGGGGAAAGAGACAAAAGATCGATGAAAAAATGAATCAACGCAGCTTCAGAATTGGCATATTTCTTAAAGAATAAGAAGGGTTGGTTTCTTCCTTTGATTAGGGAATCGCGGCCGCGTGAGCAATGAATATTGATTGCTTGAAAGAAAGTGTAGTGTGTTTTGACCAAGTTGACGTGTATTTTTTTTGTAATTTTATCCGGCTTATATCAGCGATATATGGAGGATCAAAAGAACGTGTTGTAATACAGGTGGCAGTGAAGCCAAAAAGTGTGTAACTGTAACAAAATCTTCAAGGTGCTTATATGAGCTTATTTTGAATATATGAGTGAACTAAATTTGAAATGAAACTTTTAAAAAGGAAGAAAGATTACAAGTTTAGATTATCATGAAATATCTTATATAGAGGAGTTCATAGTAATAAATAACCTAAATAAAAGTTATTAAAGGTGTTTGATTATTTTTAAACATTTCTCTAAGGGAATTTACTTATATATATAACTATATAGTTATATGCTTACCAGTGGTACTTTAAGCTTACCTCTAAGAGGCAAGCCAAAGATAAATCTTTTTGATAGTATCATCAAAGCTTTATTTGTTTAAACTTTCAAGAAAAAAAAAATTAAAATTGAAGGAGCCATTTACAAGTGTAAAATTATTATAATATTATAATAAAGAAAAAACAATGTTATATTGATCTACAGGTCTAATTGACAATTTCTCATTTGTAGCTCTTATGGCGTGGCAAAAGGCATCATTCTACTGACAAATATCAAAATAAAAGGACAACCTATCCGCAATTGAATAAGTATTTAGCTGATCGAGACCTCCAGCTTAATGGGAGGTTGTTTTTTAGTGATTCATTAAGTTGAAAACTCCAACATTTGAAAAGTTTGTTTTCAATGTATATTAGCTTGTTAATTGTTAAACCCCGGTACTTTGCTTTTTTTATTTTTTTTTTTTGTGAATCTGCGTTCTCATCTACCTATATTTGATTCAGTCGTTGTATTTTATTAAGATCTTCAGCTAATCCATTAAACCCCTCATAGAGTCTTCCGCTTATTACTCAACGGATCTCCTAACAAATGACTCTTTCGAATGAATCTCACGCTTTAAGGATGTCCCTGTTTGCAGGTGTTAAGCTCAAAACAAGGACAATTTCAATTTCCGTATGCATTCATTTTTGAGCTTCATTCCCCTAACCCTCTGCCGATTTCTCTAAACTCCTCTTACGCCATCCTCCCCACCCTTAAACCAATTGATAATTATAAATACCGGCTAACTTCCTTTCTCCTAAAATTCAATTTCTTCCACCCAATATATTTTTTCTTTTTTTTTTTGTGTGCTATCTTTCTATTCTTTAAACCCCACATATACTACCATCTATAAACATTACAATGGCTTCCAATCCCCCTGCTAACTGCTGTGCTCAAGGCTTCAAGCACACTGGTGTCGCCTCCGGTAAAATTGTCGACTACGAAGGTATCAAGTACTACGTTACTGGTGATGAATCCTTGGCCTCTTCTAAGCTCCACCTCATACTCACCGATGTCATCGGCTACTCTTTTATCAACATCCAGCTCATTGCTGATGAGTACGCCAAGACTGGCTACTTTGTGGTCATTCCGGATCTCTTCAGTGATGACTCTGCCCCTCTGAACCCTCCTGCTACTTTCAACCTCTTTAACGACTGGTTCCCCAAGCACACTCCTGAAATTACCCAACCCATTGTTGATAAGGTCGTTGAATTGATCAGATCCAAGTGGAACCCTGAGTACCTTGTTGCCACTGGCTTCTGCTTTGGCGCCAAGTATGCCGTCAGACTACTTGGAGCCGGTAAGGTTCAGACAGTTGCCATCTTCCACCCATCATTTGTATCAATTGACGAGGTCAAGGCTATCAAGGGTCCCCTTTACATTGGTGCTTCCGAGGTCGATACCATTTTCCCTGCCAACCTCCGCCGTGATACTGAGGACGTGCTTAAGGAGATTGGTGCAAAGTACCGTCTTACTCTCAACCATGGCGTTGCCCATGGCTTCTCTGTTCGCGGTGATGTCAGTGATCCTTGGATTAAGTATGCTAAGGAACGTGTTTTTGCTGATGCTGTTGATTGGTTCCGCATTTCTTACGAAATTGAGTACAAGAAATAAGAATCTTTGGTGTGTTATATAAAGAAATATATTTGGTTTTAAGAATTGAGTGGCGATGAATGAAAAAATGGATGAACATCTAATATATATATATTAGATGTTAAAATAGCAATTATAAAAAAAATTTGTTAGTAAAAGCACTATCTGCAAATTCTTTAAGAATGGGTATGTTTTGCAATGTACGGATAATATGAAATTGAAAAGTTACTAAAACTCTTATACAAAAACAATAAAAAATAAAAACAATGGAGCCAAATGTATTATTTAAGTAATTCCATATATATATATATATATATTTGAATTAATAGCTCCTTTTCTTACGTTTTTCAATTCCACTTTTATTACATCTTCTAGAACATTTTGAGAGGTCATAACAATGTATCTTATCATCAGCGATGTTATTAGTAAATTTACCATAAAAGCAAAAATCATCACTTGGAATCAGAATATCTAATCATCTAAATCCTCTTTTGTTAAAAGAAAATAATTAGAAATCATAAATATTGTCTTTGTAACTCTCTTAATACTAAAAATTAAATCTTTAAATATATACATTGATGCAAATTCAGTAGACTAGTGCGATAATCAAGGGTTCATCTGTATTTAAACTCTTGCCTGTACAACATTTTTGTCACAAAAAGTTATTACAAATCCACCTTTTTCGCAACAATTGTCTTTACAAAATAAACTTGCATCAAATGACAACACCTTTTTTTTTTTATCTGAATTTTCAATACATTGGAATATATTCCAATAATAGCTATCTATTAAACTCCAAAAAGGTTAATAAAATCACGAAAAAAAAGTCACATTTGAATGCATCCAATATATATATGTTTTTTCTTTTTCTTTTTTTTTTTTTTTTTTTTTATAAATATATATCCCTGAATATTTACTTATAAGTAATCATATGATGGGATATTTCGTGTGGCTAACAAATCATTCGAGAACTTTTTAGGAATCTTGAAAGCATTATGCTAAGTTCTTCAATTGAATAAAAATTAATTTTTTTTTTTGACAGCCATTTCGTTTATTTTTTTAAACAACTTCTATCAACTAATTAGAATGTCATTCTTATAAGAATGACATTTTTATTCATTTTAAACATTTTGCTTGACATTTTGCACCGTTTTTAAATTAAAAGTTGGAACGAGAATCAACTGGTTTCTTATTAACGGTAGATCCTGATATATCCACTTAAAATTAAAATTAAAAATTAAAAAAAAAATTGTCAAATGTAATTCCACTTATTTATGAAAGTTAATTTTTTTTTTAAAAAAAAAACTGCTTTTTTAAAAACTCTAGAACCTTTTTGCAAAATATTTTAAACTTATCCAAATTTCCGGGTTTTTTGCCCATATGTCACTTGGCATAACCGTATTAATATGGTACAACATTGCGAAATGTTTTTGTTTCCCTTTATGTATACTATACTAAAAAAAGAATCATTTCCATTCTTGTTATGCATGCTGATATTTCTCATTTAAATAAAAATTTATTAGAAAGCATTTGTTTAATTTGCAAGGCTTAACAAAAATTTCAGCCAAACAGTTTGTTCATTTTTGGTTGAGAAGGAAAGACTGAGCGTTCTTTTGTCTCTCACCCCTCTCTAAAAAAAAAATAATATTTCATCTTTTATATCTAATTAGAGAAGATTTATAAGTCTAAAATTTATCTTCTTTTGCTGATCAGATAATTATCTAAACAAACAAACAAAAAAATAGGGACAAACAAACAAATATGCTGCAATGATTAAAAGAAAGAAATATAAAGAGAGAGAAAATCCTCTTTTTCCAATTTTTTATTTGGCTTAATAACGTTTTTTTTTTTTTTCATGCCCTATTAATTATCTTTAACTGAGGCACTTTTTCTAAGATATAGTTGATCATTCTGGCCTCTATTTTTTTTTCTAGTTTCTTCATTTTCCCATTTTGACCCCTTTTTTTTTTGTAAGTAACAACATTTAGATATGTGGAGATACTTCCAAGTTTAATATTAAATAATTTTTTTAGAAAACATACACAAGTTTAAAAAAAATCAAAAGCTCACTGTTTATTTCTCATAAAATCTTTCGGTAAGTCTCGCATATTTTAATCTTTTTTTTTGTATTTTTTGTATTTTTTGTATTTTTTTTTTTTTTTTTTTTTTTGGAATTTAACATCTTGTTAATAGAAATGAAAGGGCTATCAAGAATTCTGCTTCTGCTTTTGGGATCAGTTGCTTCTGCTCAAAATGAGGTTTTACGAAGATCTAATTCATGCGTTACTCATGTCAATGAGAGTTCTTGTCAAAATTATTTGAGTACTATCATGAGTGTTGATGACCAGCTTGGTGAATTCCCTTCTGATACTCTACGTTCTTATTTTCTAAGCTTGGGATTTATTTATGACTTTGTTTTTTGTGCTCTAGAATATAGTACAATAGAATCACAAGCAAGCCAAGCAGGACTTAATGAATTATTTACTGAAGCCGGATTATATCAGGACATAAGTTCACTCTCATTTTGTGAAGATGTGACCACGTCGGAATCTTCTAATTTTAATTTTGTTTCCGAAACTTCAATTTTTTCCTCTGAACCAACTACATCTCCAGTTTACAGTTCTGATATTCCATTTGAAGAACCGACAATTTCCTCTTCTTCGATCTATAGTTCTCAAATTTCCTCCAATGAATATTTTTATTCAAATTATAGTTCTTCCTTGGCTTTTGAAGAATCTACTTTCTCCACACCCATTGTAGAGTCAGCAACTGGAGTAGGGTCAGTTTTTTCTGCAAACACTGAAGAAACCTCAACACCGCCTTCTACAATCACTACTACTTCAACGCCCACTATTTGCGCACCAAATTACGACACCACTCAATGTTCAGAGGCATTGAGATCATTTATCGCTTATGTCTATCTGACTTCGGTGACAGCAACCCCTACTGCTGTAGTACAAATCCTCAAGCACAAACGTAATGTTCCAGACGTGTCACAATACTACCATTCTCCAGGAAATACTGCTCTTGCGGCTCTTCTCTATTGTTCCGCTTCTTATACCGACTTTGCTACTGTTTTTAACCAAGAGTTAGGTCGGGGCTTAAATGATGCTGAAGTTCCCTTTACACCTACAATTTCTTTATGCGATGGTCCTGCAACTCTTGTTGTTCCAACAACCACTACTGTTTTGTCTGAGTCTACTTCATCCGGAGATTTTTTAGAACCTACTTCAATTTACAGTTCATTAAGCTCTCCTGATACTGCACTCGAATCTACCACCCCAGAATACCAAAGCACTACTACTTCTGCGAAAGCAACAACTACTGTAGCTACAGATAGCACATGTCCCACCCTTGTTAGTGAAAATACTTGCCGCTCTTATTATACTCAGCTTTTGGCCAACACTCAGCTCTTCAATGGAATGACTCTTAGTCAGTTACAATTTTTTTTTAAAACTTCAGGTTTTTCTTACAGCTTTGTTGTATGTGCAGGAACTTACACAAATATTTACACCGAGGCTACCCAGAACGGGCTTTACAGATACTTTTCTTCAGCTGGTATATTAAGTACCCTTACAACCTGCTATTCTGCAGCATCTACGTCATCAACTGTAGTTCCAACAACTACTCAATTCATTGTTACAAATAGCTTATTGACAACAACAACTTCTATTCCCAAATCCACTTTTGAAGAAACAGTTCCCACCTTTACTTATATTTCTGACGAAACCACAAGCTTTTATAATAGTTTTATTTCTTCACAATCTGAACAGAACTCAGCTGTTCCTCAAACTTCAGTCATTGAGCCTATAACTATCACAACTGATTTGCCAACAACAATAAGCGTCGCTTCTCCTACAACCACTCATTATTGTGCTTCAGATTATAATGAGTCTGAATGCCTTAGTGCCTATACTTCTTTTATGTCAGTAGTTGAAGACTTAGGTGATGATCAATCTAGTTATCTAGCTTACCCTAGAAATTCTGAATTGCCTGCACTTCTTTGGTGTTCAATTGAATATAAGGCAATTGCAACTCAAATCAATGCTCCTGATGGACTTTTTGATCTTCTTTCTATGTATAGACTTCCTTTCACACCTAGTATTTATCAGTGCACAGAGTACGCAACTTATACAACTCATTCATCCAATAACCCCTCCACTTATACCTCAGAAGAAAATGAAAGCTCTTACAATAGTTTTATTTCAAAATCTTCTTCACAATCTGAACAGAACTCAGCTGTTCCTCAAACTTCAGTCATTGAACCTATCACAGTCACAACTGATTTGCCAACAACAATAAGCGTCGCTTCTCCTACAACCACTCATTATTGTGCTTCAGATTATAATGAGTCTGAATGCCTTAGTGCCTATACTTCTTTTATGTCAGTAGTTGAAGACTTAGGTGATGATCAATCTAGTTATCTAGCTTACCCTAGAAATTCTGAATTGCCTGCACTTCTTTGGTGTTCAATTGAATATAAGGCAATTGCAACTCAAATCAATGCTCCTGATGGACTTTTTGATCTTCTTTCTATGTATAGACTTCCTTTCACACCTAGTATTTATCAGTGCACAGAGTATACAACTTACTCATCTATTAGCTCCAAGAGCCACCAGTCATCAAATCCTTCACTGACTGGAAGTCCTACTGAGACTGGAATTCCTACTGAGACTGGAATCTCAGGGCCTACTTCAACTATTCAAACTGAGTCATCCATACAATCTGACTTTTTTTCTTCTGAAGTTTTACAATCTTCTTTCCAGGAAAGTAAAACTTTTGAGACAACTACTAATACCGCTATATCAACCTTGATATTTTCAACTTCTTCTAAGCCCATCACTTCAACTACATCCACATCCACATCCACAGCTTCTGTTTCTGCTATTCCTACAACCCCTCTTCAGTTTGATGCACTTGTGGATACTGTTTTCTCAAGAGCCCTTTCCTTGTTTCCTCAAAGCTCTACTAACCCCCTAGTCTCAACTCTTATCAATGAAATTTCTAGTGTTGTTATGAATGTTCTTGGCTCAGTTGCAAAAAGATTGATTTCATTTATTTTGAACTTTTTATCTTTGGGGATCAGAAAAAGAGACACTGAAAGTGATGTCATTTCTATTTTCACTGATTTCACCACTACCTTGAGCAACTGGTTGACTGAAAGTTCGTTCCAAGATTTCCTTGACAATCTTAAGAACCTTTCACAATTCTCTGACTCTGCTTCTATTCTTGCTAATATTTCTTCATCTGTTGGATCGACGTTTGATGCTATTAGGGAAGCTATTGCCATTTTATCTGCTACTTATCCTGATTTTGTTTCTGTTGCCAACAGCTTTACTGACATTTTTGATGAGTTTGTTTCTCAAGCCACTACAGCAATTGATAGTAGTGATAACTCTTTGATTTCATCGTATTTCTTGTCTTCTGATATTGAAACTTCAGCCTCTGGGTCTTTAACTGTTGAGTCTTCTTTTGAAATTTCTTCTGTTGACTATTCTAGATCTTTTATTAGCGAAGGTTTTTCATCAGAATCTGTTATTATTGAATCCTCAGTCTCTGAATCTTTTGCTAGCGGGGCTTCGTTTAAATCATCTGTGTTTGAGCCTTCGATTTCTGAGGCTTCAGTTTCTGAATCTTTGAATTCAAACTTTATTACCTCTACTTTTGTTAGTTCCGAATCGAAAGCTGTCTCAGAGTCATCCGCTGAAAATTCAAGTTCTTACGAACATTTGAGTTCTGAGGCTTCTTTCCCTGATTCATCTCTTGGATTTTCGTCTTTTGAAGGTGCTTTTACTACTCTTACAAATACCGTCACCAAGTACACTACTGTTACTTCAGTCGAGGGAACCAAAACTGTTACGTATACAGAGCCATGTGAAACAGACACTGAGACCGTCATCATTAAACCAGGAACCACTATCACTTTGACTCAGCATTGCTCTGCCTGCTCTACTAAAACGCTGACTTCTATTGAAGTTGCAACTTTGACATCAACTAAACCGGATAACGAGGTTGTTACTACAACCAAAACAAAAGAGGTGTCTGTTGTTGTTGAAGTTAGTACCCTTCCGGGGGCGTCTCTTATTACAGAGACGCATACTCTTTCTACCAACAGCGAAGGTCTAATTATTACTGTGACTGAGGCATGCAGCAAATGTGCCACTCACACCATTGTAGAGACTGGAGTCACTACAATTGTAGAAACTTCTGGAACGAACACTGTCACTATTACTGAGCCCTGTGAAAACACTTACACTGTTGTAGAGTCTCCTGTTGTTTTTGGAAAGTCTTCATTGACTGAAACTATAACTATCTCTAATGCACTTGAGACTACTGTCTTTGTGGGCTGCTCAAATTGCAAAACTAAGGTTAATACTGTTTCTGGATTGACCACCTATACTCAAATTTCTGGTGATACTACTGTCACAGTTACTGAACCGTGTGATATTGCATATACTGTTATTGAAAGCCCTGTTTCCACTGGTGGTTCAGTTTCCACTGTAATTTCTACCATTTTTAGTTCTTCTATTATTTCTGTTCCTGTGTCGACCATCGCTGAGACTTGCGAGTCTTGTAAGACTCATGTTACTGTTGCATCTAGTTCAACTACCTGGACCTCTATATCTGGCAGCTCCACTGTAACCATCACAGAACCTTGTGAAACAACATTTACAGTTGTTGAGTCTCCAGTTTCAAGTGCAGGAACTACTGAATACTCTACTATTACACTTATTTCTTCTCTAGTTAAGCCCACAGAATCGGTGATTTTTGAAACTGAGGCTTTGACTTACATTACTTCCTCTGGTACAAATGTGGTTAACTATCCAACTCAATTAGAAAGCTCTGTTGTTGTTTCAAGCAAGCAACTTGCATCCGCTATTTCTGTTGTTAAATCACCTAGTGAGATTTTCAGTTCTGTTTCAACTGCTTTGCCGTCTTCTGAAAATGAGTTAGGTACTTCATTGCTTTCTGCTTCCACATCCACATCCACATCCACATCCAACGTTTTACAAGTAAACCCAACACCAGAATTTACTAGCACAGTTGCTCAAGTGAATTCTGGTGTTTCAGTAAAGGTTGGAACTAGTCTTTCTGGCGCTTTATTTCTTTTTGCTATTTTCCTTTTTTGAAAGGCTGAATTTTTTGTAGAAACACACATAGATTTTTATTAATACGCCAATAACTGGTAAATATAATAACAATGTTTAATTACTTTGACTATCATTTTAACCTTCATTTTAAGTTAAACGATAGACTTGGCAAATAAAAAATTATTTAATTTAACTTCTACTTTGGTACTGAAATGTAATAATGAATTGGGGTTCTCCGTGTTGAACATTAAAAGTCTACACAATCCTGAAGAGCATAAACGACATACTGGATTGGTTTTCATAAGTAAAAACTAAAAATAATAGTCTGTTGTAACGACAATCCTTAAAAGAATATTTTTCTTTATCGTAGATAAAGGTTTGTCTAGGAAAAACAAAATTTAACGTCTTAAGAAGAACTTGGTTCTTCTGCATAAATTGACTTAAAGTTAATTTAATTATAATTTATGCGTCAGTAAACTTAAAATGTACTAAAGCCGTACCTGTCATATGTCAAATTTTACCAGATTTTTTTCCAATTAGTCCCAACCTCCATGATTCGCAACATTATTTTCAATAATTAAAAAAATAATTACCAAATTTTACTTGAAATGAGAAGTACGGGAATCGAACCCATGTCACTTGCTTGGAAGGCAAGTATGATAACCACTACACTAACTTCCCACTATATTGTATTTAAACTAAAAAAGAAATATTATTTGAGGTGATTTTTTAATCTAGCGGCTATTTTATGTGGCTAAATTATTTTTTATAACTCTTGAATAAAAACAAACAAATTATTTTTTGATTCCCAGAATACCCCCTTTTCCTGAGGATGTGTACGGGAGTATACACCTAGACTGAAAACCACAGGCTACCCTGGTTACAGGAATGCCGACTCTTCCGTACAGTCTAAATAGCCTGCAGGTGATTGCGGGCCGTATCTCTGGCGGAAGAGATTGAGAAATACATGGGCGCCGGTGAAGATAAGTGGAAATGGGTTGGGAAGGTTTTGGGATCGACAGACTGGTTCTCCCTGTTCCTCGTAAGCTGGCATCAGGGCCCATCTTCCGGGCTACCGGAGACGCATAGAACAGAAACCACCCGTACTAAAAAGGTACAAATGAAAACCGGCGAGTCACATAGTCAGACAATTAAAGGATAGCGCAGATGCTGATGTTATATAGTTCTATAACCTTTGAATAAAAACAAACAAACAAACTAAATTATTTTTTTGATGTGGATAAAAATTTCAAAATTTAAGCAAATTTTCATGTGGCTAATTTTTATAACTACAGATTTTTTACAACAACAGCAAAGACAACTAATTAGCTGGATTATTCCAATAGCCTGGCTAGCCACTTTTAAAGCGGTTGCCAATCCTACAAATGATTTTTGGAGACGGCGTAGCATGTTGCTAAACAGCAACATGTTATCTTATTTAATTCTCTGTACTTAAATGGGAGTTTTAATGAGTTCTCGTTATTTGAAAAGGGGAAATCTGCACCTAATGTGCTTATAAGCAGCACCCACCCCCTACTGACTATTTTCTTGCTTAAATGGAGATATTTGTAAAGACAACATGCAGACAGCTTTTTTAAAATAAGAAAAATATATTTACTAACCCAAATCGATTTAATTATTTGGAGGAAGGCGTTTTATCCATGTAGGCGACAAATCATGAAATATGATATTTAAAGATATAATAAATAGACTGTAGAATCTTCTCATCTCAATTATTTTTTTTTTGTTAATACCTTTTTTTTCTTTTTGTAAAAGTTCCTTTTATTTTAATTTATTTCGTTCCTCCATTTTTTTAAAGTAGTAGTATTCTAAGCTTATTAAAACAAAATAGCAAAACTAGTTTTTGTCAAAAAAAAAAAAAAAAAAAAAGAAATAGATTAAACTCGATCGGTACCAACGATATCCTTAAGTAACTAAACTTGTTTTCATTAAATTAAAATAGGATTCCAGTAAGTATTCTTTAAATCCACGGGTTTATCGAATCTTTTTAACACCGATTTAAGCATATAAAATTTCAGGAAAGGTAATTTTCAAATTCACATACAATTATTTTTTAAGATATTGGTATGATTAGAATTTCTTTTAAAATTAGGTTTACAAAATAAACACTAACATAATCTTTAAGCTATGAGAGGTTTAATTGAAATAGCCTTACCGCTTTTGTTAGGATCCGTAGCTTTTGCAAGCAATACCAATTTATATTCTGGGCCTGACGACTGCAGTGAACTTGTTGATGAAAATACATGTCTTTCCTTTTATGAATATTTAAATCAAAATTCTGCTGATTATGTTTCACTTTCAATTGAAGATGCAGTCACTTACTTTGAGTCACTTGGGTTTTTCTGGCCGTTTATACTATGCTCAAATTCATACAGTAATATCAAACAAGATACTCAATTATTAGGTGTATACGATTTGGCTTTTGCTGCTGATCTAGATGCTGTTGCACCGTCACAATGTATAGGATTAATATCTGAGCTTATGAATACATTACTGGAACCAACTCAAATTTCTACAGATGTTAGTTCTACTGAAGTTGGTTCTACAGAAACACTTGACTGCGAATATAAGGAGGCTGGATGCAACAATGCCTATACTCAACTACTTTCTTCAGTTGGATTTTTAAACAATCCCCCAATGACTTCTCTCGAATTTTTGTATAGTACCAGTAATACACTTCTTGCTAACGTTCTGGAGTGTGCAACAAGATACCCAACTATAGATTATAATCTTGCAACCCATCTTTACTATGTCCTTACTGACAACAATCTTCCGACCACCCCTCTTTTTAATCCATGTGCAACAACTAACTTGGAAGCTGATGTAACATCGACCGAAGAATCCACAACAACTGATAGTCAAGTGTCTAGTACGGAATTAATATCTTCAAATGTTCAAACAATATCTACTCTTACAAACGAAATTACAGTTGGTCCATCTTCAACTGTTTGTGCTCCATATTATGATTCCCAACAATGTGCCAATGCTTTAACTTCATTCGTAGGATATGTTTATGCTACAGATACCACAGATTCTCAACAACGTAAACATAAGCGCAATGTTGCTGATGTTTCACAATATTATCACTCCCCTGGTAATACAGCATTAGCTGCATTACTTTATTGTTCTCAATCCTATCCATTTTTTGCTGATATGTTCAATATAGCGATTTTAAATGATTTAGATAATGCTCAAGTCGCTACGACACCAACAATTTCATTGTGTGAAGGACCTGCAACTTGGATTGTTACTTTAGATACAACGGTACCAGCTACAGTAACCGAATCTTCGGCAGAACTATACTCTTCATCATCTTCTCCTTCTTCATCAGAGGAATTTATTTCGGATTCAACAACAACTGTCGACAATTATGAAAGCTCTTTTACATCTTTTACATCTTTTACATCTTTTACATCTTTTACAACTTTTGAAGATTCTGATACACAGGCACCTACCACAGATCAGTCTTCTGTAGAAATTCAAATCACATCTTCTCCTACAAATGAAATTACAGCTGGTCCATCTTTAACTGTTTGTGCTCCATATTATGATTCCCAACAATGTGCCAATGCTTTAACTTCATTCGTAGGATATGTTTACGCTACAGATACCACAGATTCTCAACAACGTAAACATAAGCGCAATGTTGCTGATGTTTCACAATATTATCACTCCCCTGGTAATACAGCATTAGCTGCATTACTTTATTGTTCTCAATCCTATCCATTTTTTGCTGATATGTTCAATATAGCGATTTTAAATGATTTAGATAATGCTCAAGTCGCTACGACACCAACAATTTCATTGTGTGAAGGACCTGCAACTTGGATTGTTACTTTAGATACAACGGTACCAGCTACAGTAACCGAATCTTCGGCAGAACTATACTCTTCATCATCTTCTCCTTCTTCATCAGAGGAATTTATTTCGGATTCAACAACTGTCGACAATTATGAAAGCTCTTTTACATCTTTTTCATCTTTTACAACTTTTGAAGATTCTGATACACAGGCACCTACCACAGATCAGTCTTCTGTAGAAATTCAGATCACATCTTCTCCTACAAATGAAATTACAGCTGGTCCATCTTTAACTGTTTGTGCTCCATATTATGATTCCCAACAATGTGCCAATGCTTTAACGTCATTCGTAGGATATGTTTACGCTACAGATACCACAGATTCTCAACAACGTAAACATAAGCGCAATGTTGCTGATGTTTCACAATATTATCACTCCCCTGGTAATACAGCATTAGCTGCGTTATTTTATTGTTCTCAATCTTATCCATCGATAGCAGATATTTTTAATCTTGTGATTTTAGGTGACATAAACAACGCCGAAGTTGCTACAACTCCAACAATTTCATTATGTGAAGGACCTGCAACTTGGATTGTTACTTTAGACACAACAGTACCAGCTACAGTAACCGAATCTTCGGCAGAACTATACTCTTCATCATCTTCTCCTTCTTCATCAGAGGAATTTATTTCGGATTCAACAACCACTGTCGACAATTATGAAAGCTCTTTTACATCTTTTACATCTTTTACATCTTTTGAAGATTCTGATACGCAGGCACCTACCACAGATCAGTCTTCTGTAGAAATTCAAATCACATCTTCTCCTACAAATGAAATTACAGCTGGTCCATCTTCAACTGTTTGTGCTCCATATTATGATTCCCAACAATGTGCCAATGCTTTAACGTCATTCGTAGGATATGTTTATGCTACAGATACCACAGATTCTCAACAACGTAAACATAAGCGCAATGTTGCTGATGTTTCACAATATTATCACTCCCCTGGTAATACAGCATTAGCTGCATTACTTTATTGTTCTCAATCCTATCCATTTTTTGCTGATATGTTCAATATAGCGATTTTAAATGATTTAGATAATGCTCAAGTCGCTACGACACCAACAATTTCATTGTGTGAAGGACCTGCAACTTGGATTGTTACTTTAGATACAACGGTACCAGCTACAGTAACCGAATCTTCGGCAGAACTATACTCTTCATCATCTTCTCCTTCTTCATCAGAGGAATTTATTTCGGATTCAACAACTGTCGACAATTATGAAAGCTCTTTTACATCTTTTTCATCTTTTACAACTTTTGAAGATTCTGATACACAGGCACCTACCACAGATCAGTCTTCTGTAGAAATTCAAATCACATCTTCTCCTACAAATGAAATTACAGCTGGTCCATCTTTAACTGTTTGTGCTCCATATTATGATTCCCAACAATGTGCCAATGCTTTAACTTCATTCGTAGGATATGTTTACGCTACAGATACCACAGATTCTCAACAACGTAAACATAAGCGCAATGTTGCTGATGTTTCACAATATTATCACTCCCCTGGTAATACAGCATTAGCTGCGTTATTTTATTGTTCTCAATCTTATCCATCGATAGCAGATATTTTTAATCTTGTGATTTTAGGTGACATAAACAACGCCGAAGTTGCTACAACTCCAACAATTTCATTATGTGAAGGACCTGCAACTTGGATTGTTACTTTAGACACCACAGTACCAGCTACGGTAACTGAATCTTCAGCAGAACCCTACCAGTCATCATTATCACCATCATCTTCTCCTTCTTTGTCAGAGGAATTTATTTCGGATTCAACAACCACTGTCGACAATTATGAAAGCTCTTTTACATCTTTTACATCTTTTTCATCTTTTACAACTTTTGACGATTCTGATACGCAGGCACCTACCACAGATCAGTCTTCTGTAGAAATTCAGATCACATCTTCTCCTACAAACGAAATTTCTGAGTTTTCTATTTCTCTAGAACAGTCCACCACTTTGACCCAAACCACTCCCGTTTCTAATGACGAATCGATATCGACAATTACTACTGCCCCCTTTTTAAGTTCGGAAACAGAGCCCTCTAGCATTGAGTCCCTTAGTTCATCATTAAGTTCAGAAAAGGTTACAACTTATATTTCTACTCCATCATATTCAACATCATTGTCATCGGCGGTAGTAAGCACACCATCTAGCGTTCCAACAACCCCTCTCGAGTTTGATTCTCTTGTTAGCACTGTGGTTTCAAGAGCTCTTAGCTCAATTTTATCAAACATTTCCGACCCTGCTATATCTAGTCTAATTAACAGCATTGCTAATGCCCTCGTTAGTGCAATTGGTTCTGTTGCTGCTAATTTGATTTCTTTTGCTCTCAGTTTGTTGCTTTTCCGCAGCAGAATGTTGAAAAAGCGTGACACAGTTGATGATGCAATTGCTATTTTTACAGAATTCACAAATACACTTAGCAGTTGGCTTGCAGACGGTTCTTATCAAGATTTCCTTGCAAGCCTGAGCAGTTTAGAAGAATACTCAGATCCTGTCACTATTCTTGCAAGTCTTTATTCTTCAGTGGAATCTACCTTTAATGCAGTTAAAGAGGTCATAGATAATTTGTCTGCTTCATCATCTGATTTTAAAGCCGTGGCGGATAATTTTTATTCTGTTTTTAATCAATTTGTTAATGAAGTTGTTGCTGCGGTTCAGGGTTCCAGCAGTTCGTCGTTTTTAGATTCACTTTTAGAATCATCTAGTTTAGATAACTCAGTATCTGAATCTTCTGAATCTTCTGAATCTTCTGAATCTTCTGAATCTTCTGAATCTTCTGAATCTTCTGAATCTTCTGAATCTTCTGAATCTTTTGAATCTTTTGAATCTTCTGAATCTTCTGAATCTTCTGAATCTTCTGAATCTTCTGAATCTTCTGAATCTTCTGAATCTTCTGAATCTTCTGAATCTTCTGAATCTTCTGAATCTTCTGAATCTTCTGAATCTTCTGAATCTTCTGAATCTTCTGAATCTTCTGAATCTTCTGAATCTTCTGAATCTTCTGAATCTTCTGAATCTTCTGAATCTTCTGAATCTTCTGAATCTTCTGAATCTTTTGAATCTTCTGATTCTTCAGTTTCTGAGTCCTTTGTTTCTAAATCTAAGTTTTTGGTTTCTGAGTCTTCAATTAGTGAGCCGCTTATATCTGAATCTTCTGTGTTTGAGTCTTCTGTGCATCAAAATTCAAATTTTGAATTATCTATCACAATTTCGTCTCGCTCTCAATTTTCTGAAACTGAGTTTGTTCCATCTGAAATAACCAAAGTTTTAGACTCATTTACTGAAATTTCTGAATCCGAATCTCATTCTCTAGAATTTTCCAACATTTTTAAATCAGAGTCTTTTATTGGAAAATCAAATTTTGCTGAAGATTTAATCTCTTCAACCTCTTCAATACCATTTTCATTTTCCGAAACTGCTACTAGTACTTTTATCAATACAGTAACTAAGTTTACAACCGTTACATCTGTGGAAGGTACAAAAACTGTAACCTTTACTGAGCCTTGTGAAACTACAACTGAGACTGTAATTGTTAATCCTAGAACTACTATAACATTGAGTAAGCCGTGTTCTTCTTGCACCACTAATACTATAACTTCCACCGAAATTGCTACAATAACTTCAACCAAATCAAATAACGAAGTGGTCACGATTACCACAACAAAGAAGATACCTTTTATTGTAGAGGTTGATACTATTACTGAATCAGGTTTGACTGCAGTTATGAAGACACTTTCTACCAATAGTCAAGACTTAATCGTTACTGTGACGGACGTTTGTGATAAATGTATTACACATACAGTTGTAGAAACTGGCGTTACAACAGTTGTTAAAACTTTAGAATCTGATGTTTTTACTGTTACTGAGCCATGTGAAACTACTTATACTGTTGTTGAATCTCCTGAAGTTGTTGAAGGATCTACAGCAACAGCCACATGGACATTTACTGAAACAACTTCATTTTATTTGAGTCCATCTATCCCAACAGTTCATGCCTGTACCAATTGCAAGACCTTAGTAACAACAATTTCTGAGCTCACCACATATTTAACGGTTTCCGGAAACTCCATTGTTACAGTTACCGAACCTTGTGAAGCCGCATACACAGTTGTTGAGTCACCAATTATTTCTGGTAGTTCTACATTGACTTCAATTTTGACTTTTTCAAAGTCATCTTTTGCTACCGCTACTACTCCAGAAGCTACAGCTATTGAAAAATGTTCCAACTGTAAAACCTTAATTACAACGGTTTTTGGTTTTACAACTTATTCTTCAGTTTTTAGTGATAGCACTGCTATAATCACTGAGCCATGTGAAACCACATATACCGTTATTGAATCTCCCATTCTTTCAGAAGGCTTAATTTCTATTGCAATTTACACAGTCCCAGTCAATTCCGCTATTACTTCAGGCACTGTTTTGACACAAAATAGGGCTTGTGAAAATTGTAAAACTTATACTATCACTAAGTCTGAATTAACTGTTTGGACATCAGTTTTTGAAAGTTCTACTTTTACTATTACGGAGCCATTTGAAACTGCAATCACAATTGTTGAATTTCCAGTTTTTAGTGAAGAATCTACAGTATTTTCCACGCTTACTCTTGGTTCATTTTCACCTAAACCAAATCAATCAGTTATTGTTTACACTGGCACTACCACCTATACTACATCTTTTGACAAATCAATTACATCTGTTACAAAGCCTGTTGAGTCCTCTAGTACAATTTTTCTTTCTAGTTCCACTGAGGCAAACTTCTCAGAAAATCAATTTGTACCTTCCATTACTGCTACAAGCGAAATTTGCACTTCTTGCAAGACTTCAAGTATAATTGAATCTGGTGTTAGTGTCTATACTATTGAATCTGAAGGATCTGTTATTGTTACGAGCCAGTCATTTACCTTCACATACTTTGTTGTTGAATCCACTGGTGCATCTAGTGTTGAGACAATGGCAATACTAGGCTCAGAAAAAGAAACCTCAATTCTAGAAACCACTGGTGCAGTATCCCTAAAATCGAACTCTCTTTTGTCTAGCTACACATCTACTATTAAACAGGTGAATCCAACAATAGGAATTACAGGAACTGGTAATATAGCGCAGGTTAATTCGGGAATTTTATTAGCTGTTTCCAAAGGGATTTTGGGTATATGTGCTTGTGTTTTTGTTCTTTTGTTTATTTGAAATATGTGCTTTTAATTTAGAATTTGTCTACTAAGTCTTTGTTATTTTTTTTTATTTTTTAAATATATTTATATTTATTTACATTAATACCTATAGGTTTTAATTTGGAACCAAATTTATCCTAGTTTTTCAGTGTTAAAACCTGAATGAACGATTATCAAAGTCGTTTCTTAAAAAAATTGTTTGTTTGTACAATTATAAATTATGATAACTTGCCAATTTACTTAAACATTTAAATGGATTTCAATGGATATGATATCCTAAAAACTACAGATTGATCATAGTTATGAATCTTGTGTTTTTTTTTTTGAGAATATTCTTAACATTAATGTTGATATGTCTTTTGGTGACATCTGTCAAACCCAAAGTAAAAAAAAAAAAATACCTTATATAAAGTTCAAAGCATTGTTATTTCTTTTTATTTTTGATAGCTGGACTAAATCACTTTTTTATTCACAATATGTTTTAGATTTTATTTTAAGAGCCTCATTAGTAGTAGCCCCATACCAGAAGATTTTTAATTAAAATGCTCTAATTCGAAACAAACTTAATTTAGCCTAAAGTTTTTTGGTATTTCAAATAAATCACCAGAAATATATAAATTTTTAAATGGAACCATTAAATTTTCACTGATTAGGGAGGTTTTGAATAATTTTTTTTCCCACTGTTTTTTGTGAAAAATGCAAAAAGTTTTTGGAGGCCCTTATAAAGCTGAATTAAATTAATCTATAGATAAGCAAATTTTTACTTATTTGTTTTTTTTTTATTCAAAGGTTATAGAATTATATAACATCAGCATCTGCGCTATCCTTCAAATTTTTACTTAAATATTATTAACCTAAATTTAACGCATAAGATCTTACGCGCTAAGATGTTGTATCAGTAAAGGCACCTGAATATATAATTTCAAGTTTACGCTTTAAGTTTTAAGAACTTTGAACCAAAATGTTGTCATCTATTAATTAATATTATAATCATAATATAATTATTATGATAATTATTAATATGAAAACAAAACTCACATTTCAAAATAATTTGAAATAGCCACATCAATTGACGTCAATTAATGATTTATGTGGCTATTCCAAAATATTTTGATAGAATTCAACCAGAGCTCTGGATTTGATAGAGGACATCTAGATATCCAGTAACCTCCATTATTTACCCCACCTTCCTACACAGTACAATTTTTGAAAAAAGAATACTAGCGGGGCATTTTTACAAATATATAGAAGAGTTTGAAAACAAATTGTTACAAGCTGCATGACAAGTCCACATAAGAGTTTTTTTTTAAGAGTCTTTTTTTATATTTAATTAATAAAATCAAGTTTCTTTTGAAAAGCAAAAAAGGATGAAGCTGATGGCAATAAACTTGCCTAATTTGTGAAGTCACACCTCCACTTAATTCAGTATCTTGGGTTTATCCGCATCGGATTTTAAACGATTTCAGGCATAATAATAGAATAATAATAATAAAAATATTATGAATATGCACCTAAGAGAATAATAAGAGTTAGATGTTTGACTTTTTCAAGAAATTTTAAGCGCTGTGTTGATTTTGTTTTGACTTTATATAATCCTTCTCTAAGGAGGGGTTTAAAGATTTGATATTCTTTCCCCCCCTTTTTTTTTATTTGTTAATTCTTTTTTAATATTTTAACATTAAATATACTTTAAATTCTTCAAGTTATTTTGATTTTCTTTTTTTTTGATATTTTCGATCACTCTAATTCAAACTCAAATCGTTAATAAAAGATATTCGCTAAATTTAAATTTAACTTTATAAAGGTTTAAACTCTTTTTTAAGGTTTTTGCTTAGAAGATCTTTTTTTTTTAAGTTTTCACCATTTTTAACAAGAAATAGAGATGAAAAGGTTATTATTATTTAATATTTTGATTTCTCTTTTAATTGTAGTGACAATCGCTTCAACAGAAGATGATATCAGAGTACAAAAACGTCAAGATTCAGGATGTATAAATTATATTAGTGAATCAGACTGTTCATCCATGTATGATTCATTAATGTCTGGCTTTACTCTACTTGGTTTAGAAAACTCAGATCCAGACTACTCTACAAAGGCATTTAATTATTTTAGCAACCAACCGAATTTATTTAAAATAAAAATATGTGCACCTTACTATTCGGATCTTTTTGGCACAGTTTATGAAAATCTTTATCCAATTCTTAGCTATTTGGGAATTTCAACATCAACAAATTGGATTTTTTTTTGTGATACTCTTCCGCAACTTGAAACCACAACTCAAGAAACAAGTATTTTGTCATCAACAGAATTATATTCTTCTTCTATTGTATCTGAATCTGGCCAACAGTCTGAAGTTGTATCAACTACCAGCTCTGCTTTGACCGAAACTTTGATCCCCTCTAGTTCTGTTTCAGGTAATAGTTCAGACAGTACTTTTGTTTCACAGTCGACATTAAGTGAAGTTTCTGTAAGTTCTGATTCCATAGAGACAACTCCTATCGAACTTCAATCAATAACTGAATCTTCTACTTCAACATATACTTCGGATTTTCCAATCACTCTTGACTGTAACTACAATGAAGATGGATGCAATAATGCTTATACAGAATTTCTATCTTCTTTGGGCTTTCTAGAAGAAATTCGTAATACTTCGTTGGACTTTTTACTGCAAACTAGCAACACTTTATTGGCAAATGTTTTAGAATGTGCTACCCGTTATTCCGCCATTGCTGAAAGCATGTCTTCAAGCGTACTCTACATATTAACTGACAATAACCTGCCAACGACTCCATTATTTTATCCTTGCTCTACATCTCAAGCAGAAACTTTAGAAACGGACTACAGCTCTACTGTGCCATCAGTTGGCATTTCATCTTCTGTCGTTATATCAACAAGTGAGGAGTTAGATACAACCACAATAATTCCTATTCAATCATTGTCTACAAGTACTTCTTCTGAAGTCACTTCTGTTTCGGATTTCGCTCAAACTCCTGTAACAAGTTTGTCAACCATAACTGTAGATGGTCAAACTTACACAATTACTTATATTAGTATACCAACTTTAACTTCTTCGAAAGTTTCTTCTACTTTTGACATTTCTGCTGAATTAACATACAGTACAATCCTTCCTCTCTTTTCAACTGATATCAATTCAACATATGTTTCCAGTATCATTAGTACTGAATCTGCTATTCTTGATACACCAACTTCCACTACACTGATTACTCCTACTCCTAGTACTATTAATCCCACATATGTTTCCAGTATTATTAGTACTGAATCTGCTATTCTTGATACACCAACTTCCACTACACTGATTACTCCTACTCCTAGCACTATTGATCTTATTTCTGGCATTTCTTCAATTATCACCAGTTCTGATCTAACTCCTGTAACAAGTTTGTCAACCATAACTTTAGATGGTCAAACTTACACAATTACTTATATTAGTATACCAACTTTAACTTCTTCGAAAGTTTCTTCTACTTTTGACATTTCTGCTGAATCAACATACAGTACAATTCTTCCTCTCTTTTCAACGGATATCAATCCCACATATGTTTCCAGTATCATTAGTACTGAATCTGCTATTCCTGATACACCAACTTCCACTACACTGATTACTCCTACTCCTAGTACTATTAATCCTACATATGTTTCCAGTATTATTAGTACTGAATCTGCTATTCTTGATACACCAACTTCCACTACACTGATTACTCCTACTCCTAGTACTATTAATCCTACATATGTTTCCAGTATTATTAGTACTGAATCTGCTATTTTTGATACACCAACTTCTACTACACTGATTACTCCTACTCCTAGTACTATTAATCCCACATATGTTTCCAGTATCATTAGTACTGAATCTGCTATTCCTGATACACCAACTTCTACCACATTGATCCCCCCGACTCTTAGCTCTATAAACCTTTCAGAAGATGTTACCTCTATTGGTACCACTTTAAATTCTGCGACTGATAATCCAACATCTATTACAACTGTTCCCATGTCCATTATTTCGTCCAACCCCACAACCGGCAGTGTTTCAACCACGACAAGTATTGTGTCTGCCGTTCCCACCGATCCTTTACCATATAGTTCACTAGTTGACACTGTTGCTTCTAGAATTCTTGATTCTATTGGATTAAATAATAACATTTCTGAAGCTGCTACACAAGTAGTAGATAGAATTTTGACTCTTTTTACAAATGCATTGGGACCAATTCTTACTCAGCTGTTATCTTTTTTGTTTGGTTTTGACACTTCACAAAAGCGTGACAATATAGCAGATGCCATTTCAATTTTTACAGACGCGATTAATACAATTTCCAGCTGGATTCAGGATCCTTCGTTCCAAGATTTTCTTTCTGAAATTACGAATCTTCAGCAATTTTCAGATCCTGCTGATATTGAAGCCAACTTTCTCCAATCTATTGGGTCTACTTACACTGCAGCTAAAGAAATTATAGACAGTTTGGCAGCCAGCAATCCTGATTTTAAGGCAGTTGCGGATAATTTCTATTCCGTGGCAAATCAAGCATTTACTGAAGTTAACTCAGCACTTTTTACAGCACCCAGTTTGTCTACTTCTGAGAGTCTTTCTCTGTCTTTTAGTGACACAGAATTGTCTTCGGTATCTGTATCTGCATCTGCATCTGCATCTGCATCTGAATCGGAATCGGAATCGGGATCTTCCTTATTTGGTCCTCAATCTAGCTATTCATACGAGTCTTCACAAGTTTCTGAGTCTTCATATTCAGCCAATTCTGAAAGTTCGGAATCCTTTGAGTTGTCAATATCTGAGTTTTTAGTTTCTGAGTCTTCTGCAGTAGAAGTGACCATTTCTGATTCATCTGTTTCTGAGTTTTTAACTGCCGAATCTTCTCTTTCGGATTCCAAATCTCTTCAATCTGACTCTTCTAGTTTTGAGGCTTTAGTCTCTGCTTCTTCTCATGTTTTTACTTCAGAATCCTTTGCATCTGAGTATTCTATTGCCGAGTCTTTCATTTCTAATTTGGTTTCTCAGCAAGAATCTTCAAATGCTCCTGACTTTTCTTCTATTTCTGAACCTGTTGAAGCATCTTCGTTTCCCTCGACTTTTGATTTTTCCAGTGTGTCTACATCTGCTGGTAATTCTGAACCATTGTTAACTGAAAGTACAGTTGAGGCATCTGAAAGTATCTCTGAACCCTTTTTTAGTGAAGCTTCTCTTTCTGAAACTGATGTTTCACCTTCTAGTGGAAAGGGTACAACCACGCTTACCAATACAGTTACCAAGTACACCACAGTTACATCTGTTGAAGGAACCAAAACTGTAACCACTGAGGTTCCTTGCGAAACAACGACAGAGACTGTCATTATCAAGCCTGAAACAACCTTCACTTTGACTGAGCAGTGTTCTAAGTGCACAGCCAAAACTGTGACTTCAACAACAGTTGTTACATTGACTTCTACAAAGGCAGACCAGGAAGTTGTGACTATTACAACCACAAAAGAGGTTTCTTTAGTTGAAGAAGTTACAAAGATTCCTGGATTGAGTGAGTATACTACACTCACTCGCACACTTACAGAAGAGTGCAGCCAGTGTGTGACACGCACTCAGTCTCATGTTGGAACAACCACGTACACATCTATTGTTGGTTCATCCACGGTGACTGTTACAAAGCCCTTTACTACAGGCTACACAATAGTAGAGTCGCCATTGTCATCTGGTGGTATTTATACTGCTACTGTGACTGCCGCTTGCTTTTTGTGTAAGACGTCGACAAAGGTTGAGTCTGGCCTTACTACATACACCACATTTTCTGAAGGTTCTGTCGTCACTATTACTACGCCTTGTGAAAGCACATATACCGTTGTTGAATCGCCAATTACCACTGGTGATTCTACTATATACTCCATAATTACTGTGCAAAGTTCTTTGCTGCCGACAACTACTGAGGTTATAACTGTTTCTAAGTTATGTAATTCTTGCAAGACTTTGACCAAGGTTGAATCTGGATCGACAACATACACCTCAACCTCTGAAAACTCAGTCATTACTGTCACTGAGCCATGTGAGAGCACATATATTGTGGTTGAATCACCAATTTCTGTTAGTGGCTCAACTTTTTACTCTACTGTCATTGTAGAAAGTTCATTAGTGCCAACATCAGCTGCCACTGAACCATGTACTGCTTGCAAAACATTGACTACAGTGGAGTCAGGAATGACCACTAAGACAAAGACTTCTGGAAGTGTGGTCGCCACAATCACTGAGCCATGCGAGTCTACGTATATTATTATTGAATCGACTGGTACAAACAGTGGGTCTACCATTGTGGATACGGTTACAGTGCCATTATTGAGTGTTTCTATTGGAACTGAGGCCGTTGTGGTTAAGACAAGTAGTAGTTTGGAAACTACTGTAGCTGAGTCTGGAAAGCCATCTTCGGCGTTGACATCAATAGAGATTGTGCCAAGTGCCAGTGGCACTTTGAAGACTGCATTAACTGAGACATTGACAGCAGCTTCTGAGGCTCTAAAGAGTGTGGCTAGTAGCAGTAGCATCTCTGCAGTGGAGACAATCAAGGTATCCTCAGGCAGTGGTGTTGCATCTGAGGCAAGTTCCACGTCGAGCTCCACATCTATTCAGTCGATCGCGCAGGTTCCCACAGGAACTTCAGTGGGCAGTGGTACGACGATAGAGCAGGTGAATTCTGGAGTGTCGACCAGAGTTCAAAGGCTTGTTTCAGTTATTGCATTAGCCATTGCGTTGATTATGTGAATTTAATGGCATAATAATTCCTGGTATTTATTAAGTAACTTGTAATGTTTTATTAAAAATGTATCATTGATAATTATAAGGTCATTTCAATATTATTAGTGAGTCAATGCAACAGTTATGCATACTGTGGTTACATGTTATGTACATAAATTTAGTGCTTTTGGTATTCTAATATGGGATAGGATAGATATGTCATAAGGGCTGAGTATAGACTACATGACAGTTAATCAGTTTATTGCGGTTTTTTTATGGAGTCCAATAGTGATTAATAATAATAATGATGACGATGATGAAATGGTGATCACGATACACACGATGGTTATGCCAGCAATCATTTAGGAGGGGAAAAATTAAAAAAAAAAAAATTTTTCCTTCTCATTGTACATTAGATCATTTGTAGTTTAGAATCATTTTACTGGCTGGTGCACCTACTAAAAAGTTTTTTTTTTTTAAAGAGATGTGTAAAAGTGAAATTACGGTCGTGGCCATTTTTTTAATTGGATGCTTTTTTTTTTTTTTTTTTTTGCCATGTTGAGAAGAAGTAAAAGAGGTAAAGCGGGTGGATAAGAAGCAGTGGGGTTAGGGGGGGTTCTAGTTTACATTATAATGTAATTATGGGATTTCGTGAGATTATGAATGACTTCAGTAGCAGTTTAACGCATGATATGAAAACAACTTTTGCATGAACAGTAGCTGTTGCTACTGCTATTGCTATTGCTATTGCTATTGATATACATACAGATATATATATACATCTAATTGACGATAGACTTTATGAGTCCAAGCCAATGGCTGAGGTTTATATTGCGAGACTAAAAAATAATAGAAAAATAAAAAAAAAACATCCAATTTCGTCAACTCGTGACAAGTATTTTAATATAATTAGATTAGGGTCTTTAATCCATCATCATCAGTCTAATCTCTCAATCTTATTTTTTTTTTTTTAAAAAAAAGTTTTAACCAAGAAAATTGAGAATATATATATATAATTTATTTAGTATTAGAATTAGAATTAGTATGGTGATTTGTTGTTGTTGTTGTTGTATTTCTTACAGAGTTCCGAAGCACTCGGAGCAGGCCGGTTGGTTGGTTGTTAAGTTTAGCCGTGCTATTGTTACATATTTTTTTCACATATGTATTACTTATTTGTTACACTTTTGTGTAATTTTCTTGTAATTTTCTTGTAATTTTCTTGTAATTTTCTTGTAACTTTCCACCAGCCCTACATGTTCAGCCTTACGTGCAACCCTCCTCACAATTGTATTTCCAAACCTCCCAAAACGTCTCCTAAAATCTCCTCCTCCCGCGCATTTTCGCGCCATGAATGAAAAAAGGAAACACACAAAAGCCTCAGTGTGTGTTTGGCCACCCAGTCCGTGGGCACGTAAAAACCTCCTCTTCCTCCTCCCCACCAACACCACCATCCTTCTTCTCAGCCGCCCAAAAAAATTTATAAACAAAAATAAAAATCTGCACAAAAAAATTTTCCCCCTTCCTTTTCTTTCTCACTCAAACTTTTTTTTTTTTGGTGGAATCGGTAAATCTCCATTCAAGTCCTTCCAATCGATATTAATCCTAATAGTACTTCTATTATTATTATTATTATTATAATTATAATTATAATTATAATTATAATTATAATTATCACTTCACTCATCATCTATATATATATATATAACCAGTAGCACAACCAGCCTTTCTTTCCATTATGGACTTGAACCAGGAAGTACGTACTATTCAACCTTGATCATCATAATCAATACTTAATACTAACTTTCCTTTAGAGACGAGCAGGTGACGCAATGTCTATCTCCACCCTATTGGCCCAAGAAAACTCTGCTGCTGCTGCCGCTGCTGCTGCCGCTGCTGCCGCGGCCGCTGCTGAAAACACTGATCCTTCTACTATTGCTACCAATCCAACCAGTCCCACCCAGAATTTGACCACACAACAAAATCCCGAATCCATTACCTACAATGGTCATGCTAACGAAGACTCTGATTCACGACACTCTCACAAAGACTCGATGATTAGCCAAAATCATACTCAAGCCGCCTCCAGAACTTACCACCAATTTGTGCCAACTACAATCCCTATCGGTTCTTCTGTTTCTTCATCTACATCCACACCCGCTGTTAATAATAATACTACTACATCAACTTCATCGTCGTCATCATCATCTTCTTCTTCTACTACTACTATTACTACTACTACTACTTCAACAGCTTCTCTAAAGAAACGCCGTCGTAACACCTATCCTCCTCTGGCTCCTGATAATGAAGATCTAGTCTTTGAAGTCCTCAATCCAACCCATATGGAAGCCTCCTTCCAATACGCTAATCAACCTGTCTTTCAAGAAGAAAAAGAAGAATACCTTGCTACTCTTCGCCAACGTATCACAAACATCCAAGTTATGGAAAATCGCCATTTGACTACTGCTCGCAATGCTCTTCAAAAAAAATACCTAACTCTCTACACAACAAAAGCAGACGCGCTACGCAAATACGCTACAAAACAACTATATCCAACGGCAATGGGTAACGTTCTCAAATTTGAAGAGCTCGTTGAAAAAGAAGGTAAGAAGCTCTACCGTAATCAAGTTAAAAAGGAACGTAGAGCCATTCGTGCAGCTCAACTTAAGGCCCAAAAAGCTGAAGCTCTCAGACTCAAAGCTGAGGCTGCTGCTGCTGCCGAAGTTGCAAAAGAAGAAGCAAAACGCGCTCAAAAACTCAAGGCTGTCAAGGAAGCTAAAGAAGCGCGTGCGAAAGATGCAAAAGCAAAAGTTATCAGTAATGCTAAAAATGCTGCTGCCGCTGCTGTTGCTGTTACTACAAATGGTGGTAGTGCATCCACGTCAACCAATCCAGATGACGATATCTCTAATAAAACCACAACAACAACAACTGGTACACCCATCAAACCCAAAACAAAACGTGGCAAAGGGACAGGCACTAGCTCACGACGCTCAGCTGCTGCAAAACCCGAGGCCGGAAACGACAAAACACTAAAAGAATCTGCATCTTCGACATCAACAACTGCCACAAAACCCAAGGGCAAGTCAAAAGCTCGTGGTTCTGCAGCCTCTGCAAATGGCTCATCCAAAGACACAAAAGATTCTCTTAAAAAGCTCCTTCCTTTGGCCCCAGCAACCCCCCTCTCAGAAATAACCGACTCTTCATCTCCTCCCTTGCATACTAATAACACGTCGCATTCTCCCAAACCTTCTCTTGCTCTTAAAAAGGAATCAAAATCAAAGTCGGTCACTTCAAACTCTTCCGCAGGTGCGGCTGCTGCTGCTGCTGGTGCAAACAATGCCTCCGGGGTGGCCACTGCTGCCGCTGCCTCTCCATCTAAAAAGGAGCCCGAAAAGCCAAAGCCTCCACCTCCACCAAAACCCCCATCGCAAAAGGAGATTCGTGCTATTGCCCGTCTTTACTCTAATACTTACGACTCAGTTTGGAAAGATATGGCCCGTCGTGATGCAAATAAAGTCCATCGACTTGTCCGCTCTTCAGCTAATACGCGTCTCAGTAATTTGCGTAAAACAGCTGTTTTGGCATCTAAGGAGGCTCGTCGCTGGCAGTTTAAGACAAACAAGAACCTTAAGGATCTTCAAATGAAGGCAAAGCGTGGAATGCGTGAAATGCTGGCCTTTTGGAAACGAAATGAACGCGAGGAACGTGACCTTCGTAAGCGCGCTGAAAAGGAGGCCCAAGAACTAGCAAAGAAGGAGGAAGAACAACGTGAAGCCCGTCGCCAGGCAAAGAAGCTTAATTTCCTCATTTCCCAAACAGAACTCTATACCCATTTCATTAGCAAAAAGATCTCCCCGGCTGATGATGAAAACAATAAGGACAACAACAATGCTGCTGGCAGCAACAATAATGGCAAAATATCTGGGAAAGATCTTGATTTTGATTCAGAAAATGAAGAAGAGCTTCAAAAGGCAGCCCTTGCTAACGCTCGCTCAGCTTTTGCTGAAACACAGGCACATGCTCGCAGCTTTGATGGCGGAGAAAAGATTCGTGATGTCAATATTGATAATGATGAAATGAATTTCCAGAACCCCACCTCGCTCGGTGATATTCAGATTCCACAGCCAAAGTTGCTTTCTTGTCAGCTTAAGGAGTACCAAATTAAGGGTCTATCATGGCTTGCAAATCTTTACGAACAAGGCATCAATGGAATTCTCGCCGATGAAATGGGTCTCGGTAAAACTGTTCAGAGTATTTCTGTCATGGCATACCTTGCAGAGACATACAACATTTGGGGACCCTTTTTGGTCATCTCTCCAGCATCCACGCTGCACAATTGGGAACAAGAGATTCGCAAGTTTGTTCCCGACTTTAAAGTTTTACCTTACTGGGGCTCTGCAAAAGATCGCAAAGTTCTTCGAAAATTTTGGGATCACAAAAATGTCAAGTACGGTAAAGACGCTCAATTCCATGTGCTTGTCACCTCTTATCAATTAGTGGTTGCTGACGCTAGCTACTTTCAAAAAATGAAGTGGCAGTACATGATTTTAGACGAAGCCCAGGCTATTAAGTCTTCATCTTCGGCCCGTTGGAAATCACTGCTCTCCTTCCAGTGTCGTAACCGTCTCCTGCTCACGGGTACTCCAATCCAAAACTCGATGCAGGAACTTTGGGCTCTACTCCATTTCATTATGCCAACTCTCTTTGATTCCCATGATGAATTCAGTGAATGGTTTTCCAAAGATATTGAGTCGCATGCCCAATCCAACACACAGCTCAATGAGCAACAGCTCAGCCGTCTACACATGATTCTCAAGCCCTTTATGCTTCGCCGTCTGAAGAAGCACGTTCAGTCAGAACTTGGTGACAAAATTGAGATTGATATTTACTGTGAGCTTACTAATCGCCAGCGCGAGCTCTACCGGACTCTGCGCTCTCAAATTTCAGTCATGGACCTTATTGAAAAGGCTGCCTCGGGCTCTGATGAAGGCACACAATCTCTCATGAACTTGGTTATGCAGTTTCGTAAAGTGTGCAACCACCCTGACTTGTTTGAGCGTGCTGACACAACTTCTGCATTTTCCTTTTCCGTCCCAACTATTGCATTTGGCCCCATTCGCGAAGCAAATGATGTGGAGATTTTGTACAATTGTTCCAATCTTATCTCCTACAGAGTTCCTAAGCTCATGTACCGTGACGGCGGGTTTCTTGATGTCCCCTGCGAGGCCAACAACACTGTTGGTTTCCGTTCGCCGTTTGTCCAAGGCATGCTGAACATTTGGGATCCTTGGCATAAAAGTCCTACAGTGGCCTCTCTCAGACTTGCTGGCGTTTCGCCCAGCGAGGCCAAGACTGCAGCTACCCACGGTCTTTTTGAGCGTGCTACTGCTCTTCATTTTTATTCCGGGAAAAAGTCAGCAGCACGGTTTGAGATTATCTATGACGATGAAGAAGACAATAAGTCCATTCCCAAGTCTAATATGCTTTTGATTTCTGATGCAAAAGATAAGTGGGAGCATGCACGCACAACCTCCACTGGGATTCTTAAAGAGCTTCTTTCTGTTGGTGAGCGCGTCTTGGATGAAGGCCTCTACAATTACATTGAGGCTGCTCATGACGACAAGGTTCAGGCACCGCCCATCAATCTCATTGGGTCTGACCGAAGCATTAGCCTAGATCAACAACAGTTGCTCTTTGATGCCAAAAAGCGCTCTTACCTCTATCCCATGTCGCTTGATCGTGAATGGGATTTCATTGAGCATGGTTTGCCTATTAGCGAGCTTCCACCCTCAGACATGTTCCCATGGCCTCGCAATTCTAGTATTGGATATACTACTATCCGGATGCCATCCATGATCAAGTTTGTCACCGATTCTGGCAAGCTAGCCAAACTGGATCAAATGCTTCCTGAGCTAAAGGCCAATGACCACCGTGTACTCATTTACTTCCAAATGACTAAAATGATGGATCTGATGGAAGAATATCTGACGTTCCGACAATACAAGTACGTCCGTCTTGATGGTTCCTCTAAACTAGGTGACCGTCGTGATCTTGTCAATGACTGGCAAACCAAGCCCGAGCTGTTTGTCTTTTTGTTGTCAACTCGTGCTGGTGGTCTTGGTATCAACCTCACTGCTGCAGATACTGTCATCTTTTATGATTCTGATTGGAATCCTACTATTGACTCGCAGGCCATGGATCGTGCACATAGAATGGGTCAAACACGACAAGTTACGGTATATCGATTGCTTGTCAAGGGCACCATTGAAGAGCGCATGCGTGACCGTGCAAAACAAAAGATGCATGTACAGCAGGTTGTGATGGAAGGTGGTGGTGCTGCCAAGTCAGGTGTTGATTTCCAGAAGCCTGGTCGCGAAGTGGCTTACTGGCTGCTTGACGACGACGCGACTGCTGATGCGCTCATTAAGAAGAAGCAGGAGGAAGCTGCTGCTGCCCAGAGTAACAAGAAGGGTGGAGCACAAAAACGCCAAGCGGATGCCAACAGCCAGGACACACTTGGAGTTCCTGGAGCGCCACCAGCAAAGAAGGCTAAGGTTCGTGGGATTGAAGACATGTACCATGAAGACGAAGGCAACTTTGATGAGTCTACGAACCCAAGCTTGCGTGGAACACCGAGTGGATCGGGGACAGCAACGCCTACTGGTGAGCCAGCTATAAGTGCTGCACGCAAAAAGGGGGGTAATACTAATGGTCGCGGAGGAAATGCTAGTCGAAGAGTTTCTGCAGACAAGAGATTGCAGGTGGTTGATTAAACCTTTTTTTTTTTTTTTGTACAATTGATAATGAGAAATGATGATGATTATTTTAATATGACGATGAAAATAATAATATGATGACTTTATTTTAAAGCCTTAAGCCCTTTTTGTTTTTGTATATATAAAAGTAAAGCTTTTGAGGGAGTTTTGAATTGATTTCAAAATGGTTTTTACAATATTAGGAATGAAGGCAAATGCTATTTTCGTCATTTAATTTTTTTTTTTTTTTTTTTTTTAAAAAAAATTGATATTGATATTGATATTGATATTGATATTGATATTGATATTGATATTGATATTTTTCTAGCTAAATAAAATATATATATATATTTTATTTACACTATATAGTGTAATTGCATATCTTTTATTTTCTTGTAAACTATTATAGTTTATTTATGAAAAGAAGTTAATTGAAAATTCAAAAACAGCTCAATTGACATTGGGAAATCCACATTAATATGAAAAACATTGTTAATATTTGCAATAACAGAGGGGTTTCCAACAATATGTTTTTAGTACATTATTAAGTTTGATGTTTACTTGATTTATAAATATATATATATATATATATTGCTATTTTCATTTTATTATAATACTTTTTTTTTTTGAAAAAACTGTTTGTTTGTTACAGTGGTGATATAATAATTAAGCAGAAGAAAAATGGTAGTTAAATAAAATTTTGTGTTTAATAATATAATTATATATAGTAACTAATTTTCCCGGTTGGGGGTGCATGTATGGCTAACACCAATTTTGCTCCTCAATGATTATCTTTCATTTAAATAAAATTTAATTTCAAATATATATATTTTGAAATAATTTTTAATTTAGTTTGCCAACAACTTAAAAATATATTAGGGTTAGGGTATAATTGAAGTTTGGTAGTGTTTACTATATATATATTTATTTATCTTTATAATATTAAAGGGTTAGGGTTCGAATATATTTGTTATATATGAAAAATGAAAAGATTTTTTTTTCTTTACTTTTCTTTTCTTTTTAAAGGACAAAAAAAAAAAAATGGAAAGAAAGAGAAGGAAGGTAAGGAGGGGGTGTTGAATTAATTAAATTGAAAGATTCCATAAGGGTTAGGTTATAATTATTATATTATTATATTAATTTTTACAAACCCTCTATTGAGATTTTATTAAGTTAATATATATATATATATTTTTTTTTGAATGCCCACATTTTTTGTTATTAAAAAACTATTCTCATCTATTTAGTTTTATTGTTTGTAGTTTAGTTTTGTTTTCAATTTTTTTTTTATTTTGGAGCATTTCATTATTTATATGTCCACGTAAGAGTGGCCACGTAACTTTCTATATAAATAAAAAAAAAAAAATATTTGTGATTTGAATAAAAAGAAGAAGACTTTTTTTTTATTTTTTTTATTTATGAGATTTTAATAAACAGTGGCTGTGATGAAAGGTTAAAAAGTTTTTTTTTTCTTCTTTTTATTTATAATTATAATTATTTAAAGGTTTGGTGGTGAAAAGTAAAGTATTTTTTTTTTTGTTCCTTATCTGAGGGTTCTTCAGGGATTTTAAATTTTATTTTTTTTTTAATTTTTTAATTTTTTAATTTTTTAATTTTTTAATTTTAAAATTAAAGTCAAAGTCAAAATCAAAGTCAAATTGATAAGAATTGGTTGAATAATATAAATATTATCTTGTTTAAAAATAAATCATTTCTAAATTTAGAGAAACCCCCATTTTTTTTATTTTATTTTTTATTTAAAAAAAAAAAAAAAAAAAAAGCCCATGATTTTTTCTTCTTCAATTTAAAAAAAAAAAAAAAAAAACTTTTAAAAATGACATTTTACGACAACGTGTGCAAAACAAATACGTAGATTTTTATTTTTTTTTTAAAACAAAACAAAAAAAAAACAATGGGCATTAACTGAATTATAATTATAAAATTATAATACGTATATAACATCAAGGGGGATAAGAAAATGAAATTCTGGAGAAAGAAAACAAAAAAAAAAAAATAGAAACCATTAAAAGACGTAAGAGATGAGATGAGCATATACGTGTATATATAGATGAATAGATTGACGAGATTTTTATAAATCATCTTTGGAGCGTACAAACTGCTGCATTTTTGAAACATGATTTTCTCTAAGTTTCGCAATACGCGCACGTCTTTCTGCAACCCGGTCCCTATATTCCAACCTTCTTTTTTTCTCCTCATGATATGAGTTTGAGTTTTCATCTTCATCATTGTTATTGTTATTGTTGTTATTATTATTATTATTATTATTATGTGCAGCTTTGGTTTTTTTCCGCTCTGTATTCAAATCGGTCAACTGGCTTTCACGACGGGCTTCATCATGGGCATCTAGCTTGTAATAGCCTGTTCCACGAGTTCGGGCGTGTTCCCATTCAGGGTCATAATGTACTGGAGGTGGCGGAGTGGTTTCACGTTGGCGGATCTGGGCTGCACGAGCCTCATCGAGTTTAAACATGGAGGTTTGTAAAAAGTCACCGTGAATCAGAGAACGCTGTTTATGTGAAACACTATTATTAATATTATTATTATTATCAGTAACAGTATCTGAAAAGTGAATCAAAGCTTGTCCCTCATCTCTTCCATAGAAATGATAATGAGAGGAATGGTTGGCTTGTGTTTTGTTTTTTGTACTAGTTGGGATTTGATACAAGTGTTGTTCACTAGCCTTAACAGTTCTTGTACGTCCAAATTCATCTTCAATTTCTACCAATCTGTCAGGGTCCGGAAGTAGTAGAGAATAGGAGGCATTTTCAGACGCGTTTTGCTTTGCCACATGGTATTCTCGTGTTTTATTGCGTAGTGCAGTATATGCACGTCTATGAGTTTCGTCAAGGACATTAAGATTTGCATTGTCTTGATCTGATTCTGGGGAAGATGAATGAGATGAATGAGATGAATGAGATGTGTTTATGATTTTGTTAGTGTTATTTGCATGAGATTGTTGTCCTGAAGAAGAAACAACAGTAGGAATAGTATTAGCAGATGGTTTGGAATTGCCGTGGTTTCTTTTTGTATGGCTTGTAGAGGTATTTTTTACCGCACTACGGAATAGACTGGATTTAGTTACCTTATGCTTGGATGATAACTTGGTGGGACGAGCGACAGCGTACTCATCGTCTGGCTGATTAGAAGATGGCTGTTGTTGTTGTTGTTGCTTTGCATTATATTTACAACGACGAGTCTCTTCAAATTTGGTTTTAGATAGTTGGACATGTTTTTTGAAAATGTCAAACGAGTCCAGCTCGTTTTTATTTACCATTGGATTTATTTTCAAAAAAAAAAAAATAAAATCAAAAAAAAAAAAAAAAAAAGTCCGGCGGGTTTCCGGTTATATTTAATTTTTTTTTTATTTATTTATTTATTTATTTTAGGGGGAGAGAGAGAGAAATGGTTGTGGGAGGCAAAAAAAAAAAATAAAAAATAAAAAATAAAAAATAAAAAAAACGCGAAAACATTAAAGTCACATGACATACGTTTTTTTTTTTTTTACACACACAAAAAACGGTTTTCATTGCATTTTGATTGGTTTAAAAACAATAAATAAATAAATAAATAAATAAGTCTTCCTCCCTTCCCCCTTTCTAATACAATTTTTTGCCTAAAACGGGCCACTATTAAAATAGTTTTCCTTTTGCCCTCTCTCCCCCCTCAAAATAAAAAAATAAAAAAAAATTTCACACATTCCGGCGCGCGCTATAAATATCCCATACTAAGTCCTTTTTTTTTTTTTTATATTTATTTATTTATATATATATATATATATATATATTTTATAATTCTTCCTTTTCTTTCTTCTTCCCCCCTCCTCCCCTTTTTTTTTTTTTTATTATTTATTTAATTTTTTAAAAAAATAAAAAAAAATCTAACTTTATTATTCAATTCAAAAACCTATTCTAACAAATCTTCAATAACAAAAAAAAATGCTCTTCAAGAACATCATTGCTGCTGCCGTCAGCATCGTCTCAGTCATTGCTGACACAACCTCTTTCAACCCTATTCTGACACCTTCGTGGGGACAAGTTCTCAATGCTCCCAGCCCTCTGACTATTACTTGGACCGTAACCACCTCCAACAAGGTCAATCTCGTTTTGCGTAAGGGTGGTTCCTCAGATCTTGCCACCATTGAGACCATTGCCTCAAATATTGACAATACCGGCTCCTACACTTGGACTCCTTCAGGTGATACTACCACAGACACTGACTACTCGATTGAAATTGTCGACGCTACTGACTCTTCCTTGTCAAACTTCTCCCCTCACTTTACCATTCTTTCCCAGGGTCAGGGCTACACTTCTTCCTCTGTTTCAGGCTCTGTCTCTGCTACTTCTTCTGCTGCCTCTACCTCCTCTGTTGCTGCCTCTTCTTCCTCTGTTGCTGTCTCTTCTTCCTCCGTCGCTGCTTCTACCTCTACCGTTGCTGCTTCTTCTTCTGTTGTGGCTTCTTCTTCTTCTGTTGTTGCTTCTTCTTCTTCTGTTGTTGCTTCTTCTTCTGAAGCTGCCTCTTCTTCTGAAGCTGCCTCTTCTTCTGAAGCTGCCTCTTCTTCTGAAGCTGCCTCTTCTTCTGAAGCTGCCTCTTCTGAAGCTGCCTCTTCTTCTGTTGCTGCCTCTTCCTCCGAAGCTGCTTCTTCTTCAGTCGCTGCTTCCACCTCTTCAGCTGCCGCTTCTTCTTCTGCTGCTGCTGCTTCTTCCTCTTCTGCTGCCGCTTCTAGCTCCGTCGCTGCCACTACTTCCTCAGCTGCTGCCTCTTCTTCTCACGCCACCACTGTCGTGACCAAGACCTCTTCTGCTACTGCCTCCGCTTCAACTTCTTCTGCTGCTGCCACTTCCTCAGCTGCTGCTGCCACTTCTTCGGCTACCTCTTCTAACGGTGCCATTTCTAACGGCGCTTGCGGTTTGGCCGCTGTCTTTGCCTTTGCTGGCGCTCTTTTGTTGTAAATGAATGGTTTTTGATGAGTGTGTTTTTTTTTTTTTGAATTGAATTGAATTGAATTGGAAACAATTGATTTATAATATTCGCATGTAGTTGAGTCTACAAAATCCCGCCCATTTATTTCCAATTCATTTCTCTCAATCTCCCAACATTCTACTCATTTTTGTTTTAACAAAAAAAAATAAAATTTCCAATTCTCTTTTTTTGTAATATATATAATATCTAATTCCATAATGACTTTGTTTTTTTATATTAATTTAATATACCGTTTTTTTTTTTTTTTTGAAAGATGATTTTGACATTAATTTGAATCAAGCCATAATTATACTTTGAAAAAAAAAAAAAAAACGCAATATGGTGCTATTTTTAGAAATCTATTTTTTTTTTGTCTAAGAAGTGGGAGGGGAGTAAGAATATCAAGAAAAATATTAATAAAAAGTTTGGCCTTTTTTTTTATTTTATCAATAAAGCGGGTTTTGTTTAGACAATTGCTTTTTTTTATTTTTAAAAAATAAAAATAAAAATAAAAGTTTCCCGTCAAGTTGCTTAGATTTTAAAAAAATTTAACTTTAAAATCTCTCTCATTCGTCTGTTATTTTAAAAGATTAAAAGATACTTGTACAATGTGTTTTAATAATAATAATATTATTATTATTATTATAATAATCCACCCAATAAATTGTTCGTATAATAGTTGGTATATATGAATAGTGTTGGTTGGTAATATTAAAAAAAATATTAAAAAAGTTAAAAAGTTAAAGTTAAAAAGTTAAAAATGGCAGCACAATGGACATCATATCTCTCCTACAAGATTCAACAACTATTATATATTAAAATAGTCATTTACATGTCTCTTTCAAAACAATAAATCAATAAAACCTTTTTTTATAAATATTGTACACAAAAAAAAAAAAAAAATACATCAAATTTTCATAATCATAAAAGAAAAAAAAAAATAAATAAATAAAAAGCAAAAAGTAAAAAGTAAAAAACCTCTTCCTTCAAACATCACATGCAATCATTCTTCAAAAACATGCTATTTGCATGATGTGCAAGTCCAGGACACTCGCGTGAATGAATGTGCTCCTCAACCCACCGCTCATTGCTCTCAAACTTGGCTCCACATCCACGACACATCCCACCAACCTTGGCCCGGTGCTCGCTCCGAGTCCCTGGTGGATACAAAAAGTGCCGGGCCTTGAGATGCGTCTTATATGTATCCCGACGTGAAAACCCGCCAGTCGGGTGACACGGGCTCTTTTCCTCACAGTTGTAAAACGGACACCGATATGCCTTCTGCACAGCATGCTTCTTCATGTGTCTAGTCAAATATCCACGAATCCGGAACGCAGCCATGCAGTGTGTGCATACATATGGGTATTCTTTGGATTCTACATGTCCCTCCGCTGTTCGACCACGATGAGATGATGGGACATGAACCGATTTCTGTGTAGCAGAATGGGGTTGTCGTTGTTGTTGTTGTTTTTGTTGCTGCTGAAATGAAACAATCTCAAGATTTGAGCCTGTGGCGCCAGCGGCGCCAGCGCCGAAAGAGCCTGTTCTCTCTGCTGCAATAGCAGGCTGTGCAGCTGCAGATGATGTTGACACAGAAAACACAATGTTACTATTAGTATTATTATCATTATTAATAGAAGGCACATTTTGTGGAAACATATGATATTGCATAAATTTCAAAGATTGCTGTTCTGAAAACTGCGGCTGCTGACTATTTTGCTGAAAACCATTTTCAATATTACTTTCAACACTGCTAGCACTACTACTGCTATTGCTGCGTGAAGGATTATCCAGATTGTGTGTAAGCGGCGATGCACTTGTTACCGATCCATCACTAGGACTTGAATGATGTTCTGGTGGTGACAACTCATCTAGAACAATGGTCTGAATGAAGTTGTGATTTAAAATTTGAATCGGCTGTTGCTGCTGCTGCTGCATTGGTTGAGATGACTGCGGAAACATGGGATGTGGGAAAGATTGCTGTTGCATTTGCAAAAGAGCATTTTGATTATTCTGCATCGTCATGACTTGATTTAGTTGTTCAGGTATCAATTTAGCAAAGGTATCCTCCAAGTCAAAATTAAAATCAAGTGGTTGAGTCGCAGTCATCGAGTCCAAAAGCTTAAGCTCGTCAAGGTTAAATGTGGTACCAGCAGAAGAAATTGTACTGTTCAGTGCATTTATATCGTCAATAGGCGAGGATGATTGCACAATCTGAGATGGTGGACTCGGCTCCAAATCTGGAAGTGGCGAGTGGGAAAAGTCATTGCTGCAGGTACTGCCGCAAGTTTGGCTAGCATGAAGTGAGTAAGGTGGTGACAACGAGTCAAGAGACTGGGATAAAGAGTTTGGTACAGGAACAGGCATAGGCATAGGCAGGGCCGAGGAAGGCAAAAGTGATGAAGATGGTGGTGCAGTAGGCCCCGTCGTAGGCAACAAACCATTGGCAAATGGTGGCACCGAGTCTGGAGATGGTGGGAAAGTTTGTGAATGAGCTAACCGGACATTGGCAATATCTGGAAGCTGTTGTTGTTTTTGTTGTTGTTGTGAGTGGGGTTGATTCTGTTGTAAAGCCTTTTGTTGGAGAAAAAACTGCCGTCGAAGTTGGACCGGAAGAGCCGCGGAAGGAAACTTTGCGTCACTTCCTTGTGTCATTGCAAAAAATTCAGGGTTGGGGTTGGGGTTTTCTACACTTGTAATGATATTATTAAGGTTATGGTTTTCCTGCATAGGGGGATTTGTCGTTGCTGCTGCCTCTGCTAATGCTACTCTAGCTTCATTATTGCTAGTAACTGGCGACGAGATAAGGGGAGCAGTGATGTTTTTAAAAGACCCCGTAGATCCATTCCAAAATGGAAGAACGTCGTCCACATCAAGAGAAAGCGTAGGTGTTGGTACAAGTTGGAAGCTTGGTTGTTGAATGTTGTTATTGTTGTTTTTGACATTCATATTGATAAATTCAGGTACCAAGTTAGGGCCTTCTTGAGCTGAAGCATCAACCACCATGGGATTAGAAAAATCAGCATCCCAGAGATTCATGTTGCGCATGGTATATGCACCAAATGAAAGGTCTGAGGCACAAGCACATATAGTTGAGCTATCTGGTGTGATGTCTGCATAGGTTGAAGTTGTAGGGAAAAGTGGTAAAGAAGTTGCTGAGTCGTTTACAGAATCTGATGATGAAAGAGAGGAAGCAGGGTCAGTTAATAGTGGAGAGGGAGGTGCTGTAGTTGTTTTTGTTGCTGAATTTGCTGTATTTGTTGCATTCTTTTTGGATGAGATAGATGTTGCCACCTTTAAGACTTGTTGGATATCTTTTTGTTTACTGGCATCTATTTTTTCGCTCTGTTGCTGTTTGCGGGAAAATCGCCTCAGAGATGGGAATGACCGGTTTGAAAAAAAGGCCACTAATAAAAGAATGCTGAGAGCTGCATAATGGAGAAGAGAGAAAGAAAAAGTCCCCCAGACGGACAAAGGTCCCGAGAGCTGTTGTTGCTGAGCTTGTTGGGTTTGTGACATTTGAAGTTTATGTGCTGCTTTTGCTGCTGCTATTGCTGAGTCTGAATGATGAAGAGCGTGTATTGTAGAGAATATAGCCTCCATTATAATTTTTTCTAAAAAAAAAAAAAAAAAATTGGTGATGGTAATGGTGAAGGTGAAAAAGAAGAAAAGAAGAAAAAATAAAAATAAAAATAAAAATAAAAATAAAAAGAAGAGGAGTTTTTTTTTAATTTTTTTTTTTTCTATGAGATTATTTTTGGGATCTTTTTTTTTCTTTTTTAACAGAAAAGAGGGGCGAAGCTGATGGTTTTAATACTAAGGCTTTAACTTTAGTTTACTTTACATATACACACACATACAAAAATTAAAGTACCACAACACACAAAGTTTTTTTTTTTTCATAGAGTACGGCGACATCCCAACCAACAATGACTACTAGTTTAGTCTCCAAATATCGCCAAAAGGCTCCTTTTGACCTGATTCTCGAGTCTTTCGCTGAGCTTTTTTTTATTTTCATTTTTAAATAGCAGTGTGGTGTATATATTTTAATTAATGAAAAAAGTTTTACTAAAAGCCGCCTGCTCGTGAGGAGTCAAAATGCGTGAGAAATTTTTTTTTTCTCTTATCTTTCTTGGTGCCGTGTGGATGACAAATGGATTATGTAATATGTTATCAAGCATATTTGTGTGCCGCGCTTTGTTTGTCTTTTTTTTTTTTTTTTTTTTGCACTACCACCACCAAACTCCCCATTGTGACCACTTTATATGAAATCATTTTAAATGCACAAGACCATCCCGTCTATAACCTGCGGCTTTTACTTCCTTTAAAAGAAAAAGAAAAAAAGATATATCATATATACGTAACGCATCGTTCATTATAAAAATGGCGCCGTTGTAAAATAATATAGATGCATAGATAGTAGATAAAGCTATGATGAAAATGAAAATGAAAATGAAAATAAATGAAAATAAATGAAAAAAATATTAACGTGTGTTATTGACCGTTTTTTTTTTTTTTTGTGATTTATCATGATGTAAATTGATCCATAGGGTTTATTAGAAGCGGGGGAGGTTTTTTTAATTCATTGAAAAAAAAAAAAATTCACTTAAATCCACCTCTCATAGTCGTTTAACTTTCAAAGATTTAAAGAAAACAAAATCTACCCACCCATTTTTTATATGGGCTTAAACTATTTATATTTTTATCTAATTCATTTTTGTCAAAATGATCATCATTTTTATCTAGGAAAGAAAGAAAAAAAAAAAAAAAAAAAAAGAGGAGCAGCAATAGTAGTATTGGTAAAACAAAAAGACCCACTAAGAAATGATCTTCACTAGCTAGTGTGTTCTCGAGTCTTTTTTCAATTATCTTTTTTCTTTTTTAAAATATTATACTAATTGTTACCTGATGAAAATGTGTATAAAATATAAAAAAGTTGAAACAATGATGTTAATCATATATAAATAGTATAATGGTTTATACAAATAATTCACAACTTACACAACCTTCATATATCCAGGAAATAGGACTGGTTGTTTTTAAACCAAAAAAAAAAAAAAAACAGTGGCAAATTATGAATTCCCAAAAGCTGAGTTAAATTTTCAAAAAATAAAAGATGATCAGCTTTTCGGACATGCTTGTATATATCTAGATCATACAAGGTCGTTCTCCTTTAATCCCAAATATGACCAATGCCAACTAGTTTCTCTCTCTCAATGGTATTCTCTTTTATTGTTGTACCAGATCTTTAAAAAAAAAAAGGTCTTTTGCCTATCGTGTACTCAAAAGAAAATATCAAAAATGTATCACGTGTACATGATCCCCATCCTTACTAAAGTAGACCAATTTATCTTAACAATTATCTCAAAATCACAGCTTCTGATTCCAATAATTTTGATTCTGTAAGCATGATTTTGTTTGTCTATTTTTCATCAATCAGTTTCAAAAGTTTTACTGGTTAAATGTTTAAATAATGGTAGATTTGAGTCGTTATAATTGTAAAACAAAAATATTCCTTTTTAAATATAAATACAAGCATTTCTTTTTTTTTTTTTTTTTCAAACTAAAACACCTCTTCATTGTAGTTTGAATAGCCAATTTGGGCAAAAATATATATAAACTCATAATCCCAAACAAGAGAAATGAATAGCAAAGTTTTGTTAAAAAATGTATTGCATCAAATAATTGAAAAATAATGTCCGAATCAATGCTTTTGAAAAAAAAAAAAAAAAATACTTACAAAAGTATTTATGTTAATGATAGGCAAACAGCTCTTATTTTCAATTGCGTAAAACATTTTGAATTTAAAAGATTGACCAATTCTTGTAGTTTCTTTTTATTTTTCTTTAATATGGGATTATTTAATTGTATTTACAGAAGTTAATTAAATTAATTATATACATTTCCACTCAAAAATAGAGCAAATTATATATTTAACTAAAAAAAACGCTTTGAAATGAGTGATTAAGTAATTGCAAAGATCGCAAATACTTGACAACATTTATTCCAATAATAAAAAAAAAACTTTTGAAAATTTGATACCTTTTAAGAATCCCAAAAGGTTGTGGTAAATATTTGGTTTAATTCAATTTTATCGTTTAAATGTCTAAACCCTTGAATTCAAGCTAATGAATTTACTCTATATAATGTTACTGCAGGAAAAATAAATAAATGAATGAATAATCATTCTAATATCAATTAAGCAAATTTTTTTATAACGTCCATTTAATAAAAAAAAATAAATCCCTGAATTTTATTGTTTTTTTGAAAATCTTTTGCAAATTTTCTTTCAGTCCTGCTATGGCACGGAATATCATATTCATGTTTATGAAAAATCCATAGAATCACTATGTACTAAACAAACTTAAAGTTATCATCTTTATATGATGTCATCTTGAAGACAAGGTACAAAATTCGATCTTAATTTTTATATTAGAATTTGTTTATCCCACTCTTTCTTTGTATTTGTTTTTTCCCACCAATCCTAACATGACTACAATAAAGAGGCTTAAAAAAAAGGAAACATAAAATATTTCCCCGAAGTACTCTTTTATTCATGTAAGAACAATATGATATGTTTGTTACTATCGTTAATTGGAAACAGAAAAAAAAATTAATAAACATAGAGTAAGATTAGAAGAAAAAAAATACTCAAATAAATTTTAATTCTAAAACCCTTATCAATTGATAAAAAAAATGTTCATTCTCTATTTAATTGTATTTTATTTTGTACAAATGATGTTAGATATGAACACAATTGTAGAAGGCTCAGTAAAAGGCTCTTTTTTTCCCCTTTTTATTTTCCTCTTTTAAACCATATTTTAAAAAAGTTACTGAGAACCAATTTTTTGTTTTTTTAAAAAAAAAAATTCAAAAGTTTTATTCTGGCAGGAACTTACAGTAGTATATATCATGTAATATTAGATCAAGATTTATAATTTTTAAAACTATCTAAAATAATAAGAAAAAAACAATAACCGGGTTATCAGTTTTAATATTTTTTATTCAATGAAAAAAAAAAATTTGAAAATGAAATTAAAAGATTAGTAGTAAAATTTAAAGCATATTTTTGTATCCAGTTTTCAAATAGCTTAATAATTTTTGGATTCATCAACAACTCCAGGTTAAGGGAATTTACAAAAGTTGAATATAGCCTACTATTGAAATCATAATTTTTTGAAAAAAGTATTAATAAAGTACATATGATGGTTTCCCGGTAACTAAAAATCCTTTCATGTGGAAGAGATCAAGGTGATGATCATAATTGAGAGACATAAGAATTTTAACAATAGGCTTTTTGGAAGTCAATCGTTTTGCCTGTTATAGAAATCTTATTTATGAATTCATTGGTCTAAGTTAAATAGACAGGTCTTGTAATGAATTTAATTGATTAAATACTAACTACCAAATGTTAAATGACTTGTTGGATCGCTGATATAAAATTACTAAATTAATGACTAATAATTGATTTAATAAAGTTAAATTTAACTCAATATATATATATATCGCTTTGCTGGGCTTCGACTTCTTTGCATATGTATCTTTTCCTTTTTCCCCCAGAATATTACTTTTGTTTTCAATCACCATGCAATTAACGAAGACCTTGTTTATTTAAACTTCAACATCACAAACGTTCCAGCCGTACGTGCATATTTAATTTCAAAACAAAACTTTTTTTTTTGTTCATTATTCATTCATTAAAAATTTTTAATTAATCGTTTTTTTTTTCACAAATTCATTTCGTTTGTCACACTTTTTTCTAAACTATTAAAATAAAAAAAACAAATAAATAAAAATCATTATCGACCTGTTGTTTGATACCGTCTAAACTTGTAAATGTTGTACATTATAATGGAGAGTAATGTAATTACCAAACCCACAATGTTGATTGTAGAAAGACGGTCGCCAAAGTACAGTGCAGCAGCAACAAGCGTCAACAGTTCTTTAAAGATACCAGCTATCGATAACGTCAAGACGCTGGTTCTATTAAGGAGGAAAAATTCACTCAATGTCATTAAAAATGCAATGGCTCCAGGGACCATCATGATGCCTATGCCAGCAAACACGCCGCGATCGGCCCACATGGGAGCATGTACAAAGCTCGGGAGGCCTTCCGTAATGCACCCCCAAAGAAAGAGGAAGATACCCATGGGGGGTGCTAAGTACATGATAGTGCGTGCAGGGTCATTATGGGTAGAGATGCGGCCGAGATGGGGGTCCTGGCGCAGAAGAAGCTGAGTGAGGGACCATCTTAGGCCGCTAAACATTGCAGCCCCAAGGACCAAAAAAAAGCCAATGATAGAGAACTCAGTTTCACCGGCCACCATCATGACGACACCTAACGACATAACACCAATAATTCCAAAGATGGAGCATGTAGGCACCTCGAGTTTGAAGAGGATGCCGAAAAGTAGGACAAAGCCCAAACTGGAAGACTTGACCATTGTGTAAAAACTAAGGGAAACGATACGAAGTGACGCATTACCCATGCCGATATCAGCGCCGGAAGCTGTTGCTGTTGGGACGATTCCTCTGAGGTACGATTTGATCCACGACAACCACCGGTCCCGCGGTGAGAGCATTGGTTTTTCCTCCTCAAAAGAGTTGGAAAGGTCTTTATCATTAGAATCGTCGAGGCTTGCTTCTTCGTCATTTAAGTGGAAAGTTTCTTCTTCGATATCTTCTTCTTCGTCGTCATTTTTTTTGCGGGTATTTAGTGGTTGGTCTTGTTTATTATTATTATTTTTAGTAGTAGTATTGGTAGTATTAGGAGATGAGGTATCAGGCATTGAAGTTGCAGCCAAAAGGCGTCTGTAAGGCCCACCAAATATTTTTACAACGATAAATGATAGTATGAACTGCATAAATTGGTGTCCTGAGGTTGTGAGGATTGGGAATTGAAAGTCAAGGTGTTCAGCAGAAAACATCCACTTGTTATAGATGGAGATGGAGAGGGAGAATGCGTACCAAAGGATGATGAAGACGCATGAGATTAGGGCATTGCGGATCCATTGGATATTGAGTCTGCGACGCTGGAGGGCGCGTGGATTTGAAGCTGCAGCGGCATAGTCGTCTTCATAGTCGTCGTCAAAGTTGTCAAAGGGGGAGATGCGGTAGTCGCGTCCAATGCTAAAACTACTTGTACTTGTGCTTGAGCGGGTACGAGAGACTGTTTGAAGTAGGGAAGGAGATCCTGTTGAGGGGAAGACTGTTGAGGAGGAGATTCCTGAGGGAGAGGATGGGACACGGAGGCTTGAGGCAGAAGAAGAAGAGGAAGATAAAGAGCGAGTGGATATTGGAGAAGATGGAGGTAACAGCGCAGTGGAAGGATCTTGAGAGGCGGCTGCTATAGAAGCCAAGTGATCGGTACTTGCTCTGTGTCTGGTGCCCGAGGAGTCGACAACTTCAATGTCGCTATGGGCGGAATTATTCATGTTGAAATGAAGTAGGAGAGGGAAAATGGGGATGGAAAGGGGGAGGGAAAAGGGAAGGGGTTAAGTAGAAGCGATTGTTAACAGGGTATCATATGGTTGTATATATATATATATATATGAATGTGGATGTGTTAGTTGTAAGCTTGTTGCGGTGAGATTAGGAAGCAGGTTGAAAAACGTGATGCATGTGAGCTGAATATTATATAAATTGAGTAATTATTAAGAGATCGGAGGGAAACAGATGAAGGGGGGGAGGTTGTAGAGGAGTTGCTATGAGATTACGTATAGAAAATGAGGTGTGTAATTTTAAGGGTTTGGGTTTGGATTTTTTTTTTATTTATTTTTTTTATTTATTTTTTTTTTTTTTTATTTTAAAATTTTAACTTTAAAGTTTTGTTTGGGGATTAATCTGGAGGGCCACGAGTACTTTTTATAAAAGTAATGACACAATGTGTTACAATATATAAATTATAAGATTAGATTATTAATGATTATTAATGTATTTGTTATTTTTAATTTATGAAAGCTATTTAAGTGTTTCATTTTGACTTTAAAAAAAATAATCTGAATTTCATTTATATTAAGCAAATGATGTCGTCATTCCATGTATAGAAACCGTTAAAATTTCTGGTTTGGGCCAAGAAGGAAATTAAAAAAAAAAAAATAAAAAAATTTCCAAAAGTGTACACATCCGTTTTTCTATGCAACAACAACAACAACAACAACGACAACACGCAACTGGCAACTAACAAATTTGTTAATTTGTTAATTTGTTAATCTGATAATAAAAAAAGTTAAATAGTTAGAAAAAGTCAAAAAAACGTTAAAAAAACGTTAAAAATAGTTAAAAAAAAAAGTTAAAAAAAATTACCATATCTGTAAATATTGTTGTTGAGTATTGAGTCATTCTGTACACATAAAAAAAAAGCCCTGCGATGACCCCCCTCACCCAATACATCTTAGGCAGACTGAAAAAAAAAAAATAAAAATAGACTTGCTCGGATCTTTCTTCTACCCAAACAAACAAACTTAATATATGATCTAATGACGGTACATGGACCCGACACCCGACCTCTGAAAGTCACGGGTAGTGCACGCAAGCAGTTTTTTTTTTTTAATTTAATTTAATTCATTTATTTCAACACAGCCACAACCAAAAAATTTTTTTTTCTACTTAGCTTTTTTACTTCTCTCTCCCCTGTCTTTCACACACACACACAGTTGTCCCCACAACGCTGATATATATACGTAATTCCCGTTTTCGGTATGTGACCGATGACGTCACGGAACGCTTACAAGTGACATCAGTGGTAAAAGCAACAGAAGCAGCAGCGACAACAACAAATAAACAAATGGCAGTGTTGATGGGGAGAAGAAGGAAGAAACGATACGATAAAACGATAAATTTTTAAAATAAAAAAAAATTTAAAAAAATTGAAATTGTTAAAAAAAAAAAAAAAAAAAAACTGGACAAGATTTCATTTTTAATTTTTCAATTTTTTATTTATTTATTTTATTTTTTTATTTTTTTATTTTCGTCACCAAAATAAAAATAAAAATAAAAATTTTAAAATTTTAAAATTTTAAAATTTAGAATTTCAACTTTTTTTTTTTTTTTTTTTTTTTTTTTCATCAACAACATCAACTTCAACAACAACAAAAACAAAAACAACCAGCCGCTGTTACCGCCATCGCTGCCGATTCCGCGTAAACCTTAGTTGACTTGAAGTCTTTTGAAATGACTCTCAGTGATTCTTTTTCTTCTTCTTCTTCCCGCTATTGTTGTTGTAGTGGCTCATCTTTATTAGCTCCTTCACAACAACAACAACAACAACAACAACAACAACTACAACCATCAACAGTCCTATGGAAATCTTTGTTGCTTCTACAACAACTGCGGCTCAACTCTTTTCTTAACACTCAAGTCTCTGAAAGTCCCGACTGTGGTCCGGGCTGTGGTCCCGCCGCTAGTAGTCCCAAGCTCTCCAGCAAGCACCAACACCATTATCATCATAATCATCAGAAATTCACCCGGAACAACATCCGGAACCTCCCACTCAACCCCACACACATCACAAAGCCCCATCAGCCAAGCGCTAAACAACCACCGCTATCCATACCCACTGACCCATCCATGATATCGTGTTATCCAGCAACTATCACCACTATCACTACCTGCATTCCAGCACCAGCACCAGCACCAGCACCAGCACAAAAACGATCCAGAAGAACTTCATTCTTTCTATCAAATCTAATATACCCAATCCTACTACTCATTTTTTCCGCCCTCTCAACAGCCGCAGCTACATCCTCCTCCATTGAATTCAACGGCATCTCCTCGTCAAACTGGCTTGTTGACCACCATTGGACCCGCAACAACACCGTGGTCATCCATAACCCTCAAAACTCTTCCGCTGTCTTCAAACTCACCTTTCGTCAACCCCATCAAACCTCGTCAGACTTCCCTCCTCAAAACATCCCCCCACTCAGCTTGTTTCAACTTGATGAGCAATTAGAAGCCGATGAAGCTTTTGCCTTTCTGAGCCGTCGCCAAAATGCAGCAGAAAGTTCCACTGCAACTCTATCAACAGCAACATCCAGCCAGCTCCCAAGCGTACTCTCGCCAACTTCTATTCCTGGCCTAGCCCGCGAAGGTATCTACATTGGTATCTACATGGGCTCCCAGTCTCAACGAGTTCTTTGCAAAGTCGATACCATGACGGACCTCCTCATTACAAACGAATATAACCAAACAGCTTCTGAGATTCGTGCACTGGCCCTAAACTCATCAACGGCTCTCAGCAACGCGCTTGAAGGCTTCGATCCAAATAACTCCACCTCTTACCAACCCATTGCAAATTCCCATGTTGACATTGAAACCCTCACAGGCCTCACTATCAATGGATCCATGGCTAGAGATTCCATTGGCTTTTCCTCTCACAAGTACCTCGAAGGCGAGTACGAGTTTCTCCTTGCAGAAAACAACACTGTCTTTTTTTCAAACATCTTCAGCATCATTGGCAATGATAACTCCGTCACTGAAAATGAACTCTCATCTTTCAACTATACCGCCTTTTCATCTACCCCCGCAAACATTGTTGGCCTAGGCCCCCCACAAAGCGATAGCTCCTTCATCCAGCAGCTCTACTCTTCTGGGAAAACCACTTCTAAACTCTTTTCGCTCGGTATCACCTCCTCAAGCAATGTCTCCATCACCATGGGCTCAATCGACACCTCTCGCTTCAACTCAACCCTCTTCATGCAACCAATCCTCCCCTACATGTATAGTGCAAACATGTCCCACACTGGTTACAGCTATCCTTTCATCACCTTGACCGCCCTCACCCTCACAAACCTCAAAATGAACAACACCATTTCCTTTGCCGACAATGAGCTCTCACTGCCTGTTCTCCTCGATATCTCCTCTTCCGTCTCTTTCCTCCCATACACAATGGTCGTTTACCTAGCCTCCCAAATTGGTGCATATTACTCTTCAGACCTCAAGGCCTGGATTCAAACATGCTCCTACCGCGACGCAGCTGGCTCTATCGGGTTTTCCTTCTACAACGTCACTATTAACGTCCCCCTCGCTGACATTATCGTCCCCATAATTACCTCTAACGGCGACCGCCTATACTTTGAGTCTGGAGACCAGGCATGTGCCCTCTCCTTCCTACCCGCTGAGGCCCGTGGCTTTTCCTCTCTCGGAACTACCTTTTTTGAGTCGGCTTATAGTGTGTTTGATTATGAAAATATGCTGGTGGGGCTGGCCCAACTCAATTCAAATTCGTCCGACTCGTCCGACTCGTCCTCCTCATCATCATCTTCATCTTCTTCATCCTACCTCAAGGCAGTCACCAAATCTGTTGATGAGGTCGTCAATGCCACTACATATTATCCTTCAGGGTTCCCCCCTACCGCTATGATTTTGTCTCCAGAAACCTCTTACTACAATACTGCCAGCGAGTCGCTCGGCACCTTACTAGGTCTCATCACCCTGAGCGGCACCCAAACCACCCAACCCAGTTCTCTGGCTACGCCTAACTCAGACTCCTCCCTTTCTGGAAGCTCAGGCGCAACCGCAACAACAACACGTAATGTGGGAGGACTATTGGGGAATACAGCCACCGGTAACCCATTCACTCAATCTGCATACGAGTCTACTCCGTTTGGTGCTGCGCCCGGAAAGGCCCAGCCGCGCGGAAGGCTTGTTTGTATTCTCACCGCATTAATTGTTGGCTTTTCCACCATCCTAGGATCTCTTCTTTAAAAGATTTAATATGTGTGTGTCTGTACGTGTTTTCATTTGTTTTTTTTTTCTTTTTGTTTGTTTGCTTTTTTAGACTTAGATGGAATCTTTTGTAATTGTATGTATTGCTTTCGATCAATAATAATAATAATAATATAAATAATGATAAAAGTTTCATTAAAAATCGTTAAATGCCAAATGATGGTTAAAAAGTAAAACTAATTCTATTCGTAATAAAAAGGTCATTAAAATGGTAGGGAGATGGAGAAGTAATGAGAATACAACTTTTTTTATCGCTTGCGGCGGCCCTTGAAGGATCTATTTTTCTTCACCTTCTTCTTCCAGCTTCCCGTCTTAGCCTTCTTAGGCTCCTCTTCTCCTCCTTCCTTCTTTCCCTCAGATCCTTCTGTGACTTCCTTCTGAACCTCCATTTCTTCATCTTCTTCCTCCTTATTCCCATTCTTTGCACGATGCTTTTCCTTCTCGTTTTCACGCATCACCTCCTTCACGTGGCCCAGTAGCTTGGCCGCGAGCCGTTGTCGACGTGCCTCCTCTGCAGGCTCAAAAACCTTGTTCCGCAGCTGGTTCCGGAACTTAAGCTTGGTTTTTGATCGTAAAGATTTGCCCATTTTTTTGGTTTAATGTGTGTGTTTTGAAAGTAAGGAGGGGTGGATGTGGGTGGATATGTGAGTGTAATGGTTGGTGGTGGTTGTGATGTATTTAGAGACCTTGCGAAAATTTTCATTGAACAAAAAAAAAAAAAATTTTATTTGGAAATAGTACGGCTTGATTTTTTTACGTAATTTTCTTTAAGCCGCAGGTTGATAAGTATTGCTGTTCAGCTTTAAAAGAAAGAAAAAGCTTTGCTATCAATGCAAATTAAATGACTAGAAAATAGTCAACAATGGTAATATTTATCTATAAATAAATAAAAACTTTTGTAAAAAAAAAATAAATTAAAAAAAAGAATAAAACTTATTTTTTATTTCATTGTTTCATTGATTCATTGATTCATCAGGACATGAAATTACTAGATATGAATAAATAAGTTCCATAGTATAGAGTTGTTGTTTTTTTTGTGTGTTATCACCGTACTGATATCACACCTTCTCTTTACTCGTACCAAACCGTTCCCCAGATCACGTGAAGATTTAATCTTTTAAAATTAAAAATTTAAATTTTTCCAAATTTCACAATGTTACAGCTTTGTACTACACTGAAATAAAATAAATATACGGCTACAAAATGAGAAACAACAGTCACACAGTTTTTTCAACCCATCCCCACTCTTTACCACAGACTCAGTATGAAATATTTTTTGAGTCTCTTTTTTCTACAGTACTTTTTATCACGATTAATTTTTACTTTTCAATTTCATTAGTCATCTGGTAGTCATCTTATCACGTTGTAATCATTTCTATCTAAACCTCACACACACCTTTTGCTCCTTCTCTCTCTCACTCCATAGTGTTGTAGTCGCGTCACCATGACACTGGATGACTGTATTTGGGTTTGGGTATCTCTCATATAATGAGGCTCACCCTCCCTCTATATATAAAGACCTGGTTGCAACACCTAAAGTTGTAACAAAAAAAACACCCAACTACCTCCTCTCTTCAGGAAAAAAAAAAATCGTATAGTCCCAGTGCCACCCACACAGAGAAAATTTTTTTTTCCTCTCCTACTTCCCTCTTCCCCCCCTTTTTTTTTTCCCTTTCCCTCTGCGTCTCACGATCCTAGAAGTTTCCAGCGACAAAATACCATTTAAAATGTACGTCTAATGAGATATTAACAAGATGATGATGAGAATGATGATACCCAAATGCTCTTTTGTGCTTTTTTTTTATTTTTGCAAATAACTAATACGTTTTTCTTTCAGGGCCAACCTTAAACTTCAGAAGCGACTTGCCTCCAGCGTCCTTGGCGTTGGTAAGAGAAAGATCTGGCTCGATCCCGCCGAGACCACTGCCATCAGCGAAGCCAACTCTCGTCAAACTGTCCGCAAGTTGGTTGACAATGGTATCATTATCCGCAAGCCTGAGACTGGCCACTCTAGAGCCCGTGCTCGTGCCCACAAGGAGGCCAAGCGTGCTGGTAGACACTCTGGTTACGGTAAGAGAAAGGGTACTGCCAACGCCAGAATGCCTTCTAAGGTTCTCTGGATGAGACGTATCCGTGTTCTCCGTCGCCTTATCTCCAAGTACAGAGATGCTGGCAAGATTGACAAGTCTCTTTACCGCACTCTTTACCAGGAGTCCAAGGGTAACACCTTCAAGCACAAGCGCGCCCTTGTCGAGCACATCATCAAGGCTAAGGCCGAGGCTGCCCGTGAGAAGTCAATCAGAGAGGAGGCTGAGGCTCGCCGCGAGAAGCTCCGTGCTGTCAAGGCTAGAAGACAACAGCGCATTGTTGAGAAGAGAGAGGCTCTTCTCAAGGATGAGTAAATTTGCACTGATGTATTTTTGTTTTTAAAAAAAAATTGATGGAAGCTTAATAAGAAATTTCTCTGTTATCGTTGTTGTTACTTTAATTTTTATTTTATTTTTTTTATTGTAGTGCAGTTAAAGTTATTGCATATGGCTTTACGTAGGTTATCGACGGTCTATGTCCTCGGGACTGCCGATAATATCAATAGTCACGCCATGAGTTCATCTGAGTGGAAATGTCGCTGGTCGTTTCCTAATGGAATTATTCCGAGCCGGGCAGCCATGAGACCATAGAAGGAAAAGAAGAAGAAGAAGAATTAATAATAATAATAATAATAATAATAATAATAATAATAATAATATTTAAAAAAAAATGGCATGATGTTTGATCTATTAGCAACAGAGTTTGTGGGGGGGGTCAGGCCGAGGAAACTGACAAGACCAATTTGAGAGAGTTTTCTTGGAGATATATAAATGGGCACTTTTGTCCGTAGATTTTTTTTTTTCTTTCTTTATCTCAAATTAGCAACTAGTCTACTGACAAAGACTTTTTAAAAAAAAACATTTACATATCTATCATCTATCAGATACAACCATCACTCCCTTTACGTTACAAATATAATCACAATGGCTCAACCAAGACCCCTTAGAAGAGCATCAACATTTCCTATCACCCAGACGGCTGTGCGGATCCATGGGCCAGGCCAAAACCCGAAGGTGGACATTGATGCGAGCTTGCCTGTGCTAGGCGAATACGACATTTTAGTCAAGAACCTGTACTGCGGCATTAACTTTGTAGACCTGTACTACATTAAGGGCTCGAGACCAATTAAAAAGTACCCATTCACGCTGGGCCGCGAGGCTGCCGGAACAGTTATCAAGACCGGAGCCAAGGTCAATAAGTTTGGTGTGGGCGATAGGGTCGTATACATTGCAGATGGAGCTTATGCACAACACACTGCAGTCGACGAGCGTGGGCGGGTTGCGCGAATTGTGGACTTTGTGAGCCCGAAGGAAGCTGCGGCGTCGCTACTGCAGGGCCTGACAGCCATTACGCTTGTACGTGAAGCATACGTGGTCAAGCCCGGTGACTGGGTTCTTGTGCACGCAGCAGCCGGTGGCACGGGCTCGCTGGTGGTCCAGATGGCAGCCAAGGCAGGGGCGCGGGTAATTGGAGTGACAAGCGTGGAGGCCAAGGCTGCCACGGCCCTGGAAAATGGGGCCGAGGCGGTTGTGTGCTACAAGACGGAGGACATTGCGACACGGGTACGGGAGCTAACTGGTGGCCGTGGCGTGGACGCAGTGTTTGATAGCGTGGGGGATGCATCGTACGGATCGTCGATGGAGTCACTGGCCAAGCGCGGGACGTTTGTATCGTATGGCGACTCATCCGGAGCCATTGCACCAGTGGAGATTGCGGCGCTGGGCGCTAAAAGCGTTAAGATTGTACGACACTCGCTAGGCAACTACGTGGACTCACCGGAAGACTGGGCCAAGTTTACGGAAGAGTATTGGGCCATGCTGAAGCACGGGGACTTGAGAGTGCGGGTGACCAAGGAGTATGCGCTGGAGGAGGTGCCTCAAGCGCTGAAGGATTTGGAGAGCGGAACTACGACAGGTAAGTTGATTGTCAAGGTTCAATAAATAGTGGTGGAGAAAAAGAGTTATCCGTTGGGTAGCATAGTGTCATGAATATTATTATTTTTATGTTTTAATGGATTTTTTTTAATGAATTTGAATTGAGAAATAACGATTAGGTATTCATTTACAAGTGATGTACTTTTAAGATATATGAGGAAGAAAAAAAAAAGTGGGGAAGTTTTACAGTGTTGGTTTTTTAGGAGAGCTATTTAGTGTAGGTATATAAATATGTTGCAATTTAGGGTATTGTTGCAATTAGTGATGAGTGCATGGTTGAAGCTAGTGGTTGTTGAAGTGACCTCAGGGGGGTTGTGTAAGTAAGCCATTAACCTTGGGGTGAAACACAAAGCACAAGACACGACAGTGATAGGTTGATGTTTTCCAATAAAGGGATTAAGATAAAGGACCTAATGATTATAATTAATTTAAATAAATACATAATATAAAGAGCAATTGCGAAATTAATTGGAAGAGCTGAGTTCACAGAGAGGGAGAGAGAAGAACAAAAGAAAAAAAGAAAGATTAATGGGAAGTTTGAACAGGGCGGAATATTATCGCAGATTGATGATAATTATTGAGAAAACAAAAAATAAAATAATTATTTTATTCAATAACAAATTAACCCAATGTCACGATATAAATAAAAGACTGAAAACCATATGGTCATTTTCTCTTTTTATTCTTGAACTCGCAACCGCTCTGGCTAATTATGGGTGGAGACAGGAGATCTTAATTAAGGAGATCTTGTGTAAATAGTGGTAGACAATAGCAAAGGCGCAAACAACAGACTTTTTTATTGTTATTTTTTTATTGACGATTATGATTAAAAGTGATAGTATTTGATTTGAAATGCAAAGATAGTTGCATTAAACCTACATTCAGTAATATGATATAAAGGAAATTACTTAGTGTTATAGTTACAGTAGATCAAATCCTAATTGAGGTTTCTATTATATTGATGATTTTTAACTTTGCCGTTTTAAACGATTTTTTTTTTAAAATTTTTTTTACTTCTCGCCTCCACCGTGTTTTTAGGATTTATTTTTTTTATTTTTTATTTCCTTCTTTGGCTTTTAAAGGCGCGTTTTGGCATGCGCGTGGAAAAAGCTTAAAAACGGTTTGGAATGGACGGCTGAGACTAGCCCACTTTGGTTTGGTTTGGTTTGGTCCCGCAGTTATTACGGGGAAAGTATGGCAATATATCACCATAGAAAACATGGCAGTAAGGGCCCTAAAACGTATTAATAACTTATAACAAATTTTGACGATGGGGAATATAAATCTATATATATATTTATGGGGGTAAAAGAGGAATCTCTTTTGTCAAAAAAAAGGAATAGGTTTGAGAAAGCAAAATGACAAAAAAATCAAATAATATTGTCTTTGCCCTTTCTAGACCAACAAACCTTGATTTTTGTACAGATATAGAAATATTAAGTTTAATTTACAAAGCTTCTTGCAGTTGGTGATATACGCTTTTTTTTAAATAATATGGCCAACGCGTAACTTCTGTATGTCTGTTTGAAGTCGAATACATTAGTTTTTGGGTATTTTTTTTTAAAAAAGTTTTTTAAAAAGGTTTACATATGAAATTTTTTAAGAGTCTATTTTAATAAAGTTTTTTTTATTTTTTTCTAGAAAAGTTTTGAATGAATCAATTTATCTAGTTTTTTGAAGAAAAATTAGATTGAATTTTTTACTTAGGGCCGAGTCAATTAATAGTTTGATTTTAATTTTTTTTTTTCAGGACAATAAATTTCAAAATTTCAAAATTTCAAAATTGAAAAAAACCACATATTTACACGCGCTACTGACGCGTATAATACGCGTGTAATACGCGTTGTACTTTCTAAAATGGGACTTCAACATCCCGTTTAGGGATTAGCGCACGGCTGAGATACACGCGCATTCAGGAACGCGTTTCCCAATCTGGTTTTGTGGAACCTCCTCTTTTGGTTTTGGCGATTTTTTTTTTTAATTTTAAGCTTATTTTGTGTTGACAATAAAAATCCTCCCTTTCTCCTTAATTTTTTTTTTTACGTGAATATGATTAAATATTAAAATATCTTTTAAAAAAACATTGATATAGTCATTTTATATATATATATGTATATTTATATATATATATTTGAAAACCAAAAAAAAAGCCAAATTTTAACATAATCCGGGAATCTCTATTGATACTTTAACGCGTTTGTTACGCGTATGTGCGTGATCAAGGGACTTAATATCATATTATATTAATACATAATAATAATAATAATTATTATTATTATTTTATTTTAAGGCTTCGAAAAGGGAGTTGCGAGGGCGATGATGCTAGGAGAGCGAAAGAAAGAGAAAGGAGCCCAAAAGATTGCATCCTTCACGTGTAAGGGTTCTTTTTTGTTCTTTTGTTTTGTTTTTGACAGACGACGGGATCCCTTGGGATAAGGAAAAACATGCCTGGGGCTGGGCCCGGGGGGCTGGGCTAGAAAGAGAAGATGGAACATTCAAAGGCATCAAATGGAAGGGAATTTTTGGTGATGGTTTTGTAAAGAACAAGAAATTCAATGTTATTTCAATAAGACATTTACTCATGCAAAACCCATTGCTGATGGTCTTTTAGGGAAAAGTCCCAACCACATCATAGGACCTTTATGGGAAGCCCCACGATCGGGTTGAATTGGAGCTTTCCAGCCCCCACCCTTCGTCCTCACCCCTCCCCCTTAGGAAGAAGGCAAGAGCGCCTGTCAAAGAGCCAAAAGAAGAACCGCCAAAAACCTTAAAAAATAATAAAAAAAACCTGACGCGTTTGAAAATAATCACCTTCTATTGAACCTTTTCAACTCCTGGCGACCCCTCGTGTTGTTGTTGTTATTGTTTTGATGAAAAACAACTCCAACTATAAATATAAAAGTCCCAGCACTCGCTCTTTTATATATATATACATATATATAAGAAAAAAAAGCCTGCCCTTTTTTCCCATAGTTCCTAGAATTCAATAACTTCATTTCTATACATATATTTATATTATTAATATTTGTATATATCTGATTTGTACACATTTCAATATATATATATAGACATATATAAATCACTTCATGCCGACCATGTCGTGCTAAGAAACCCGGAACTTTATCATCCAACTCTTCTCAGTCATTCGTTTAAACCAACAGTCGCTCTTTTGAAACAAAACCCTTCTTCAGAAATTCCTTTAAAATCAATTGAAATCATGCCTTTTTCATCATCATCATCCTTTCCATTGACTCCTCAACAACAGCAAAATCAACAGAATAACCAACAAAGCCCACCCATAAAACCTTCAGCCTCAATCAAAATGTCCCTCGCAACTGCAACCTGCCATTCTCAGCTCACACCACCAGATTCCCTTAGCAGGAAACGTCCTCTTCAGGATCCGCAAACCGTTGCTTCCTCTTCCTCTTCGGAACAAAATCTTACAAACCACACAAACAAACTCATCAAAACCAGCGCCGGCGCTGCTGCCATTCCCATGGCCCTCCACCTTCAAAAGGCACATACCCAGAACTTTGTCTACCACCCGGGAACCGGCCAAATCCCCCCATATGTCTCTTCCACTTCACCTCAGCTATCAGACAGTCTCATTCCTTCGATACCGTCCGCATCTACCACCGCATCTACCACCGTCGCCGCTTCCCAAATTTACTTCTCTTCATCCTCCGCGACACCGGCCGGCCCAGAAGTCGTGGCCGCTCAACAAACAGCTTCAGCTGTTTCACCAGACCAACTCGCTACCTTCCAGGCTCAGCCTACTCCTTGCCCTATCTACTCCGCCTGGACTGCTCCAAGATCATCAAACAGTCTTATGATTGCCCATCCTCAACAACATCAAATCGTTGTTGCCGCTCCAACTCAATCTACATCCCCCACTGAAGCTTCCCAAAAATCCACCGTTTCATCCCCAACCTCTCTCGTCTCCGACCGTAAGGCTTATGCAGGCTACCTCTCTCGTCAAAAAAAGGAATGCAACGACGCGGATGCTGCCTCCATCTGGAGCCCTGATGTCGAAAAGGCCTTCATGGAAGCCCTTAGGCGTATCCCGCACGTCGGCCGCCGCAAAATCACCGTCCATGGCAGGCCCTGTGGTCGTAACGAGCTCATCTCAGAGTACATCCAGCACAAAACTGGAAAAATTAGAACTCGCAAGCAGGTCTCGAGTCACATCCAAGTCCTCAAGCATCTTCTCAGAGACGACCCAGAGTTCATGGAGCTTGTTGTCGAAGCACCCCCGGAAAAACCTAGAGCTTCATCTCCTTCAAAACTTTCTCAACCTCAACCTCAACCTCAACAACAACAACCTCAACAACAACAACCTCAACCTCAACCTCAACCTCAACCTCAACCTCAACCTCAACCTCAACCTCAACCTCAACCTCAACCTCAACCTCAACCTCAACCTCAACCTCAACCTCAACCTCAACCTCAACCTCAACATCAACATCAACAACCCCAGCAACAGCCACGCTCTGATCTCCGAACAAGCCTTGAAGATCTCTTTAAATCCCCCAGCAAAGCCTCTACAACTCTTTCTGCAGGCTCAACCTCTTCAGCAACTGACCCAATCACTCCATGCCCTAAAAAGATTCCCTCTTCCGCAGATCTTCTCATGCTCACGGCTACTCCAGAACCCCCGTTGGGCTCAAATTCTCTTGACCAAGACTCTTACATCTTCATGCCCCTCAACTTCTCCATGTACCAATATCTCCCTCTCGCTCCACCTCAGGTTACTAGAGTCTTCTCCCAACTCATCCGCCCTCAGCTCGAGTCCCCCGTTAAGCAAAAGCAATCTGCCAAGCTCCTCAACCGCTTCCCTTCCGTGTCTCATGGTCTTTTCGCTTCAGGATATCCTACCGGTGTCCCTGTCATCTATGGCAAGTCTAAGTTCAATCTTCCTCTTGGTTCTCAAGTCCCTGAAGGATCCCTCTTCAAGTCGGATGTCGAATTTATTGCCAGCAGTACACCTGTTCTTGGATCTTCCCCTGGTTCTATCCTGCGCTCCCAGGCTCCCCCTCAACATCAATGGGATTGCATAACTAAAGTTTACACACTTGGAAACGAGGTACTCTCACTCATCGAACCTATTCGTGCACACATAAACCTTGGCCAGCGGACTGAAACTCTCCATCTACCCTTTGCTAGCGACTTTTGGGCTGCCTTCATCGTTGGAATCACTGGCAAGGCTGGTGCAAAGAGTCTCAAGGAGGCTGCCAAAGCTGTCAATGCCATCACCATGATCCAGGAGATCCACTGCCATGTACCGCAGGCGGCCCCCGACGCAGCAGTTGCTCCTGATGGCACCACTACCCCTGCAACAACAACCCTTTCTTCTGCCACTCTCTATGCCGTTCTCGTCTGGGAATTTGAAATGGTCAGTGACTCCTTCTCAGCAAGAACAGTCTTCCGCAAAATCACCTCAGGACCAAGAGAAAACAAACCTTCTCCCATCGTTATTCCTCAACCTCAACATCCTCCTCACCAGCCCATCCCTCAAAAGGTTGTCGTCGTCCCACCTCAATCGGTTCATCAACCCCAAGGTCTCCAGCCTGCGGCCACCTTTTCTCAGCCGTCGCCTCTGGCTGGTCGCAGTAGACCTGCCTCCCGCAATGACCACGTCCAAGCTCCAGCCCCTGCCCAGCGCACGGCCCCAGCCGTCATGGGTCCCCCTACGGCTCCCTTCGGACAGATCGCTCTTGCATCTTCTTCAGCCTCCTCAACCCAACCTGATGTTGTCGTTCCTCTTGCTGTTTCTCACCGGGCATTCTCCATGGGTGATTTAGCTCATGCTCAAATGGCCACAACGTCTTTTGTCGGCATCACTGGCGAAGGCATCTTCAGCCCCACCACCACCTCCACAGGAGTAGCAGCTGCGGCCGCAAATACTTCAGCCGTACACACATCTCGGCAACATCAGCTACCAATAAACAACTCAACAAACCCATCCACCTATGACCTCAACTCAACTGCCGCCGCTGCCGCTATTGCCCATCAAGGGCGAGGAACTCCTGCAACCGCAACTGCAGCAGGCTCCGGCAGCTCAACCATGATATCATTGGTCTCCGATTCAGTGCCACTTGCACGTCCATTGACTGCATTTTGTGAGTCCTCCGTTCCAGTCGGCGGGATCCCAGCCTTTTTCGCAACCATCCCGGGCCACCACCATCAGGGATTCCCGGGGTCCGCCATGGCTGGTGCAGTCGGTGTTGGCGCTCACCACCCCCACCATATGTTTCATCATCATCACATGACTGCAGACGCATCTAATATTTGGTACCCCGTTCAGGGCTCAGATCTTATTGTGCGCAGACTCATGGATGATCGCGAACCGGCGGCTCTCATCTCGGCTGGCCCCTCTACTAACACTGATCTCTCTTACGACCCGTCTATTATGAGTGCTGCCACAGCGGCCGCTGAAGCTGCAGCTTCCATAGCCTCCTCAAACTCTTTCGATAGCATATCTCCAAAGGCCTCCAATGCAAACTTCCTCGGCCTTCAAATCGCCACAGCCGGGTCCTATGATCCGCTATATATCGACCAAGGTGACGGCAGTGTATGTCCGATCGAACCCCCCATTCGATCTGCTCCTCCGAATATTGAAACCCATAGTGCCGCCGCCGCCGCTGCTGCACAAGCAGCTGCCCATGTTGCAGCTTCCCATGCCGCTCACGCCGCTGCCTCCGCTCATGCCCATGCAGCAGTCGCCGCTGCCTCTTCAAGCTCTTTCTCTTCAACCTCGCTTGATTCATCAGCCCTTTGGTCTGCCGGTGAGTCTTCAGTGTCGTCTGTTGGAACAACAGACGCTGGTGCACCCGGCGAACCTGTCGCTGACACGCTTTTTAACGTCCTCGAAGAGGATGAATATACAAGCTGTTAATTGCTAGCCTTATTTCATTTTTTTCAGTATTTTTATTCGCATTAAGCCTTTTTATTTTTGTAATTTTAGTGTCTAATACTTCTATTATTTTTATATACATATCCGGATACACATATATATTTGATATCAAACCATTTAATCACAGCATCTGGCGCACATTAATGTTGACACGTTTGTTAGCCATCCACTCCCCGTATCGTCTCCACAATTCATGTTCCTCATCGTCCCCAATCACAAAATTGTCTAAGCTTTTCAGGTAATCAGGACACGTCTTAGCCCAAACCTTGCCTACACCGTGATACGCATGTCGCGAGTTACTACCCATGACCACCGCATCACCGCTCCGTAGCAGCATCTGTAGCGGCTGCAGAACTTCTGTTCCTTGCTGCTGTTGCTGCCCACTGTACCGCTCCATTCCTGCGTAAAACACTGCCTCGCATCCTATCGACACTGACACCAAGTCTGCCATGCAAAGCTCCGCCACGTCCCGGTGCGGCGATAGCGTGTCACCGGGGGAGTAAAAGTTGATGATGGCTGCCTCCGGGGTCAACCCGGGGAAAACAGGCTCAGAGAAAAGCGAGCCCATACGTGCTGGGAACTCGGGGAACCCCTCAGCGCCACGCGTAAACGTGGGGTACTTCTTGGTGGTCCAGTTGTATTGTCCACCTAACGTGATCCACCGAAGCTTGCGCATGCGCACCATCGCAATCGGCATGGGTGTGATCGATGCTGGTAATTCCGACCGTGTAGCAGACGCGTCTATCATGCACCCCTCTGCTTTATTGTCTTCGCCCATGTAAATCGGCTCTGCTAGTGGCTCCAGCACCTTGTCTTTTTCAAAAAGAGAAAGTCCCGAGCCCATGCTATAATGGATGTCAAGGTTATTTCGATGACGCGTGTCTGGAACCAGATCGCGAACAATCTCAGCAACTGCGGCGCACTGCGCAGCGTGTGGTAGCAGTTCTGGAATCAAAACAAGACCAGGAAGCTCGTCCACTGTAATTTGTACAGGATCATAATGATTCTCTAATTCCTCGGTCAAAGCTTCCTGCAATTTCATAGCCACGGATTCTGGAGCAGATTCTATATAGGAGGAGAAAACAGACTTGGCATGGGAGATAGCAGAATCTGTGGGGTAATATCGCGAAACTCGAATCCTGTATCCTGGTGGGCCTATATTATTCTGAGCCGCCTGGCGCAAATCTAAAATCTCGGCACACATCTCAGGAGCCTGAAGATGTCGGTCACGTTTGTATAGCGGCCTAAAAATATCTTGAACTTTTTCAGTATTTGTCATGTTTACATGATTTCGTTGAATAAAGTAGTTGAAATTAAAAAATTTTTTCCATCTTCTTCAAAATTAATACGATGCAAAATATAAGGCCTATTTAGCAATCGTATGATTTTATTTTCCAAAAAGATACCCACCTTATTATATATACAATAAACGAAAACAAAGAATTCATATTCAAATTTTTACTTAAATAATTCTCAATTTCAATGTTTTACATGAATTGTCATCCAAATGGAATTTTTTCATTTTTGCCATTTAAATGAACTCTCGTTATTGGGGGGCTCCGACACTTTACATAATAAAGCTCAGATTTGGTCGAATTCATTCCTTCAAGTTTCTCCCGAATGGCTTTGCCAAAAATATTATTCACCTTGCGCTTCCACAGTTGGTTGGTATCTATGAGTTTTGAAAGACCACAAATTTTCACTGTCTTGTCAATGACATTATTAACCATGTATTTCTATCTTGCACGAAAACAACTGCGGCCCTTAAATTGTGGGCTTGCACGTAGCCATAGATCCGCACAGAGTAAAAAAGCCAGTGTAACAAGGCTGCGTTGGACCAAAAACAGGATTACGATAATCATTCAGTGTTCGCACAAACTCCTCCATTTTTTTATGGCGTCTTGTTGCAATTGCTTCTCTTTCTGCATTTGTGGCGTTAATGCCCACAAATTGCTGGCTTCTATTGTCTAAAGATGTATTAACTCTCGACAACAAGGCCACTTCAAAAGAACTTTTTGAACTTTTTTATATCTTTCTTAATTATTATGTTCAAAGGCATCAATGTTCACAGTGTTGCATCCATTACTGTGTGACCTCAGATTAATTTTTTTTTATTGCTTGGGCAATGTATGTCGTCTTACCTTTTCCTGGTCCATCAGGTCTCAGTGCCGCATTGCGGACTGCACCCAGAGCCACAGCCCCTACTAGCTCCGCAGCTTCGTGAATGTGTTCTAACGACGAACCATTATCATTATCATTATCATTATCATTATCATTATCATTATCATTATCATTATCATTATCATTATCATTATCATTATCATTATCATTATCATTATCATTATCATTATCATTCTCCTTCTCATTCTCATTCTCATCTTTATTTTCAATTTTCTTTGTTTTTTACCCTCGAGTAAAGTAAAAAATCTTAAACAGAGTCTTTTCAGGCTTCTTCTTAAATTTTCTTATTTTCATTCATCCTGTCATTGGTTTCTTTTGTCAGTATTTTCCCAAACCTATTGCTGAGCTGTTTCTAGTTTAAAAAAAGGAAATCTTTTGGACTGAAGCCCATCCTCCTTAGTTTGAATCTCAAAAAACTTCATTGCAAATTAGCTATAATCAAAGATAAGTTTTTATAAAACAAAATAGAAAAATAGAAAAATAGAAAAATAGAAAAATAGAAAAAAAGGAAAATAGTCATCCTTTTATCTTGTTCCCATAATAATATTATCGACTTATTTAAGGTATGGCTACCTTGAATTGATTCTTATGCATAATATATTTTTACTTTGCAAAACTTTTGCAGGATTCCGATATTACAAAATAAGCATAACACTATTTTTCCATTCTTATTCACAAAATATCACTAATTATACAAAAAAATATTTTTGTTTTGCATTTTTTTCTTATTCCTGTTGACCCTCGAAAACATTGAGATCCTTAGTTCCTTCTTCCCAAGAAGTACCGTTAACCATGGCTTGAATAGCAGCCAAAACATCCTTTTGCGAGCCACGGACTTGCTTCGTCGAATCACGTTCACGCAAAGTGATAGACCCATCCTTAACAGTCTGGAAGTCGATAGTCACACCAAAAGGAGTGCCAAGCTCATCGTTACGAGAGTATCTCTTGCCAATTGAAACTGAGGAATCGTCTGCCTTGGAAGAAATACCAAGCTTTCTGAGGCTGCTGATAACATCTTGAGTGATGGGAGCAAATGCCTCGTTGCTTGAAAGAGGAACAACAAGAACCTTAGTGGGAGCAACAAGAGGCTTGAAGGACAAGACACCACGAGCAGAGTCTTCAGGGCGGGTCCAGAAACTGTGCTCAAGAATACAGTACAGAATGCGACCAATACCAAAGGAAGGCTCTATGACATTGGGGGTATACTCGCGAATGTGCTCAGTTTTCGTCTTTTTCTCAATGCTGATAAGAGAGCTATCAATTTCAACCTTACCTTCAACACCGTCAATGTCGACAACAATCTTGCCATCTTTAGTAAGCTCGTCACCAAGATTCTCAAGCTCGCACTGGTTGCGGGTAGTTAAGAAGTTTTCAATCTTAGGAGCGTCCTTGCGGAACTTAGGACCAAACTTTTTCTTATCAAAATCAACTTCAAAGGCTTCGACAGTAATTGGCTCCTCAAGAGTTTCACGGACAACAAGCTTTTCCTTGGTGCGAGCTGCGTGAACCGTCAAGTCGTAAGCAGAGCGATCAGCAGTACCAACACACTCAATCCACCCATATGAAGAGTGCAACTCGGCATCCCAACAGTCGGCAGCGTAATGAGCCATTTCATTAGCCATGTGCTGTCTAAATCTAAGCCTCTCAGGATTAACACCAATCTTAGTCAAGAAGAGGAAAACACGGCCTAAAAAGTAACCAAGGGTTTCATTGTCAACCATGCCTGAGGAAACAGCGTCTCCAATAGTGGCTTCGGTGATATCAGTTTTTCCAGCAGCTTGAACATCCTTTGGAAGAAACCTGAGCTTGAGATCAGAAACCTCTTTAAAGCGCTTGTGGCGTTTATCCTTAGGATCCACAAAGTGCTCAATCTCAGCCATCAAAAATTCACGGACACGGAGCAAACCAGAACGAGGTGAAATTTCATTTCTGAAAGATTTGCCAATAGATGCAGATGCAAAAGGCATCTTCAGGTTGTTAAAATCCAAGAGCTTGGAAAAGTTTAAAAACTGGCCTTGAGCAGTTTCGGGTCTCAAATAACCCTTAAGTTGACCAGAGGGCCCAATAGCTGTTTCAAACATAAGATTGAAAGCAACAGGAGGATGGAGCTTCCCACCAGATCCGGGGTTGGTGATATTATACTTTTCAATAATTTCCCCAAGCTCTTCTCCGGAGTAACCATCAATCTTGGCAAGAATAGTTTCGTACTCTTCAACAACTTCATCTTCAAGCTTGACAACCTTGATCTCCTTAACCTTCTTCTTGCGTTTCTTGTCATCCTCTTTGGGCGCATCAATATTCAAACCACGGGCCTCAAGGTTGCCTTTGAGTCTGCTCTCGAGAACTTCTTCGACAAGGTGATCAGCACGGAAAATCTCTCCAGTAGCTGGATCCTTGCACATCCAATCAGCAAACTTATCAACGTGGCCAGAAGTTTTAAGAACCTCATGAGGAGTAAGCATAGTAGTATCAACTTCCAGCATATCCTCCTCCAGAACAAAGTGTTTTCTCCATGTGTCAACAATATTTGCCTGGAGAGCACAGCCTGGTGGACCATAGTCATATAGACCGGAGACACCACCATAGATGTCAAAGGCTGGGCCATAGAAGAATCTCCTCTTCAAAACAGCCTCAATTGCCTCACGGTTGAAGGCTTGATCTGCAGGTCTAACAGATGACATTCTAGATTTCTTTTGGTTGGATTGTTTGCTAAGCGAAGCAGTTGTCCTTTTGTTGATAGATTTAAAAAGATACTTGTGAAAAGATGGGCTAGGGTGAAATCCCCAGGCGATTGAACGTGTAGACGTGTTTGAAAAAGAAAACAGTTTTGATAGATAGAGTGAAATACGTCGATGCTAAAGCGACAAAACGTAGTCTATTTAAAACAATCCAAGAGAGTTATGAGAAAAAATTAAAAAAAAAAAACAACAAGTTGATCTGGTCGCGAAAAAAAAGTGGAAAAAAAGAAGCTCCTGTAACATGAAAGGTTTTATTGAACAAACTGTCATAATAGAGTCATCATTTATTACTAATATATTACAAAAGATTATATTCTCAATACTTGTGCTTAGTCGAGTAGTCTACAAAAATGTTCGTTAGAATCATTGAAATACGATTTGATAAATAGAACTTACCCTTTGGACTAATGACTAAACCTTTTCCTTTGGTTGCCCCTCTATATATAACTTCAATGATATCTATCAATTCTTGTTTATCATCTAATACCCAATTGAGCTTATTGTTATTTCCCGTACCGAAGTCACAAAGCATATGCTTATTTCTGTAAAAAAACATTATGGCCATGGGATCGTATAGTTCGTAGATTTGGTTAAAGGCAGTAACTTCGTCAATATCACAAACATAAATAACAGCAAAGTTTCTAACTTTATCAGCAATGCTATATAGTACTTCATCCATGAGCATACATTCTGGATCTTTGTCTCTGCCAAATCTAATGACTACCAATCTATCTTGTTCAGATAGAATGGCTTGATCAACATGCCATCCTGTATGCAAATGTGGCAAAAAAACACTTCCCATCTTTATTCAAATTATTCTAAGTTTCGTTTCTTTGATTTTTGGTAAATCTCGTGATATAAAACCATAAGTTAATTTATTTTATGTTTAATTATCCATAAATATCTATGAGAGGTGAAAAAAGAGTAGGTAAAAACAAAAAAGTTGCACACAAATGTACACACAAAAAAAAAACACAATATGAATACCTTTTTACATCTATCTAAAAACTTATTATTTACACAACTATTTTCAATCAAATGACAAATACGATTTGTCTATTAATAATTTGATTATTTTTTTATAAAGAAAATGTGTTGAATGAGGGTTTCTTTATTTCTTTCCTCTTTTAGCCTTGGCCAATTTCCCACCGCTTTGAACTGGCACATATCCTTCACTCATGAGATCCAAATAATCATCAATGGCTGGCTTACTAAATTCACCAGATTTTTCATCTGATTTATTCTTTTCTGTAGCGTCTTTTTTATCAGCCGAATCAACAGGTTGCACAAAGCCATACTTTTGCTTAAATTTAGCCAATCTGCCTGTAGCGTCAGCTTCAACGACCTTGAGATTTGATCGAGAAGGATTATATAGTGGGTGATTTCGTTGATCAGCAAGATATCTCCATTCAACACGGGGATATTGAGATCGTCTGACATATGTGGAGCCATCAGAAAGTTCCACCTTACATTCAAACATGTGAAAAATCGAAGGGCGGGTTTTTCCTGGAATAAGTTTTCTTTTCGCTCTTCGAGTCAAAACACTGCGGCCGGATCCAGGAATAGCATAATTTCGAGTTTGGCTAAGATTAATACCATTCTTCAAAATAGAAGAATATCCGGGTCTCAAGTTGTTCAATAAAGACGTCAACATTATTAAATCTTGGGCTGACTTTTTTCAAAGTAAGTGGTGATAACTCTAAGAAAGAAATATGAAGAGGATGAAAAGTTTTTGGTGATTTTGATTGGCAAACAAAATTACTAAGCACAGAAAGTTATATTATATAATAAAAATACACACGGCAATTTCTTATAAACAAGAAGAGAGAGATTAACACATGTTATAAAACGGCTATTCAGCTTGGTTTCCTTGACCATGGTCCAAAACTTCTCCAGTGTTATGGATTTGACTAATTTGGGTCGAGGAATCAAGAGCCAACTTTGACACTTTACCAGAAATTTCTTTTTCAGAATTCTTTTGGCGAATAAACCCAGATAGATCCTTTAAAAGTTGAAGATTTTCTTTAGAAAACGAAATTACCTCATCTGAAGTTTCTGTTAAATTATTTTCAGCATTTAAAAAGGGCCTAGAAATATCATCATCACTATTCGTATTAGAGTGATCAGTATCATATGTTTCAATGTCTGAATCCAGGTCGATAATGTCTTTGCCATTTGTTGGTTGAGAAGCTGCAGCTTCTCCATCGTAATCGTCTTCATTAGCCTTCCTGTTAGTTGGTATTTTAGAAACATTGGGAACAGATTCCATTTTCAGGACTTCATCAATTTGATCTTGGCTTAACAAAATACCTTCTCCAATTGCTTTGTATTTCAAATAAAGAAGCATTTTAATTTTATGATAATCAACGCTTTCATACCACCCTGATTCTGGATCTAGCGTCTCTCGAACTTCCCCCCCGTCAATTAGCTTTCGAATGTCCGGATCTGTAATATCACAGAACTGAATGATACTGCCACTCATTTTATTTATACCATCAAATTGATAAGGAATATGACTTTCTTTAGGGGTATCTTTGTCCTGTAAATTATACCTAAACCGTCTTGTTTGATAAAAACGGTATTTAGAAGAAGATCGAGTGTCAACACCAAATTTGACAACGGAATCTCGCCAAGGTCCATTTTGAATTGTATAACTAACATAGTGTAAAACTTGTTTTAAGTAAACCAATAAGTTTTTTGGAAGATGATATTCAATAGACTTCCTAGTCCATATAGGCCTTTTTTCAAAAAGATCCGTCAAAAATTTGAAGCAAGCCATTGGCCCTTCATCCACTAGCTTTTGAAGCTCTTTAGAAGGACAGAGTGGTGGGTCATCGTTCCATGAAATGTATTGGGCATATAACAATGGACTTTTATTTCTGTTGATTAGCTGTTGACCACCTTTCCCATCATTCACTGCCATAAGAGATGGGTTTTGTTTATAGGAATATGCAAAAGGATAAACCAAAGGTGAAAATCGCGGAGGAGGAATAATATCGATATCTTTTTTGTTACTAAATGATTCGTTTTGATCAAATTGGAAATCTTTTACTTCTTCGTCTATTTTATTTATTAGGATTTTTCGTTTCATTTGGTTGTTTAAAAAAAATAAAGGACCTAATTTCAAATAACTTACAATTGTGTGAAAATAAAGTCGATTTAACTTTTTCTATAAATTCCGAACTTCGCGTGTTATACTGGTAATCACACAGTTCTAAATCAGTTAGTACATGATGTAAATTATAATAATGATCCTTACCCCTAAAACGATAAGTGGTTTCAATGATATATTCTGGATTCAAAACAATATCATTTTTTTTCGATATTAATAATGCTTTTTGAATATCTCCATTTGCTGCTTCAAGTGATTTCTTGGGTAATTGAATTTGAAGAACGATATTTTGTGCTTTTGAGGTGCTAGACATGATTGGATGCTCATATGGGTCATTTGGCCGGAATCTTAGTTCTAGTTGTTTATCACCTCTACTTATACAGGCCTGTTCAAAGTTAAAATATATTTCAAAAAGTTTATAAATATTTATACCTTTGCCACCTTATTTTGAGATCCAAGCATCACAATTGCTTTTGATGTATTTATAACGTTTCCTGGAAACTCAATAGCAGTAATTCTAGGTACTTCTAATGGATAAGAATCGGCTAAAATGTTTTCGCCCTTATTTGAACTCATATTATCTGAGGTCACGCATATATCTCATAAAATCCAAAGGTAGTTAAGGAGTCTGTCTAGTAAAAAAAAAATCGTAAAAAACTTATAATTGTTATAAACATCTAAAGTACCGAGCAAGATTTGGTTGAAAAACTCTCCAGAGTTTTATTTTTAATAATTCACGTGACACCAAACCATTTATTAAAACGGGTTTAAAATGATAAGTTCAATGAATCCTCACGGCCCCACAAGATCACAGAATAGAGACAACCCAGTCAGACTCTAGCTCCTAATAAACATCCAATAAGAGACTGGACAGAGTAAATTACTTAATTATAGTCAACTGATTTAAAACTGTTGCAAATTTCTTTTCAAGTCCTAGCGTCCTCACGCAATAGCAGCATCAACATGTAATAGTGACTGCGAACAGCACCCACCCACCAACCCCGGTACAATTAAAAGCACATACTTATAATTATAAGTATGTGCTTTTAATTATGTCTAATTAGACAACAAAGCAGAAGCCGAAAATGAAAAAATTGTCCCCAGACTACCATGGAGGGTCCCAGACATATACTTTCTGGCACGATATAACTGAAAACAAGTCATGGCAGGTTTACCATATACGTTATCCAACGAGCTGGGAAGGAAGAAGGCATACAAGGCAAATTAACATTATGTGAAACACCTGAAACACTACCACAAATCATCACAATGTGCTCATACTACGATCTAGTCCAAGAAGTACTTCGTTTAGGAAGATTTCGAACTTTTTACGAACTACTTTTATGACTTATTTTCAAAGAAAGTCTCTAGACTGCAGGGCTTGACAATCAAGTTATATTATTTTAGATGCCTTGTTACCGCTGAGATTTTCTTTACGTTTAAAAAATCTATAGTGACCAAGCTTTGGTAGACTAGACCGGCCCGAGCATAAAGCTTGTTTGCATGTGTACAGACCTCCCTTGCTGGCATAATAAATTTCAAAAAATAGAATTATTTTGTAATATGGTAGAAATAAGAAAGAAATAGGTTACGTAATTTATGAAGAACAAGAAAATTTAAATAATACTTGACCATTAGAAAAGAAAACAAAATGAACTTGAAACTTTTAAAATTTTAAAATGATAAATTAATAAATGAAAAATTTTTTAAAAATTCTGTATGATATTCAACAATAAAATTTAAAATAACTTTTCAGTAAAACTTCCAAAGAACAATCACATTACTGGTTAATATTACCAAAGAAATGCTTGCGATTGTTAGTGTTGTCAAAAAAGAATTTGTCACAACAACTCTTTGCTTAAAATATCCATTAATCGTAGAAATATAATTTACAATTGAAACTAATATTGACAAAAATGATAGGGAGTAAAACACAAAACCTAATGGTAATGAAAATAAATGTCCATTATAGTCATTTTCTTCAACCACTGACTCTAAAAGATTTTGTTGACTTGTTATCGAACTTGATGATAAACTTTGCATGACACCAATCAGAAAGGCATTTCCACTTTTATTCAGTGAAGTATTGCCTTCATTTTTTCGATCATGAAACCTGATATTAATTATAACAGCCGTACCTGCAATAGAAAGATAAGTTGCTACTTTTAACCAGGAGAGAAAATTTCTTTCTGCGGCATCTGCATCTCTAGCTTCTGAAAAATTATTGGAAAGTAAAAGAGGTTTAGAAAAGGGAGATGAAAAAAAAGTTTTGTCACTATTCAAACTGATATCATTCTGTGGATGCCATGCAATTTTTGGTATATTAGATGTGTTATTAATGATTCGTTCTCCAATTGTAACAGATGTATGGTTTTCAATTTCTTCTTCGTCTGTGGTACCGGAATCCTCACTTTCTTCATCAACGTATCGTTCAAGATCTTGAGGTTGATCCATTTGATTTATGGAATCAGGTTGAAAGTCTGCCATTTTGTGAAAAAACTTGAGAATTAATTTAAAATATTTTTATCTGATTTTTAAATGATATTTAAAAATCAGTAAATTAACTATCTTTTACCAATTTAAGTAAATATAAATTCATAAAAATTAAATTTTTAATAATTGCTTATAAGCTTAAATGATTAATTAAATTTATAATAACTTAATACAGACTATGACCTATTTTCCAATTAAAATGATGTGCTCATAACTTAATCATGATATCAAAACACTAATTATTAAATATTACTAAGGAATCAGTAATATTTGAAGAATGTTTGTTGCAATATGCCATTTAAATCTTGTAACATAAACATTGATGAGTTGTCAACTAACCATAAGTCAATTACAATCGGTTATTCTACCCACAACATAAGAATCTTTTATTCTAGGATTTTTCCCTCACAACACACTTAATCACCAAAATAACTCAATTCATATCACCAGTACATTTGTTTTTTTGTTTGATAATTATTTGAATTCATATATTTTGTTCTCTCGTTTTTTTTTTTTTGAGAGTCAACAGTTTAAATTTTTTTTATTTCAGTTTTTGAAAGTAAGTTAGGAAGTCTTTATTTTTTTTTGAAAAATTTATGAAAGCTCCACAAGTGTAAACTTATTTACCAAATTGTTATTTTTCAAAATACTTTACCATATTTTTATATTAAAAAATATTTCATATTAATTTCTAAATACACCTCCCCAAAAAAAAAACGTTAAATTAGTATATTGAAAACCACTCATCGTTTATCTCGTTCTAGCCTTAACTTTTACTTTACGACACAGAAACCATTCTTCTAACAGAATATCACCACTTTTTCATTTAGAAATCTCTAAATTTGATAATTGTTTAAACATTTATATGAGCAATGTCTGCTGGTGATTTACCTATTAAATTTCAGGAGCATCTTAAGCTCTCTGATGTAGGAGTCGCCGATTCGGCGATTTCTTTTAATACATGTACACTCGAGAGTGATAAATATATTTGGTAAGTCTTTAATGATGAGGTTGATTTGTCCCAATGGCTAATTTATTTTTATTAGTGTTAGAGAGTCTTCATCTGAAGGAAATAAAGTCGCTATAATTGATCTTCATGACAATAATAGTGTTACCAGAAAATCAATGTCTGCTGAGTCGGCAATTATGAATCCTTCTCAGTTGATTATTGCTCTCAGAGCTCAGGGTGGGACTTTACAGGTGAGGCGTTTATCATTTTATCGTTTGGCAATTAGTTAACTTTTTTAGGTTTTTAATCTTGACACGAAACAAAGATTAAAGTCAACTACGTTATCAGAAAATATTGTTTTTTGGAAGTGGGTTTCTGATAACATTCTGGGTATTATTACTGACAGTTCTATTTACCATTGGGATGTATTTAACGCTTCTCAAGATGCTCCTGTGAAATACACTGATCGTCATGCTTCACTTTCGAACTCACAAATTATCAGCTATGAAGTTAATAATGATGAGTCATGGTCTTCTCTTGTTGGAATTGCACAGGAAAATGGCCGTGTTGTAGGGCACATCCAATTATTTTCCAAGTCTCGCAACATATCACAGGCAATTGAAGGTCACGCCTCTTCATTTGCAACTATCAAGCTTGATGGTGGTTCAAGTGATTCTCAACTTTTTACTTTTGCCAACAGAACTAGCACTGGATGTAAACTCCACATTGTTGAAATCGATCACAAGGAAGGAAACCCACTTTACCAAAAAAAGGCTATTGATCTTTATTGTCCAGCAGAACTTCCTAATGATTTTCCAGTTGCTGTTGAGGTGTCGAATAAATATGGAATTGTCTATGTCATTACTAAATATGGTCTCATTCATCTCTACGATCTCGAATCCGGGGTATGCATCTTTATGAATCGTATTTCTCAGGATCCAATTTTTACTGCTACAAAGTTTGATGCCACCTCGGGTGTTCTTGTTATTAATCGAAAAGGTAGTGTTCTTTCTGTTTCATTAAACGAAGATACTGTTGTTCCTTATATTCTTAATAATCTTGGAAATACATCTCTTGCCTTGGCTCTTGCTTCTCGTGGTGGTCTTCCGGGTGCCGATAATCTTTATCTACAACATTTCAATCAACTTTTGAACAGTGGAAATTATACTGAAGCTGCCAAAGTTGCGGCAAATTCGCCTAGAGGTATTCTCAGAACTCAGGAAACTGTCCAGCGATTAAAAGGGATTCAGGCCCCACCAGGTCAAGTTTATCCTATTTTACAGTATTTCTCAACTTTGCTAGATCAAGGTTCATTGAATAAGTTTGAATCAATTGAACTTGCTCGACCTGTTTTGGAACAAGACCGTCTCCCTCTTCTTGAAAAATGGTTGACTGAAAACAAACTTGAGCCTTCAGAAGAGTTGGGTGATATTGTTCGTCCAAGAAATATTAGTTTGGCTTTAAGTATATACCTTCGCGCGAATATCCCTTTTAAGGTTGTGGCTGCCATGGCCGAGTTAGGGGAATATGACAAGATTGTTCCTTACAGCCAAAAAGTTGGTTACACACCTGATTATACTTCACTTCTCCAAAGTCTTGTGTATAGCAATGCTGACAAGGCTGCAGAATTTGCGACACAGCTTGTCAACCAAAAGGTTGAAAACCTTGATTTAGATAAAGTTGTTGATATCTTTCTTTCACAAAATCATATTCAACAAGCCACAGCTTTTCTTCTCGATGCTCTTAAGGATAATCTTCCTGAGCAAGGCAACCTTCAAACCCGTCTTCTTGAAATGAATCTTTTGAAGGCTCCTCAAGTTGCGGATGCTATTTTAGGAAACGAAATGTTTTCACATTATGATAGAGCCCGCATCGCAAAACTTTGTGAACAAGCTGGCCTTTTTCAACGTGCTCTTGAACATTATGATGATTTGAAAGATATCAAGCGTGTCCTTGCACATAGCAATGTCCTTAACCCTGAATGGCTTGTCAATTACTTTGGAAAGCTGACTGTTGAGCAGACTCTTGAATCTTTACATGAAATGCTTAAAACTAATATTCGCCAAAACCTTCAAATTGTGATTCAAGTTGCCACCAAGTACTCTGATCTTGTTGGCCCATTGAATCTCATCAAACTTTTTGAAGAGTTTAAAACACCGGAGGGCTTATTTTATTATCTTCAAACAATTGTAAACCTTTCTGATGACGCAGATGTTGTTTTTAAATATATCCAATCTGCTGCTCAAATTGGTCAGTTTCACGAGATTGAGCGCATTGTCAGAGAAAACAGTGTTTATAACCCTGAAAAGGTTAAGAACTTTTTAAAGGATGCCAAACTTGATGATCAGCTTCCTCTTGTCATTGTTTGTGATCGATTTAATTTTGTTCATGATCTTATTCTTTATTTGTACCAAAATCAACTGTTCAAGTACATTGAGATTTACGTTCAACGTGTAAATCCATCTAGAACTCCGGAAGTAATTGCTGCTCTTCTTGACGTTGATTGTGAGGAGTCTGTTGTTAAAGCTCTTTTGGATTCTGTTCCTGTTGATAAGATTCCTGTCGAAACTTTAGTTTCCGAAGTTGAAAAACGTAACAGACTTAAGACACTGCTTCCATTTCTTGAAAAGGTTCTTGCTACAGGCACTCAGGATCATTCTGTTTTTGATGCTTTGGCCAAAATTTACATTGACAGCAATAATAACCCCGAGAAGTTTTTGAAGGAAAACAGCAACTACGATACCCTTGTTATTGGTAAATATTGTGAAAAGAGGGATCCTTACTTAGCTTTCATTGCTTATGAAAAAGGTCAAAACGATTACGAATTGATTCACATTACCAATGAAAATGCTATGTATAAGCACCAAGCTCGATATCTTGTTGCTCGTGCTGATTCCGAACTTTGGGATTATGTTTTGAAAGAGGATAATTTACATCGTCGTTCTTTAATTGATCAGGTTGTTGGGACTGCTGTGCCGGAATCTAGTGATCCCGAAAATGTTTCAATTGCAGTGAAAGCATTTTTATCTGCTGATCTTCCGACAGAACTTATTGAACTCTTGGAGAAAATTATTTTGGAGCCATCTCCTTTCAATGATAATCAAAATCTTCAAAATCTACTTATTTTGACAGCCATTAAGTCTGACAAAGGTAAAGTTAGTTCCTACATTGAAAGGTTGGACAATTACGATGTGACTGATATTGCCCAAATTTGTCTTGATAATGGTCTTAATGAAGAGGCTTTTGAAGTTTACAAAAAGGCAGAACAGCACACTGATGCTCTCAATGTGCTTGTTGATAATATTCTTTCCCTTGATCGTGCAGAAAGCTATGCTGAAACAGTCGATATTTCTGAAGTTTGGAGTCAGTTAGGTAAAGCCCAGTTAAATGGTCTTCGTGTTTCTGATGCAATTGAGTCTTACAAGAAAGCTAATGATCCAAGTAATTTTGCTGAAGTCATTGAAATTGCTTCTCATGCTGGAAAGGATGAAGAGCTTATTTCTTATTTGTTGATGGCTCGCAAGACTTTGAGAGAACCTCTGATTGATGGCCAACTTCTTTTAAGTTATGCTCTTACTGACAAACTTTATGACTTAAAAGATCTTCTAAATTCACCTAATGTTGCAGATTTAGAATCCATCGGTGATAAGCTTTATAATGAAAAACAATATGAAGCTGCAAAAATTGTTTTTACTAGCATTTCTAACTGGGCCAAATTGGCTTCTACTTTGGTTTTTTTGAACGATTATCAAGCTGCTGTCGATTCTGCTAGAAAGGCTAGTAGTGTCATGGTTTGGAAACAGGTTAATGAAGCTTGTATTGAACATAAGGAATTCCGACTTGCTCAAATTTGTGGTCTTAATTTAATTGTTCACGCTGAAGAACTTCAAGATTTGGTAGAAAGATATGAGTTTTCAGGTTACTTTGATGAACTGATTTCTCTGTTTGAACAGGGCCTTGTTTTGGAACGAGCTCATATGGGAATGTTTACTGAGCTTGGCATTTTGTATTCAAAGTACAGACCTGAGAAACTTATGGAACATTTGAAGTTATTCTGGTCTCGGATTAACATTCCAAAAGTTATCCGTGCTTGTGAAGCAGCTCATCTTTGGCCTGAACTTGTTTTCCTTTATTGCCATTACGATGAGTGGGACAATGCTGCTCTTGCCATGATTGAACATTCACCCGATGCATTTGAACATAATTCTTTCAAAGATGTTGTCGTTAAAGTTGCAAATCTCGAGATTTATTACAAGTCCATCAACTTTTATATGGCAGAGCAACCTCAACTTATTAATGATCTTCTTAATGTTTTCATTCCACGTGTTGATGTTAGCAGAGTTGTTAAGATGTTTCAGAAGAGTGATAATCTTCCTATGATCAAACCATTTTTAATCGCTGTGCAAGGCCAAAATATTTTTGCTGTCAATAATGCTTACCATGATTTGCTTATTGAGGAAGAGGATTATAAATCTTTGAAGGATTCCGTCGACTCGTTTGATAGATATGACCCTATTGATTTAGCTTCTCGGCTAGAAAAGCATGATCTTATCTATTTCAGACAAATTGCTGCCCATATCTATAAGAAAAACAAGAAATGGAATAAGAGTATTTCTCTTTCCAAGGAAGACAAACTATGGAAGGATGCAATCGATACTGCTGCTACTTCTTCAAAGGAAGAAGTTGCTGAGGATCTTCTTCGCTATTTTGTTGAAATTGGTAACAAAGAATGTTATGTTGCTACTCTTTATACTTGTTATGATTTGATCAAGCAAGACGTTGTTACCGAACTTTCTTGGGTTCATAATTTAAAGGATTATACTATGCCTTATTTAATCAATGTTCAGCGTGAACAAAACACCCTTCTCGTCCTTTTGAAAAAAGATAATGAAGAGCGCAAGGCCAGAGAAAAGGAACAAGAAAAAAAAGAAGAGGAAACTCCAATTTTGGGGGCTGGAACTAGACTTATGATTACCCAAGGTACTGGTGGTTTTTCGAATGGTGGACCTGGGTTTGTTAGTGCTCAACCAACTGGCTTGGGATTTTAAATATTACGACTACATAAAATTTTACTTAATAAATAAAATATTTTATAATTCTTTATTTTATAAAAACAAAGTTTGTTTAAATAAATAATTAATTAATTTTTTGTCAATTATCAATACTCTTTTCATTGATAGATCTATAAATGTAATACATATGTATTACATTTTAATAAATTGTTGCCATAGTAACGTTTTTATATGCTTAAGAGGATGAAATTTAAAAACAAACAAACAAAGAGTAGTAAACAAAACAAAACAAAACAAAACAAAACAAAACTGACAGGTAAATCTACTATACTACTTAACATGCTTTAACATTGAATACATTAAATCAAAGAATTAATATTAATATTGATATTTATATTTATATTTATATTTTAATTTTTTTATTCTCGATAGTCTCAATAAGTATTATTTAAGAGAGAATGTCTGAACCATCAGCTACATCATCTTTGCCACATACCAATGTTTCGGCTGATCACCAAAGAATATTTCAAGAATTTTTAGAGTATCCCAAGAACTCAACAAATTATTCTGATGAAGTCCAATTAATGCTTCAAAAAGGCGAAAAACGTTTGATAGTTTCATTAGATGATCTTAGAGATTTTGATCGCAAATTTTGGAGTGGAGTTTTGAATAGCCCTGCCGATTATTTTCCGTCAATTGAAAATGCTTTAAAAGAAATGGTATTAGCAGTTCACAACCCTCTTTACCATAGAGTAAATGAACATGATACATTTTCTGTTGCGTTTAGGGGGAGCTTTGGTGATCATTTTGTGAATCCTAGAACTATAAAGGCTAGTCATTTGGGTAAACTTGTTTGTGTGGAAGGAATTGTTACCCGTTGTTCACTTGTTCGCCCAAAAATTGTTCGATCTGTTCACTTTGCTGAAAAGACTGGTCAGTTTCATACTCGGGAATATCGTGATGCTACACTATCATTTGATCCGATACCAACAACATCTGTTTATCCTACCGAAGATGAACATAGTAACCCATTAATTACAGAATATGGATATTGTACTTATCGCGATTATCAAACAATATCAATTCAAGAAATGCCTGAAAAAGCACCAGCAGGACAGCTTCCACGTTCTATAGATATCGTTTTAGATGATGACTTAGTAGATACCACAAAACCTGGAGACCGCATACAAGCAGTTGGTGTTTATCGTTCATTGGGATCAAATGCTATGTCACAAAGTTCTACGTTTAGATCTTTACTTGTTGCTGACAATATAGTATTATTATCAACTAAAGGAAATGGCCAAATCGCAACAAATTCTATAACGGACATGGATATTAGAAATATTAATATTATTGCACAAAAATCTAATGTTTTTGAACTTCTTTCTCAATCTTTGGCGCCCAGTATATACGGTCACGAGTACATTAAAAAGGCTGTTTTATTAATGCTTCTCGGTGGTACTGAAAAAAATTTATCTAATGGAACTCATTTAAGAGGTGATATCAATATCTTAATGGTTGGAGATCCTTCAACAGCTAAATCTCAAATGCTTCGATTTGTTTTAAACACTGCGAACCTTGCTATTGCTACAACTGGTAGAGGATCATCTGGTGTTGGCTTGACTGCAGCGGTTACTACAGACCAGGAAACAGGTGAACGAAGATTAGAAGCGGGTGCCATGGTTTTGGCGGACAGAGGTATTGTTTGCATTGATGAATTTGACAAAATGAGTGATGTTGATCGAGTTGCTATACATGAGGTAATGGAACAACAAACTGTCACTATTGCTAAAGCCGGAATCCATACTTCTCTAAATGCAAGGTGCAGTGTAATAGCTGCAGCAAACCCCATTTTTGGTCAATATGACACACACAAGGATCCTCATCAAAATATAGCACTACCTGATTCATTGTTATCCCGCTTTGATTTGCTTTTTGTTGTCACTGATAATGTAAATAGAATGCGCGATTTTCAAATATCTGAACATGTTCTTCGAATGCACAGATATTTAACACCAGGTTCGGAAGAAGGCGTTCCTGTTCGAGAAAATATTACCCAAAGTTTAGTTGTTGGCGATGAAGATGAAGAAACTTCAGAGAAGGAAAGTACAGTGTTTGAAAAATTTAATTCTTTACTTCATTCTGGTTTGGTCGATGCTGGTCAGAATCCTGATGAGATTGAAGTCTTGAGTATTCCTTTTATTCGAAAATATGTTCAATATGCAAAAACAAGAATTAATCCTCAGCTCACAGATGAAGCAAATACATACATTGTTTCTACTTATTCCGCCTTACGAAACGATCAATTAGCGGGAAATCAACGTCATACTTCTCCTATAACAGTACGTACACTTGAAACCCTTATTCGTCTTTCTACAGCCCATGCAAAATCTCGTTTATCATCTCGAGTTGAAGAAAAGGATGTTGAAGTAGCGGAGGAACTATTACGATTTGCCTTATTCAAAGATGTTTCCAAAAGAAAACACAAACGTCAAAAAAGAGCCCACACCGATGAAAATAAGGAAGAAAATGAAGAAGAAGAAGTTGTACAAAGGACTCAAAACATGTCCTTAAATGGCAAAGAAAATCAACTGTCTACACAACACAGAGAAGCAATGGATGAAAATGATTCTGAAGATATAGACATTTTTCAAATAAGGGAAATTTCCCCAAAAGCTTCCTTAAATTTATCTTCTCAGGAGAGTCATGTTCCAAGAGTTGAATCATCTCATTCTAATTTAAGTCGAAATTCCACCCACCAGCAGGATGCTAACCAAGGCATTTCTTTTTCAAGATATGAAGAGTTTTTACATATAGCAGGAAGATTGATGAGTTCATTAGAATTTGTTGATGATGCCTCCATTGAGAAATCTAGGCTTCTTCTGGCAATTAATAGAGAGCAGGATTCTTCAAAAATATTTACAACTGAGGAATCAGAAGCAGCGCTGGAGTTGATGTCTCAATCAAACAAACTAATGCTTAATGATGGTTATATATATAGAATTTGAAATAGTTTTGCTTTTTAGTTAGTAATATCAAAGATACCCTAGAAAAGGTTGATAACTATCAAAAAAATTTTGGGTTTTTTCTCATTTAATGATACCTAATTAGGTATCATTAAACTACCTTATAATTATAAGGTAAATCAATTTGCATGTATACAATAATGTATGTATGCAAATTGGCATAAGCCTTTTTAAGTAATTACTTAAACTCAATACTTAACACATATCAAAATATAATTACAATATGTGTTACATATTTTTGTTAAATCCAATGAGACTTAGGTAATTAATTACTTAAGTACAGCAGTAATTACTAAAGAATTGTATACCACGAAAATTAGTTGACTTAGTTCTTCGTGTTCTTTATAAAATATTTATTTTATTAGACAATATTTTTTGACTGTAACTATACTTTAAAGCAACACCAAACCTATACCATGTAAGTGACGTTTTTTTTTCAAGGTTTTACTTTATATTAACATAATTTCTTAGGGCTTCCAAATTGGTGCCAAATTCATCTATTGCCGAAGCTACGCTTCATAATCCACTTCCTTTAATATATAGACCATACGTATGGCCATTTATAATTCTCTATCCGCTCTTTGGATATTTTTATTTTTTCCATTATGATGAACATATTGGAGGATCTGAATGGACTTTTGTGTTTTTGGGTACAATTTTTTCCTTGAACCTTTTATTTTGGCTTATGCCATTTTGGAATGTGGAGGTTGATCGAATTTTTAACACTAAACTAGTAAGTTTATATCATATTTATCTATATAAATGTTTTAACATAAAATTTTTAGGCACAATCTGTGGAAGAGGCCAGTTTGATTCGATTAATTCCTGTGGCAAATGGTGGTGCTTCCGAGATATGTACAATTCAACGTGCATTTTATGATGGGGATGAAGAAATTTCTTTCTTATTTCAACGCCGACGCTTTATATATAACTTTGAAACCGGAACTTTTAATCCTCCAAGCTTCACTATCGATTCACCTCAAAAGATTTCATTTTACCAACAGTCTGTTGGTTTAACAGGAGATTTAGAGAATTTGGAACGCCAATACGGAGAGAATAAGTTTGACATCCCCATACCAACGTTTCTTGAACTTTGGAAAGAACATGTAGTTGCACCTTTTTTTGTTTTCCAAATGTTTTGTGTTGCTCTTTGGTTATTGGATGAAATGTGGTACTACCCTTTGTTTACTCTTTTCATGCTTCTTGCTTTTGAATCCACTGTTGTATGGCAACGCCAAACCACTCTTCGAGAATTTCGCGGAATGAGCATAACACCGTACAAAATTTGGGCCTACAGGGCTAAAGAATGGATTGAAATAGATTCGGATGAGTTACTCCCTGGTGATTTAATTTCTGTCACACGCTCCAAAGAGGAATCTGGGCTTCCCTGCGATCTAATTTTGGTCAATGGTACAACTATCGTCAATGAGGCCATGCTTTCTGGTGAATCAACTCCTTTACTTAAGGAGTCTATTTCACTGAGGCCTGGCGATGAATTTATTGATGTTGAAGGTCTTGATAAAAATTCAATCCTTCATGGTGGTACTAAGGCTCTTCAAGTTACACCTCCTATCAATCCTCATGTTCCTTTACCACCTGACAATGGCGCTTTAGCAATTGTCACGAAAATTGGATTTGAAACCAGCCAAGGCAGTCTTGTTCGTGTCATGATATTTTCAACAGAACGCGTTGGTGCTGGAAATAAGGAAGCTTACTTTTTTATCCTTTTTCTTTTAAATTTTGCTATTGCTGCAAGTTGGTATGTTTGGAAAGAAGGTGTTAAGTCTAATCGAAAGAGATCGAAACTTATTCTTGACTGTATTCTTATTATTACTTCTGTCGTTCCGCCTGAGCTTCCAATGGAGTTAACTCTTGCCGTCAACTCTTCTCTTGCATCGTTGTCCAAGTTTTACATTTACTGTACTGAACCATTCAGAATCCCTTTCGCTGGTAGAATTGATGTTTGCTGTTTTGATAAAACAGGAACTTTGACCGGAGAAGATTTAGTGGTTGAGGGTATTGCTGGGATTGCTGCTAATCCAACAGTTCTTTCTTCTGTTTCTGAAATATCTCGTGAAACAAGCCTTGTTCTTGCCGCTGCTCATGCTTTAGTATTACTTGATGACGGTGAGACTGTTGGTGACCCTATGGAAAAAAACACTTTAAAAGCAATTAAATGGATCGTTGCCAAAAATGATATTGTTCAAAATAAGGAAATTCCATCTCAAAAATTGACTATTCTCAGACGATTTCAGTTTTCTTCTGCTTTAAAAAGATCTTCGAGCATTGCAAATGTCGAAGGAAAAACATTAATTGCTGTCAAAGGTGCACCTGAAACTCTTCGTGGAATGATTGACACTCTTCCTAAAGAGTACGAAACTACATTTAAAAGTTTCACAAGAAGTGGTAGTCGTGTTTTGGCATTAGGATACAAATATTTGGAAAATAACATCTCTCCTAGCAGGCTTAACAAAATTACACGAGAAGAAGTTGAATCTCATTTAATTTTTGCAGGGTTCCTTGTTTTCCACACGCCTCTTAAAGAGGATGCTGTTGAAACTGTTAAAATGCTGAATGAATCAAGTCACCGTGTTGTGATGATTACTGGAGATAACCCTCTTACTGCAGTTCATGTTGCGAAAGAGGTTGGTATTGTTGAGCGTGAAACATTAATACTCGACTTACCTGAAGTTAATCACGGTGACCATGAACTTGTTTGGAGAAGCGTTGATGAATCTACTATTATTCCTGTAAAACCATCAGATCCTTTAAATCTTTCTATTTTTGAAGATTTTGACTTGTGTGTTACTGGTTATGCCTTGGCAAAGCTTAGTAATCATCAACATATTGTTGATTTGGTCAAACATACTTGGATTTATGCCCGTGTTTCTCCATTGCAGAAAGAGTTCATTTTGAAGGTTCTTAAAGAAGCTGGCTATATGACTCTAATGTGTGGTGATGGAACAAATGATGTTGGTGCTTTAAAACAAGCACATGTTGGTGTTGCTCTTCTTAACGGAACTACAGGGGGTATGAACAAAATGGCTGATGATAGAAAAATTGAAGCAACTAAGCAAGTTTATGAGAAACAAGTTGCTCTTATGAAAAGATGGGGCAGTACTAAAATTCCTCCTGTTCCACCCGCGATTGCGCATTTGTATCCTCCTGGACCTAATAATCCTCATTATCGTAAAGCTGTTGAAGAAAAGGGTGGTGTTCTAGACGAGAAAACCATTCAAGAAATTGAAAAATACACTAACACAGATGAGGCTCCACAACAAGCTGCTGCTTTTGCTGATAAATTAACTTCAATTATTGAAGAAAATGAAGACGAAGCACCTAAACTGAAACTTGGTGATGCATCTGTGGCTGCCCCATTTACATCAAAACTTGCTGATGTCTCAGCTATTACAAAGATTATCAGACAAGGACGATGTACTCTAGTAGCTACAATTCAGATGTATAAAATTCTTGCTTTGAATTGTTTGATTTCTGCTTACTCTCTTTCTGTTCTTTATCTGGCCGGAATTAAGATTGGGGATGCCCAAGCCACTGCTTCTGGCCTGCTTTTATCTGTGTGTTTCATGTCAATATCCCGTTCACGTGCAATTGAAAAACTTTCCAAACAACGTCCACAGCCTGGAATATTTAATATTTACATCATGGGGTCCATTTTAGGACAATTTGCTGTTCATATTGCTACGCTAGTGTTTATTACCAATCGTGTTTATGAAATTGAACCAAGACAAAATGATATTGATCTAGAAGCTGAATTTAAGCCGTCTTTGTTGAATACTGCCATTTATTTGCTGCAACTTGGTCAACAAGTTTCTACTTTTGCAGTTAATTACCAAGGCAGACCGTTTAGAGAAAGTCTCAGGGAAAACAGGGGAATGTATTACGGGCTTTTAGGTGTTGGTGCTCTTGCTCTTTCTGGATCTACGGAGTTTATTCCTGAATTAAACGAGGTTTTAAAACTGGTACCAATGACAGATAAGTTTAGATTTCAGCTTACTGGTAGTATTTTACTAGATTTAGGCGCTTGCTGGTTGATTGAATTGACGTTGAAATTCTTTTTTATGGACTATAAACCAGCAGATATTGCTCTTAGACTAGATGAACGAAAGGGCCATCTTTTGTTAAAGAAAGAAAAATAAGATACTTTGTAAATATTTAGTTTGATTAAAAGTGTAATTGCCTATGATTAACAAGTTGATAATTCTTTTTACCCCCTAACCCTGATATATAAGGAGGTATTTTCGTTGAAAACCTCAATTATGATCATTCTTATACTCCTACTAGTAGTTGACAATGTCTATTAAAAGAAAAGCACATGAAATGAAAGAAGGAAACAAAAAACCAAAGGTGAGTAAGTAGGAAAAAAAATTGTTCATTTTTTAATAATTTTTTTTTAGTTCAATAATTTAAAAAATATTGAACCTTTTTGGAGTGGTATTTTTGTTACATGTCCAAGAGGTAAAGAAGCTAAGTGTAGGAACGAAATTGTCGATATTTTTAATGAGTATTCCAAAGAATTTTACGGAAATTTAAAAACTGAAAAAATTTTAGAGGAAACTCAAGCACCATTAGATAGATCGTCAAGTCTAAATAATGTAGAAGAAACCATTGAAGATATTATTGCTAGAGAGCTTGAAGAACTTAAAAATTCAAGCCAAAGTAAAATTTCAAAACAAGCTTCAAATAAAAAAGGAAAACAATTATTTGAAGCAATGGAAATTGGGTGTGAATGTGTTATTTTTGTCCGAACTCGCTTGCCCATAGATCCTGTTGATTTTGTTGGAAAGGTTTGCAAAGACGTCAAATATGGCAGCCAAATAAAAAGAAGTCGTTTTGCTCAACGCCTCACACCTATCGTTTGTACTGCAACTGCAAATATTGAAGGCTTAAATCGTCTCTTTAACACAGTACTCGCACCCGAATTTTATAATAGAGGAGTTCCACAAACATTTGCCATTCGTCCGACTTTGAGAAATCATAATGTTCTTTCTCGGGAAGACATTATTAATAAGACTGCTAAGTTTATAATATCAGCGCCGATCCATGATAAAACTGAAAACAATGATATGGAAACTACGTTAACCAAGTCTGAACCTCCCAAAAAAGAAAAAATAAAGAACTCAGTAGATTTAAAAAATTACGAAAAAATGGTTATTGTTGAGTGTTATAAATCAATAGTTGGAATGTCAGTGGTTGGCCCAGAATTTGAAAAGGAATACCATAGATTTAATCTTGAACAGATTTTCACTACTAAAACAACATTAACTGAGTCTACTTCCATCTCAATAGACCAAATCTCAAATTTAACACATGATGACAAATCTAACACTACATAGTTTAAAAAAATATTTACAAAAACCTTTTAAAAAAATTTTCCGATCAATTCCACAATACTATTTAAACATAGATAAAATGTCAAATCCATCAACGGCTCCGAAATTACAATCTAAAGTAAGAAAAGACCAATCAGATGATGATTTTTTTGATCAAAGGGATCTATGGGAAAAAACAGGACCTATAATTCAAACATCTGAGGTAAGATACACTGATCTCAAAAGTAACTTAAATCTCATGTAATAATTAAATGTCAGTCTCTAGTGACCCGAGATTATACAAATGCCAAAGTTAAAATCGATCGCTCAGCACTTCGCCATGCAATTGAACGATGCTTGTATTTACGAGAGTATGATCAAGCTTTAAACATACTTCATCAAGGATATCAGAATGTAAGCAATGATCGAGAGCGTGATGAATTAGAGTCATTGCACAAGACTGTAGCTCAATTAAAATATAACTGCAAGCAATCTGAAATCAATAAAATTTAATTTTTAAATTTTTAAAACTTCATGAATTTATGAATCAATAACTCTTATCAGCCACTGAATAAGTAGCATACCTAGGGAAATTCCCTTTGCCAGCTATATTAGAACTCCTGGCCTTGTCTTTATTCCCAAATCCGTAATATTCCTCTTCTTTCGACTTTATTTCAACTGTGATTGCAGTTACTTTGCGATGTCTTAAGGTGGGTCTTTGGTCATTGTGTTTCTGTAACTCATATTGAATTTTGTTTTGATTTCCATCTTCAATTTTTTTTTCAACATCATCGGTTTCAATTACTTCATCTATAACTTTCTCAGTTGAGGTCTTAAAGATTAAAAAATAGCCCATTTGTTGTAACCTAATCCCCACAAGTATGGCAACATCAATCGCCTTTCCAAGGGCTTTTAAATGTATTACTTTTTTCTGTAAGTTTTTTTCTTTAATATAGTCCAACATTTTCACTACACGCTGAACTACAGATAAGACATTCATACCTGATTTGACAAATATTGTAAAGTCACCTTTTTCATGAATAACCCCTCCTTTCTCCAATTTAGGAGGAGGATGCTTGGATGTTATTGAGACACCATTTTGGGCTGGATTTAGCAATAAGTCTTTATTTGTTTTGGAAATTTCGAAAAATGAAGGCGGGTGTGAAGTATTTGACTCTAAAATAGATTGGTAAGAGGGAAAAAACTGCGGAAATCGATTATTAAAATCTAACGGAGTTGATTTCAATATATTTGACTGACTTCTTTGTGTTTGTGTTTGTGTTTGTGTTTGTGTTTCTGAATGCTGATCTAAACTCGGATTATCATGTATTTGAAACTGTGAAGAATTTAAAAGATTTTTTTTATTTTTATTTAAACCTAAGTTTTTTTTATCATTGTTTTCTAATCTTATGGAAGTATCATCCTCAGACAAAAGGGCTTGTGAATAAGTTGTATAAATCGAAATAGGACGAATTGTCTGATCTGAAAACGAACCATTTAAGTTTGAACCATTCATGACTCAAAATATCCGGAATGAAAAGCGGTGCTATTTAAATTCGTTTATCAAGAACTTAAATGTAATAAAAGAATAAAAATTTCCTTGTTTTTGAAAAATTGAATCGAAATTTGGTTCTTAGAAGAGCTTAACGTATTTAATTGTAGAATCAATCTTAAACATCTCAAAGATTGTTCAATATCCCAGTAAAAGTTTTGTTACATTTTTTTCTTGTATTGTATTGTAAATGGGAAAATGTAATAGCATTAGTGACAATTAAAATTTGTAAAATCTTATATAATTGTAGGGCCTACTCAATATTCATTGTATCTGTTGCTTGCAGAAATTTACATATCTCGTTAATTCGGCGATACTCAGTATTTGAACAAATAGTATTAAATTTTAAAAATGGAAACACCTTTAGCAGCAGAAAAACCTAAGTGGTATTATGATTTAACATACCCATCTGTCAATTCAAAATCTGGGAAAAATATTACATTGAAGGGATTAAATTCGACAAAGATAAATATTAATGGAAAAGTAGTCGATCCACCTGGCTTTTCTTCCGAAATTCCTGGATCATCATCTTCTTCTACTTCTGCCTCATCAGCTCTTCATAATAGGAGGGAAATACAAAAAAAGCAGCAAGAAAAAGATGAACTTAAGTTAAGAAGAGCTAGAGAAGTGGCGTTTGGGCCTGCCAAAAGCATTCCTATGAATTTGATAATGTCATATTTTAGTGGAAGCTCTTTACAAGTAATTCCCCTTTCTATGACATGGATGATGTTTTTTAATGGGCCTTTGAAACAATTAATGACAGTTAATGAACAATTTTCAAAACTTGAAACCGAATCTAATACCTCAAGCATATTTATGCTCAAACTTCTTTATTCATTTTTTATTGTGCTTACCATGTGTGTTGGAGTTTACAAGTTGTCAACTATGGGTATATTGCCCAATACCACAAGCGATTGGGTTGCATGGGAACTTCCCAGTACAGTAAGTATACCATTTATTTTTCTTATTTTCAATCACTAATTTTTAAAGGTTAAAGAACTTTCATTTAATTAATCATATAAAAATTATAGTAAGATAATTAATTATCAATTAAATCGTTGGTGCCATCTGCAGCCTTAAACGCATTAAATCCACCTTTAAGGATAAAAATTTCGGGACCTGATCCTTTCGAATTTTTATAATCGGTTAACCAGCCCCAAGTGCGTGTAGCTCTATCGCGTGAACTTACACAATGAACAATAATCTCCTTTTTTTCAGCTTTGTCAAAAAGATCATATAGGTCGTCAACGCTATGATAAATACTTTGAGCAGGAATATTAAATGCACCCTTAATTTTCCCCCCAACAAAATCGTTCTTTCGAAGGTCGATAATAGCAATGTCCTTAGGTGACCTTCTAATCAATTCGGCAACTGCTGAGGGTTCCAAATAATCTTTTTCAGATGGCTTGACTGAAGGCTCAGGAGTAGATTGGATCCAATTAACAATTTCGGGAGAAGCCATTTTAAAGTCTTAAACTATGAAAAAAAAATTAGTATTTTGGAATCGGCTTTCAATTTTTAATCTAAATTAGTCGATATAAACTTGATATATTTTAAAAATAACAAAAATAATGAACTATGAGTTTTAATTGAGAACCTATGGTCGTTATTTATATTTCAAAATATCACGGGGTTTGTCGGAATCGGGCGGGATTTTTATTATTATTAAATTTGTATTTACTTTGCACAATCAAAAGAACATAAATGGAAAATCACAGTGACAGGCTGAAATATTAATTGCGGGAGCTAAATAGCTGACCCTCCTCGGTTTTCTTATTTCGTAAGTTACGCTACAAGATAATTATCAATACCTCCTCTATTCACCTTCAATATATATTCACATATATACGTGAATGGACAGACAAACCTGCTTGGACTTGCTTTTTTTTGTCGTGTTGGCTTGTCGAGGTGGTGCGCCTATTATTTTTTTTTGTAGCTAGCTCTCTAATTCTTTCCCATCCCTAACACTGAACTCCAGATTTACATTCATTAGCCTTCACAAACTAATGCCGTTTTATGGTACATTTTAATGAAAAGTTTGTCGGAATAACCCAAAAGTTTATTATGTAATGTGTAGGAAATGATGCTAACAAAAGCCAAGATTTCTACAACAAACCCCGAACTTAAGGAACAAAAATCAATCGTAAGAATTGACTTTTTTGATAATTCATGCTGTCATAGATATTGTTCAAGAAGTTTTTTTTGTCTTTGTTATTGTTATTAAAATCCGCATTAAGTTCGTTTTAACTATATCTTCTAGATAATTACACAGTAATATTGAAAACATTTCTGTAACCAATTCCACAAAAAATATCTAGCACTAAGTTCAAACATATTAGTCCTAGTAATAAATTTAACACTTATAAGTAATAAATTTAATAATTATTAAATTTATTTAAATTTATTTATTGAAACACAGTAAAAATTCATTTAATAATTGTTATAATAAGTAAATATAAGCATATCAAATAATTTTAGATATCTTTCAATTTATATTAAATTAGATGCTGGCTGAGATGTACACATTTTTTTGCTTTAGAATTTTAATTAAAATGCATTTTAGCATATGCTATGATATTTTTGATATTTTTGATATTTTTGATATTTTTGATATTTTTGATATTTTTGTTCTATTTGTTTTTATTGTCTTTACGAACAATGCAAATTTATATTAAAATCCCTGATCAGGGACTTTCATGATAAAATTATACTGTAATTTACAGGATACTTTAACTTAATACCATATTACTAATAATATGCTTACTAATTTTTTTAAAATATTAATCCAATTTATTTAATTTTTTTAAAAAATTTTTCTACTCAAGCATTGTCATCTTCAGATTAATTCAAATTTAAATAATGAGCAGCTCTAAACTGAATTTTAATGCGCCTGATGAAAACTTAAACGATGGCTTGTTAAACAGCTTACCACCAACAATTTTCTGTATAGGAATGGCAGGCTCAGGGAAAACTACATTTATGCAACGTTTAAATTCACACATTCACTCAAAAAAGCAACGTCCATATGTCATAAATTTAGATCCAGCAGTTCTTAAAGTACCATTTGGAACAAATATTGATATTCGAGATTCAGTAAATTACCGAAAAGTTATGGAACAGTATAATTTAGGACCGAATGGTGCCATTATGACATCTTTGAATTTGTTTGCAACTAAAATTGATCAAGTTCTAGACATTGCAGAAAAACGAGCTAAAAGTGGTAATGTGAATCAAATAATAGTTGATACACCTGGGCAAATTGAATGCTTTATTTGGTCAGCCTCTGGAGCGATTATCACTGACGCATTCGCTTCGTCATTCCCAACAATGATTGCATATATTGTGGATACGCCTAGATCATCATCGCCCACAACGTTTATGTCTAATATGCTTTATGCTTGTTCTATTCTTTATAAAACTAAGCTTCCAATGATTGTGGTGTTCAATAAAACAGATGCCCAAGATGCTAGGTTTGCTATAGACTGGATGACAGACTTTGAAAAATTTCAAGAAGCCTTACAAAAAGATGAATATTTAAACGGTAATGAAAGCGGCGGTAGCAGTGGTTATATGGGCTCATTGATGAATAGCATGTCATTAGTTCTTGAAGAGTTTTACAATCATTTAGATGTTGTTCCGGTGTCTGCTTACACCGGTGATGGATTTGACGAGTTTTTGGGTGCAGTTGAGAAAAAAATTGATGAATACAATCGGGATTATAAAACTGAACGTGATGTAATAATAAAACAAAGAGAGATTTCAGCTCAAGAACGGAAAGCAGCTGATTTAACACGACTTTTAAACGATATGGGAATTAATGATAAAGGAACTAAAGAAACAAATTCAACTACTGCTGATACTTTATCAGATACTGAAGATTTATCAGAAAATGACGTTGATCCTGATGATTATGAAGATGATATTTCTAGCAAATATAGAGAAGGACCTAGAAATCTGAATGAACCCTCTAAATCAACTCATAATGAGTTTTTTGCTGGTAGGGATTATGATTATAGTGATCGTCGCGGTGAAATAAATGATAGTTCTGAGCAAAGTCTTCAAGATAAATTTACTGAGGCTTTAAAAGCAACATCACGAGAAAATGATAATTCGCGTGTTGAATTACTTAAACAAGCATTAGGGCAATCTAGTAAAAACTAATTTTTAAAACAATTTTGGTTGATTGGTGTTGATTTTAATTAATCAGTTATAAATAAAAATTTAGTAGCCATGAGTATAAATGTTAAAATAATTACGTTGTCTGACTTGATAGAGAAATAGTAAGAACCGATGAAGGGGTTGGAGATACTGACGACAATGACGTATGCAAAGATTCCAATGCTGAACTAGATTTTGCAAATGGTTCTGAAACTGAAGCCAGATTAGAAATATGGGATATAGACATTGAATTCCCATTTTTGTCATTTCTAATTTCAATATCCATGTTTTTAGACCTAGATTCCTCTAAAGACTGAATAAAGCGGTTGGGGGATTGAGCTTTTATTGTGTAAGGACTTGAATCATCCGAGCTAAATATAAGGTGTGGTTTACGTTCAGCTAAATCCAAAATCGTTTTGGCGAATTCAGAATTACACCAGGCAAACCATGATCTAGTAAATGAATGGGGTAGATCAACATTAACACTTTCATGCATCAGACCTAACCCTGAAGTAGATTTCTTTAAAATTTCTAATGATTGTTTGATTTCAGTATCATTATCTGTGGTACGAATTGCAATAATGTGACTCATTGGCCATGCAAACCTAGTACCTATATGTGGACCACCAATACCTTCAAAAAATTCGCCCTTCAAGTAATATGGGTTTCCTGTTTTTGATAAAATCATTTTTCTAGTATTTAAATAAATTTCATTACTTCGAGAAACAAATCCCATATCTGGGAGAGATAGCAAAGATGGGGTGTTGGCATCATCCATTATAGATATACTGCCATATCCATCAATTTCATACGCAAATACTTTACCAAATTCAGGATGGTCGTACGTACCATGTTGAAAGATTCCATTTTCAATATCAACACCGAGTGCTGATAGCTTTTTAGCTAGTTCAATATGATCTAGAGTGTTGAGGATTTTTGCTGTACGTTTAAGTTCAACTGACATAAATGCATTCCCAGGAATAAAAAATTGATAAATTGTTGCATCATCGGATGGTCTAAAAGCGGAGCGTATAAGAGAAGTGTTTCTGTTCACAGGATTTCCGGCACCCCCTAAATTCAATGTTTCTGTTCCAGTATCTGTTTTTCTCCGAAAAGTATAATAATTGGGAAGTTTTTGTCCTGTCTCCGAGTATGTTGGAATAGCCTGTTCCTGGAGTACACGTAGAAGACGAGAAAGGGCTTTAAGCCAAGAAGCGGTAATAAAGGATGTGTCATAAGTAGCTTCGTAGTAATCATTGCTAATTCCTAAAAAGGATGCTAAACTGTCAATTTCATATTTGCATTCAAAAACAATGTTTAAATTAACGCGAGGAAAAACAATATCATTTTCATTGTTGTAAGGAAATTTCAATCCACTTTGAGAAGGGGGGTGAAATGCATTGCAATAAGGATGTGAAATAACATAGTCAGATTGTGTACTAATAGTTCCAAGAATCAAATCGCGTATTTTAGGATCGAAATTAGCTAAATGGGAATAAACCGTGATTTGCTTATGAGAATCACGTAACCATGAAGCATCGATATCACCGGTCACAATAAATGTTTGGGGATCAACTCCTGGATGATGCCATCTTATAGTTGTATCTAGAGTGTTTGGAAAACAATTTTCAAATAGTCGAGACAAATCTGGATCGCTGATACGCGAAGTGATATCAGATATTACCCTTTCTACTTCGCTTGAACTAAAAGTTCTGCATTCTTTCAACGGTCTTTGAAATGGAAGCTCTAAAGGTCCTTTACTGAAAGGAGGATGTGATGTTGAAGAATATTGAGAATAATTGGGACAGGAAGATTGTTTGTTTTCCCTATTTAGATTGGTTCTTTGGTGCTGCTGTTGACGTTCTAACCGTATTAATTCATCGAGCTCTTTTCTGTTAGAAACTCTTTGAGGGTTAATGTAGGGAGTTCTAAAATCTTTTGCAATTGGGGGTATCTGAGAAAATTGATTTTCTTTAGAAGTAGCAATAGAAGCTTCAAAATTTGATGAGCGGGAAGATGTATTTAATTTATAAAGCAAAATTAGTAATAAAAAGAGTAAAATAATAGCAAATTTATTATTTTGCATTCTTCGTAAAAATCGAGCCAATTTTGTACGAGAAGAGGGGCGGGCCATTTGACTAGTTGTTGGAGGAGGAAGCATTATTTAAGTGATCGTGATAAAGGTTTCGATAAAAAACAATTAAAAAATAATAAAAAACAGGGAAAAAATATGAATAAAATTCGATATACTTCAACATAAATATATCTTTAAACCATAATCATATTCTTATAACTTATCATTTCTGTTAATGATATTAATTTCGTGGATAATACATGATAAAAGCTTATTTTAGAAATGAGGAACGTGGGTAACTTAAATTGGACTTAAATTAAGTTAATAATATTACTCTAACTGCTTACGTAAATAAATATACGCTTTAGTACGATATTAATGTTCATTTCCCTTAACGGAGACAATAAATTTGTAATTACAAAAATGTCACAATCTTCTAAAAAGTTTTTGATACACAGTTCATTGTAAAAACAAAGTATACGTCTAAGCATATCTATCTATAAACATATATGTTTATTACTTAATTACACAGTCCTTGATAATAGTTATATATGACGATTCACTTAAGATCTGATTTCGAAAAAAACTAATAAAATTGAGCTCTAAATTGTTTATGGTATAGAATCAAATTTGATTTTATTAAAAGGCTTAACGATGTCTCATATACCTGGGTTGGAACCTGAATACTTTGTCCATCAATTGCCACCAGATCTTCAAACCAAAGTAACATCTCGCAACACACCTTCTCACTTGATTCACAAATTACATGCAAAAGAAATTTCTTTACTTGAGGAGGTACAGGAATTCCTTGGTAATAAAGTAGAAGAGTTCAAATATTTTGCTGAATCTCTTTTTTCTTCAGTCAGCAATACCAACGACATTTTATTTAGTCCTACCATATCATTTACAGAAACGGCACACAATCCGATGGGCGAAATTTTTTATGATAATTATGATGAAGATTCTATTCCTTTAGCGAAAACTTGTTCCCAACTATCATATACTTATGAGCCCCCAAGTCCTGCTACAATGCCATTAAAGCCATCATTAAAGGCAACGAAAGAAATCACATGTGAAACATCTGAATTAAAAAAGAAAAAAGTTATGTTTTCTGATAATTGCCAGGTTGCTATTGTTCCTTCAATTTCAGATCTAGATTTTCATCAATCACCTCCTGACAGCCCGTTTCAAACAATTGGTGAAATTTTTGGTCATGGTAAAGGTGATTCGATAACTGAAAGTTTTTTGGATTTAGATGAAATGAAAAAAACAAATCAAAACTCTGTCACTCAAAAAGTCTATTCGGGGAATAGTTTTAATCATCATAATTTATCATCCTCACCTTCTTCATATCTGTCGCCGCCTATACCCTCATCGCCTGCGGCACCTTCATCACCCACTAATCCATCCCCATTACATACGGAGGCTATTCTTGGAGCAACAGATGAAGATAAAGTTAGTCATAATGGATTTTTTTATAACAATGAGGAAGAATACGATGATATTGACGGAATATATTTACATGATCATAAATTTACTGGATTTTCACCTTCTAAAAAGAAAAATTCAAATAAGGATTCATATAGTGGAAGTTTTTCCAATGAAAAAGAGAAAACAGCAGATCAGTCAAATGCTATAAAGCCGAATTATAGTTTGAGAGTACCTAAGTTGATTAATACTAATCAGAGTCATCTTTCTTTCCACAATATACAAGATGATCCCTCCATTCAAAACATAGACTGTGCGGCAGAAAAAATAGAGGAAAATGCTGTTAAACAATTATTACCTCAATGCTTGACAACACCAGTCGAGCTTTCAAATGATTTAAATACCAGAAATGCTGCACTAAGCAAATTTGCTTCTTTGATTGAAAATGACAAAAATACTGACAACAAAAATTATTGTGATGTTGATCTCAGATATAATAGTTACATTTCTAAAACTAATGACGTTCAACCTACTTATTCAACTAATTCGAATCCCATATTGAGTCAGAATAATGATCATACACCGTCTTATATACAACGTTCGAATAATAAATCTTTTACATCAAATATTCATTATGAAAGCTCAAGCACAAATGAAAACATCTCAAATAAAGAGAATAGTGAGAGTAAATCGAATGAAACATTAAACAATCAATTTGACACCAAAGGTAGAGATGTTGACAACTTTTCAAGTAATGACACTATCAATAAAAACAACAAAATAAATGATTTAGATGTTGGTGTGGTTGATAGCAGAGATAAAAACAAAGAACATATAAAAGAAAAAAGTGATGACCATGATGATAATGATAACGACAACAATAACGATGATGATGATGATGATGATGATGATGATGATGATGATGATGATGTTTTTCAATTTGATGAGGCGCCTAGTATATCGGTAAGTGAATCATATAAAGATACATCTTTCAAAAAATCTTCATTGTTATTTTCATCATCTTATGACAATGAAAAACCTAGAAATGAAATTTTTATAGGCTCTTTACCTACGAACCAATCTCGAACCTCGTTTTCTGAGTTACCTACAGTTGTTGGAAGTTTGAAAACAAAATATCTTAAGTACAAACCCCGTAACTTAAAATCTTTTCAAAAATCAACCATACAATTGGATAATCAAAAAAATGATGAATTGAATTTTAATCCAGTAACTATTCAAAAAGATGGTTTTAAAACTTCCTTATCAGAAGGACAAAATATATTATCTAACTTTGCATCCAGCCTTCCAATTACTGTTAGTCACAGTTCCAATTTTAATAAAATAAATCTTAAATCTTCTGGCAAAAATATGTCGGCAAATAATAAATCTTTGTTCCTAAATAGCGAACATATAAATGACATAGACTTTGCTTTTACTGATTCGCTAGGGATTCCTGATGAAGATATTTCGATGTATGCATCTCCAGGATCTGCGGTACAGCATCTTCCTCAAAGAGGAATGGATCCTGGATCTATGAGCTTTTCACAGCGCCTTACTCTCGAAAGATGGAACAGCAAGCGAGATCACTAATTGGTTAAATAGTTTCACACAAGCATTTTCTTCATATTTATGTAATTTTATAATTATTATACAGTATTTTTATATATTATTTTATTTTATTTTATTTTATTTTTCTCTAATTATTTTTGAGAGAATTAAAAATTTTAAAATATAAATAATTATTCACCTTATAAGGTGAACCCTATTTTTTTTGAAGATAAAGATAAATGAAGAAATTATTAATTTTTCATTTGCTTAGTAAACTTATCATTAGTAAAAAGCTAAAATGCAACAGCATTCATGAATATTACTAATATTTCAAGCATAAGCATACCAATAATTATTATATAGGGTAATTATAAATATTCTGGTAAAAAGTTATTATTCTACACTATCTCTTGGTTAATTTATTTGATATCTCAACAATGAAACTGTCTGATTATAATGAATTTGATATATTAGATACTTGTGGATCTAATAATCAATCTATAAGACGTTTAACAAATCAAGAAATTCAAAGCCCAAATGATGTTTCAAACGAGTCGCAAATTTCTGAAGAAAGTGAGGAAGACTTTTTTAACGAAGAATCATTTAATCATGACTATTTAAATACGCAATTATCTACATCTCATATTGAAAGAAAACACAATTCAGAAGGGTATTTATCTGGAATAACAGTTTCAAAAGAAGAATACCTTCAAAAAGGATTTGATTACGGATATATGCATGGTGCACATATGGGAATTTTAGTTGGAAAAATATTGGGTGTTATGCAAACCGAATTTTTTTTTTCAAATTATAAGCAAACAAAATGTGAATATGGTTTATTAGAAATAAACCATAACATTAAGAAATTTAATGCTCTTACCCCAGGTGAATTATTTAGCAAAGATTACTATGAAAAAGATCCTTTAAAACTCCCAGGTACTTTTTTTGAGGAAAATGAGTCGTTAAGTCAAATAAATCAACTGGGGTTGGCTTATCAATCTATGGATAAGCAAATAATTGAATCGTTTCTCTCAGCTCCGTTTCCAGGAAAACCTGAGTTACACCCTTCTGTCAAATTTTATGTAGAGGCTTTAAAATTAAATTTAAAAATTGATATAACTGAATAACAAGATACATATTTAAAAAAAAAATTAAAGTTACAAAAAAGTATAATTTGCTATAGTAATTTACCAAAATGAACACCACCCAATATAATGCAAGCAAAGGTTTTCCACATTGGTAGCTTGTAAAATAAGCTTATCGACTTGGGTAGGAACATCAAGATCTTTAACATTTCGAAAATCATTTCCTGTTAGTTTATCCGTGATCCTTTTCAGAACAATATCTGCACGATTATCACGGGATCTTTGAATTCTGTTGGCCGTGATTTGAGACTCTGATTTTTTCTCAGTTGGTGGTGCTACGCCTCCTTTGATTGCTGAAAGAGAAAGTGCAGATGTACCATTTGAGCTTCGTCCAGTTCGTGAATCCTCTTTAGTCACATTCCCAGTTCTATCATCATTAAGAAACCCATTATTTCCATAATCCATAAGTCCCCCCATTCCACCTACTAGACCTCCAGGGCCAGTTTGAGTGGCAACAGTTGGACCATCTGTCTTCATTGGAATATCAAATCCCCAATTGATTAAAGGATCATGAGCAAATGCCTCAAGAATAGCCATCAATGATTCCTTATTGTCACGTAATAGGGACATAACATGTTCACATGTTATTCTGAAGCTTCCTTCTATACCGGAAACTTCCATAGCATAAACAAGCATTCTAGTAAGACGAAAGGGTACTTTTTCAGGGTACTTCTCTCTCAAAATAGCAGCCTCAAAGCAGTCACCAAAATCAACGTGAATTACTTTTCCAGTATATCTGTCAAGCATGAGATTAGAAGGGTGACGATCACCTAAACCTAGAATGTATCCAACCATTGACATAACAGCCAAAGAACGAGTATATTGAGTTCGACGATCTAGCCAAGCTTCAGATGATCTGCTTTTAAGCCACAGAACTCTATACAAATCTTGGCCTCTAGTGTTGTCTAATGCATAAGTAAATATCTCGATTTTTTGTAAATGTGCCAGACTATCATAATCAGGTGCCATTTGCAGCATCACTCGGTATTCAATATTAAGAAGGATTTTTCCTTCACGATATTCTCTGATTAATACATGAAATGTATCAGCGTGAGGAACCCAGCCCAAAAGACCAGATTTGGGAGATAGGGGGATGGCAGGGTATTGTTGAATATTCAAATGGCGTTTAAAACATTCTGGATCATCAGATAAAAGCGTATTTACAAGTCCAAATAGTTGCATAACAAGATTATCTTGGCGAATATCTTCATGACCTTTTAATACATATTGATAATCCTTTCCATCACTTGCTTTAATGGTTAAACGTCGAGGGCGCTGCTTTGATGAAATCACAGAAAACATAGGATCAAACTTTGAAATACTTATAATAGGCTTTCCTGGTATATAAGTTCCAGGAACTGCTAGTTGCAAGTTTCTTGCAGCTTGAAGTTTTGGAGAAACATATTGGAGGTCTAAAGTTTGTGCTTGGGGAAGTTGTCGGGTTATTCGTCTAAAAACATTGTAATAAATATCCCAGGCCTGATTTAGGTTTGCTGGGTCGTTAGTTCTGCGATAGCTAATAAGCCAGTTATGAGCTTCATGCAAATCACGAGCGAAGGCGGTTTGAAATGCCACTTCACGTAATGTCTCTGGACCACGGTCAAGCATTGCATGCAATCCTTCTAATGTGGAAAACATTTTTTCAATATTGTGCTCTCCAAAATAGTATCTTGAAGCATCCTCAAGGCCCTCATGCCACTGTTCATGCCAAAGAACAGCTACACGAATTAATTCGTAACTCACAAGCTCAGCTTGTTCAACTAATGTAGCACTATGCTGTCGCATTTTATCAATAATGCTGGATGCAGCCATTTGTCTAGAAGCACTATCCGATTTAATAGCCACAGTTAAAGGATAAATTAAAGCCTGAGGATGATTTCTTCCAAGCTCTGTCAATAAGCTTTGCAGAGCTTTACTGACTACCGGGTCAGGTTGATGAATACTTGAAATTAATTGTGGAAGAACTCCAAGCCAAACTTCCAAATGAATTAATTGAAATCCTTCAGCCATTGCTTTTGCTGGCTCGTCAAGGCCTCCATATTTAAACCATAAAGTTAAAAGACGCAAAGTATCTTGAAGGGACTTTTGTTCAGATAAAGCAATGGATTTAAAAAATCCCTTTATTGCAGGAACAACATGGTGCTGAATAAGACGATCAGTATCCACTCCTTGAATACTGCATGTATCAAAAAGTGTGATAAATTCAAAATTAGCCAAGGCCCAATTATGCCAAGCCTTATACCAACTTTCATCAAAATGAGTAGCAAGCAAATAAGACCCTAAAATCGTATCAGGCCCTTCAGTCATCCAAGATTCTCTTAAAGCCACCTTCCATTCACCCTGTTTCAAAAAACATCTTGCTAGGAGCCTGGTATTTTCTTTAACAGTAGACGACACATCAGTTCTATTTGAAGGCAACGGCTGGGCAATGAGATCATCATCTTGCAAGTTCAGTAAATGCGACATTCTGTTTGTGAATTCCATAAGCTTATCCAAAGCTTCTTCGTGATTTCCCCTAGCCCACTCATATTTTAACTGCGCATATACGACTTTTGGAAGAAATTCGACAACTCCGCTAGTGCTCCGATCATTGTCATCTGGTTCTAAAATTCGGCTTAATGATTTTTCAGCAAGGCCTAGTCTTCCTGATTTACGGCACAAATTAGCAAATTTGATCCACATATCCATATCCTCTTTGGGTTTAATTACTAAAGCACGAACTTTTAGCATACGTTGCCATATGTCCACATTTCGCTGGCACCCTTTCAGTCTTTTCATCCATGTCTTTTTCATTGTTTTTCTTGTATCGGATTCAGTAGGAAGATTCTTATAAGTGATTATTTCCTCAAGTTCAGCAAGCATTTGGACACGAACAACCACACCATAAGCACGATTGTAACTTTCGCTAACAAGTGCAGTTAGTTCCGTTGCAAGTAAATCCCGGGCAATAATAATTTGTTTTGATGCATCATTGTAATTACCACGATGAATAGAAAGAATAGCATTAAAAAATGAACGATCAGGCGATTCACTTTTCATTACTGAGATGTAGGTATCCATTCTTTCCCATTCACCTAATCCCCATGCCGCTGCTGCTGCCAGAGGTGCAACTGCTCTTTTAATGTCATAGGTTGAATTCGCCCATCTCTCTTGAGCAAGTTTAGACAGTTGTTCCCATTCTCCTAAAGCATGTAAACATCTCATTTTACCCATTGTTACTTCCATAGAGTCAGGATCTTCTTTCTCTCGGCGATTATAAGCTTCAAGTGCATCATCCCAACGCTGAAGTTTTTCGTACCATGTTTCTTTTAATTGAAGACTATGATGTTGTTGAGCTCTAGTTAGAATGCCAATAGCTGAATCAGACTGCTGTAAATGATTATTGATGGTAATAAGTGCTTCAATGGTATTGGTTTTTGGGTCTTGCATGTACTCCAGTTCTTTATAATGGAGTGCCTTTGCGTATGCATGACATTTCTGAGCGTAATTCGCTAACGTTCTAATATCAATTGGTAACGACTTTTCATCATGCTCCATATATTCTGCTAGGTTCAATAAAGTTTGAAGAACCTCAGGAGGTATATTTGGTGAAGTTAAAGCAATTTCTAAAGACCTCACAAGATCCTCTTTGTATTGATCATAAAGTGCCCCCCAGCAGCTGTAAAAGCTAGGATTAAAAAGATCTTTTGCTAAAGGTGCATATACACCAGCAATACTTGCGCTGGCACGAAGAGCTTGTGAAGGCGATTCCTTTAACAATTCCAAACTTAACCTTCGAAGCCATTCCAGCCAATCATCTCTAGTTGTACGCTGTGATGTGTTCCATGCTAGTTGAAGATGCATTTGGTTTACTCTGAGCTTGCGAGTAGCAACGTCAGCAGGAGATGACTCATCTCCAATTTTGATGCGTTTTCTGTAAGGATTTAAATTTTGAGGCAGAGGCTCGGAATTTAAAATTTTGGTGACTAGTTGTTCATAATTTGGTGCATGAATTTTATGCTTTAGCAAAGATTTGTTCACAACAGAAATAAATATTGTATACTCAGAATTCATTGAGAATGCTAGCGCACAGAGTGTATTCACAATTGGTGTTTTGAGCTCCTCAACCTCAAGATTTAATGTCCGTAGCAATGGGTGAATAATTCTTGGTGCCATGTCATTTAGATTAACAGTACGGCAAAGCTCACCTACTGTTTCAATTGCCGCAATTCGTAAATTTATTGGAGTATATTCGATCATACTCACTATGCAAGGAACAATAAGATTTACGTACTCTTCAATAGTAGATCCAAATATAATAAAAGAATTAAGAACTTTAACAGATGTATCACGCATATGTGACTTATCGTTTTGTATAAGGTTGATTAAAAGAGGAAGCAATCGAGGCATATATGCTTTAAACTCTCCATCTAAAGCTTGAGCAATTGAATCTATTAATGAAAGAATGACAGTTTGTAAAATGGGGATAGAAAAATATTCTTGCGCAACTTCAAATATTGATGGAAGAAAGGGACGCGCATGCTGTTTGACAACTTGAATCAAATTGGAAAGCTGTCTGAAAATAAATTCCGCCATGACATGACTGCTAGACCGAATAACGCTAATTAAGCCAGGAATGATTTGATTTAAAAAAGGGACACACTTTAACCCTAAAGATTTGAAAATATGTAAAACTGCTTGGGCGATTGCGTTGTGATGAGTGACTAAAGAAGGATCCTTCAAAAGACTCATTAAGGTTGTTATGACTACTGTAGGGTAATACTCCTCTGCAGAAGGACTCATTCCTTGCATTAATAAAAGAACATCGATAGGAGCTGAATCGTATTCTGTAGAATCGTCTTCAGTTTTTCTTTCGACCTCTCTGTGTTTATAAGGATCCAAAGCTCCTAAAATCCCCATTACACGAACAGTCTCTCGCTTTAAAGTTAAATTTTGGTCAGAAGACTTTAAGATAGTAACAAGTATACCTAAAAGTTGTGGGTAGTCAATCAAAGGATCAATAACATAACCTGAGCTGCTGGAAAGTTGGCCCAAAGTTCTTAAAGCAGCATCTCGCTTAATTGCTGAGCTTTGATCTTGAAGTGTATCTAATATTAGTTGCATCAACTCTGAAAAATATGGTGACATATCTTCCCCAGTAACTTTAGATAGTTCACCGATAGCAGCAATAACGCTCGAAGCTACAAGAGGGCTAGAGTCTTTTGCAGAAGGAATAAGAGTTGCCAAAATTGGTTTTATGTATGGTCGAACTAAATTATTCGTGCTGCTAATCAAAAGCCCTAAAAGTTTAGAGCTTTCTTCTTTGTTCCTTGAAATTGTCGCAAATTCAAGTTCTGTAAGTAGTTGAAGTAGAGTTTTTCTCAAAGATGGGACAACATAAGCAGGGTTAATTCTTGAAAGGCGGCCTATAATTGTTATTGCTGCTTCACGGACATGAAAATCTTCATCATTCATCGCCATAAATAGCATCCGAACATTTTCAGCTTGAGCCAAATGGTAATCCAGTTTACTTTGAAGAGAATTTAAAATTTCTCTTCTGATTTCAGGAACAGGGTCACTTAAAGCTACCGTTAGCAGCTTTTCTAAAACTTGGTTGACAGATTTTAATGAATGTGAACTCGATTGATAGCAAATAGGGTCAGCGGTAAATAAATTGATTGATGTAAGAGCGGCAGCTTTTCGCACCTGAGGATTTTCATGATCAATGTAATACAATGCACAATTTTTTACAAATTCACTTAGCGATTGTCCTTTAAAATCAAATGAACCAAGAATCCTTAACGCTAATACAATTACTTTATCGTCTGTATAATCCTGAGATGTATTATTATTGTTGCTATCTCTGTTAATCATTGTTTCTCTGTATTCCATAGCAGCAACGACATTGATCTTTTGCAAAGAGTTGGGAGACCCTGGAGGTTGAAAATGTGAACCACTAAGAGTTAAACTTATAATATCTAAAAGCCTGTCGCGAATTGGTATGTGTAAAGGAGGTATATTGATTACAATTTTAGTCAAGCATTTGTTTAAATCCTCACTCAAACCGCACGAAAACAAAAGGTCCAAAACATCTTTAGATAAATGTTTGGAAAGAGCCTGGCCAACAGCACCGGAAAGCATTCCTAAACATTCAAAAACTGCCGATTCTTGTTCTCTTCTCGATCTGCTAAAAAGAAATTAGTTACTAACCATTGGATAAAAAGCCCTAACTTACCTTTTAGACGTTAGCACCTCTTTAACGCCTTCAAGTATTGGGTCTAGATAAAACGCAATATTGCTTCGTACAGAGAGTGCAATTTTGCCTATCGAAACGAAAACAATTGGTCTCTCTCTTTCTTTTTTGAACTGAAGTATCAAATGATTCATACTATCCGAGAGATATTTCTTTGTGAATTCTATTGGGCTGTATTGAGCAAGAATAGGAAGTATTTGGATAACAGTTCTTCTTACAAGTAAATCTTTGTGATCTTTGTATTTCAAAACAGTTTCACAAACGTCACTGTAATAAGGCTGCATAAACATACCAGCAGTTCTCAGTAATTCCCGGAAAGCTAACAATGTTCCATGTATATCATCAGTTGTTCCAATTTTTAGTCCCGCCAATGCACCATCATAAATCTTGCGATAACATTTTTGTTGTGCATCTGTATCTCTTCCCACAAGAATTTCTAAACAAGAATGAAGAGCATCTGCTGCATCTAATCTAATGGAAACTTTAGAATCGCGAAGGCCCACCCATATAACATCAATGATTTGATTAACATAAGAGTATAAAAGTGTTTTACTGCTTTTGGCTAAGGCTGCTATCATTAAAACAGCTGAATGTCTCCTTGCTTCTTGTCTATCAGATTGAAGCCATTCTAAAGCCCTCGTGATTTCAAATTCAACAATTTCAGCTGCAAGACCCTCGTAAGCTGTTAGTTTACCCATAGTATTAACAGCTGCACGAAGAACCTCAATATCGTTAGTTGGTATAGTTGAACGTAAATAATTCGCAAATCTTGTAACCTTAGTTGACATTTCATCCGATTGATAAACATCCAATAACTTATCTATTGCGGTAATACCTCCAAGTCTTGAAGAAACATCTGTACTTCTTAAAAATTCAAATATTCTTTTGTTAATTTCATTATTTGGTCTTGGTGATCCATTTTCTGAGTTTTCAACTCCAACTGTCAAAAAATATTGTTGAAGTTCTGTACCAGCTTTATCTCTTTCTTCAGGATTTCTAGTTGAATCATTAGCTTCTTTGATAATTTATTTTTTAAAAAAAACTTACTTAGACCTCAACCCAGCAAAAATTCCGTTTAAAACAAAACCCTCCTGCTGGAGAGAATTGGGAAGCGATGGCATAACAACTGTAAAAAAATTTTAAAGTACTTCTTTTTATCAAAGTATTTTAAAATTAATATAGATATAATAAATAAAAACGATATTTAAGTGGGAAAATGATAACGATATTATTGAAAATAATAGTAGAGTTGATTTCATGTGGTGGTACGTTAACTAATTAGTTAACCCTAAACCAGAAACTTGGAAAACATATAGATAACTATATGTTTTCCAAGTTTCTGGTTTAGGGTTAGATTTTTATAACTTGTAACGTTTACATAATAGAAACTGGTATACTTATTTCATTAAATCTAAAAGTATAAAATAATAATCATCAAAAAAAAGTACCATAAAGATTTATTATAATGAAAAACACCCTTATGTTGCGCCGTATTGTGCGCACACAGCCCAGATTTTTAAATGATCTTAAAGATATCAATAAATGTAAAAATTTGAAGACTGAGAAAAAAATTAATAGATACATATTTAATGAATACCAGATGCAAGATTTTGGAGGAAAAAAAAATTTAGAAACTTATATTCATAACCAGGTAGAGAATAATTTAAATATCTCAACAATTCCCAAATTTATTCCCTATTCTAATATAAGCACGTCATCTGTTAAAATGAACTCAGTTTACGAGACAATGAAAAAAACAGATTTTTTTGTCATTAGTGCATTTAATGAAAATTTAGATCATAATTCTATCATTTTTCGTCAAATTTCATCACATTGCAATAACCTTGATGTGAAATTCATGATGATAAAGCCTATTTTGTTACAGGCTTGTCTCTCTTCTACAGATGGAAATTTAGATGATTTTTGGTTGAAAAGAAATATGGACCTAATTTCGGATGATTTAATAGAAAAATTGAAATTTGATAAAAATTCTCCTAAACTGATAACAGGTATATACTTTTTTAATCTTAAATCTTCAATTGAAGATGTTTTTTTACAAAAATATATGGAATGTCAGAGACTGTTGGGTGCTCGATTTTCGATCAAAGCCATTGGTAACACTAAAAATTTAAAATCTGCCTTAAAAAACATTGCTTCTCCATGGGAATCAAATCAAAATAGTAAAGATCTTGCTAGAATTTTAAAGGAATTTGCTAGTAGAGGACTTGTTAAAAGCAATAAATCACATGATGGAGAAGGCTTATATATTATATAGTTTTTAGCAATGATCGTTTTTTTTTGATTTTTTTATGGTTAATCAAAATATAGTAAAGGCATCAACGCTATCCTCTTTATTAATACTTAATGAAGTAGTAATAGAAATGATGGCGTTGACTATGCACTTTCGTTTTCTCCATAGGTTTTTAATTCGACTTTTATGCTTATATGTCTCGCAGGCCAAAAATAATTTCTGGTTCAAGCTTGGGAAGAATATGAAATCAAATGTCAAGCCTATCTCATTTATTTCTATTCGTCCTTATCTGTCTTTACCGCTTTAAATTTATTTCTCAATCCTTCCAAGGTAAATGTAAAAAAAAGGGTTTTAAAAGCTATATACTGTTTAAAAGAACCAATGTCCATTGTATGAAATATTCGTTTTAAGCATTTCATTTAATTCCTCAGCAAAAAACACTCTATAGATTTTATCTAGCTATTCTAGTTTGTCTTATCAATGCTAAAATTTTCAAGCCAAGCACCAAAATTTCCTTAAGATCACTTCCGAAAATTGTTACTAACAATTATAGGTCTTTTTACAATAGTAGCGTACGTTTTTTTTTTCCTTATAGGGAATAGCTATGATGTTCATTAAAAAATAAAGTACAAATATCGCCTACTCATCATTGACAACTCGAAATGGTATTAAAGTATAAAGCAAAAAAAAAAAAAAAAAAACCATCTAATGCACCTTTTTCGACTTTATCGATGAGGGAGAAACACACTGGTTACTTTGCTCCCACTAATTACAAGTGGTCAGTGGAAGTAAAAATGCTTACCGATGAGATTATTCCTACCAATGGCGACAGTAAAACTAAGATAAACAATGTCAGTGCTGTTACAGTAATAATCAGATACTTCAGTGACGTATCTAAAGTTGAAATAAGTAAGCGTGTCAAAAGGCTTGGACCTATTACCTCCTTTAACTAAGTGGTAAAATTTATTTAGAGACACTTCAACATAAACCATGCAAGTTTTGTGTGTATTAAAGAAACAGATAGGTCATCTTTTCAAGCTAGAATTAAATAGGATATTAAATTAAAAAAATATTCCTGGGTGTTTCTCTAAAAATTTGGTAATTGTGCGAAGATTTCATAAGGATATCCCTATCAATTCAAGCTGCAGTACTGTAGTAATCTTAACTAGGTATATAATATATATTATATTGACAACAATATGTTCTTTTAAAACCCTAACCACGAAAATTTTACTTGCCCTAGGATGCTTATTTCATAAAATCTAAAAAAGTATAATATTAATCATCAAATACATTTTCATGGAGATTTATTATCAAGCTTTTCAGAAAAAAATTTGCTGAGCCAAATTTCATATTTATTTTATTCAATATTTAATATTCAATATTTAATTCAAATGTTGACATTGTCTAAAAGAATTTTTTTGGATGGAAGATCTCTTTTAAAAAAACGGTATATTTCTATAAAAATTTCCGAAGAAATTCGGCAAAGTCTTTTAGAAAAAAAGCCTATTGTTGCACTAGAGTCTACAGTTATTACTCATGGATTAAAATACCCTGAAAATCTTCATTTCGCACTTGAGGTTGAGCATACTGTACGTAAAAATGGCGCAATTCCTGCAACAATTGCTTTCATAAATGGACAACCGGTAGTTGGTGCATCCAAAAGCGATATCACTGTTCTTTCTGAGATGTCTAAATTTGAAAATGATAAAAAACCTGTTAAGGTGTCTCGAAGAGATATACCCTATGTCATGAGCAAAAAGCTTATGGGAGGAACAACTATTGCCAGCACAATGATCTTTGCCCATAAAGTGGGAATAGATGTTTTTGCAACAGGTGGGCTTGGAGGTGTTCACCGTGGAGTAGAATTTACAATGGATATTTCTGCAGATCTTGATGAGCTTAGTAAAACTCCTGTTGGTGTCATATGTTCAGGACCAAAATCCATTTTAGATATACCTAGAACAATAGAGTATTTAGAAACAAAAGGGGTTTATGTATCTACTTTAGGTCCAAAGGGAACTAATGTTCCTGGATTTTTTACCTCTGATTCTGGTGTTTCCGTAAGTTTAAAAACCTCCCTTTTAAAATTTGATTTTTTTTACTGATAGTACAGTCACCTTATAATTTTGAGACCCCAAGAGAAGTTGCTGAAATTATATGTAAGTTCCGTTTCTATGCATTTTGAAATAAAACTAACATTCAATCAGACAATATTAAAGAGTTAAACCTTTCCTCAGGCTCTGTATTTTGCGTTCCTGCTCCCGAAGAAATAGCATTACCGAAGCAATATATTGACGAAATTATTTCTGAAGCTCTAATTAAAGCAGAACATAATAATATAGTCGGTAAACATATCACACCATTTTTATTGGGGCAGATTTTGCAAAAAACTGGTGGAAAATCACTTGAAACAAATGTTGCATTTTTACTCAATAATGCTGCTTTTGCTGCAAGTGTCTCTCGTGAGTTGAGTGTGATGCAAATAGAGGTAAGTCATTAAAAAATTAAACTAAAGATTAGATTCGAATTTAAAATTAATTTTGAATTTCACTTTTGCTAACTTAAATCAGAAAGGGAGAACCTTGAACCAGCCTTCAAATATTTATTTAAGTTTAGGCAATAATAAAACTGCCAAAAAATTTGAATGCATAATTGTGGGTGGATTAGCAATCGACACAACATGTACTTTTAATCAGAACACAGGACTAAAGCCTACTTCAATACCTGGAACAATCAAAAAAACTTTAGGTGGTGTTGCCTATAATGTTACTAAAGCTAGTTTGCTACGAGGAAAAAAACTATCCGTGAATTCAAAAATTATAACATCTATTGGTAAATCAGAGTTAAATGAAATTTCTGATAAAATCGACACTGAATTTTCTGAGAATTATAATTTGCCTTTTGATAAAACTGGATTATATCTATCAAGCAAGCATCCTAGTGGGAACTATGTAGCAATGCATGATTCTTCTGGCGAACTTTTGGTTGCATGCTCGGATATGAAAATATTTGAAGATATTAAAAAAGACTTTATTGAAGAAAACATAAAGTCATCAAAACCCAAGTGTGTTCTTTTTGATGGAAATATTGGACATGACCAAATGGACGCAGTCATTAAATCTTCTCGAGAATGTAATTCAATTTTAGGATTTGAACCTACTTCAATTTTCAAAGCTAGAGCTATTGCAAAAGTGCCTTTTAATTTACATTCAAAGTTGTTAAAAGATGTTATTCCGAATAACTCTATTGATTTTGCTTTTCCCAATTTTTATGAGCTAACATCGCTTCATGAAGAGCTTTCTAAAAACGAATATTTTGATGTCAATAAATGGTTTCCCGTTATAGATTCCCTTTCATTGGGTGACACTTTTAGATCCAAAATTCAAAATTTAGCTAAAATCTCCCCACAAATTCAAGCTGAGTTAAATGACGGAATTGTACTCAAAGCTATTCAGATATTACCTTATATCCCCAATCTTTTTGTAAAACTTGGGTCTAAAGGCTTACTTCTGTTTCAATTGATTTATGCTCCTGATAAGATTGATTCCTTAAAAAAAACCTCAGGTACCTCTGAAGTTGTTGAAGTCTATCAATATTCCAAAAATTTGGCTTTGGTAATTCAGTATTTTCCTTCTCAAAGAAGTAACAATGTTGTCAGTGTGACTGGGGCCGGTGATACCCTATGTGGATTTTTGTTGGCGGAGCTGGCTGCTGATAAGACTTGGCTGTATGATAACTCAAAGAAAATCCCTATAATAGAAAAGGCTTTACTTGCAGCTAAACTTTCTGTTGAAACTGATGACAGTGTCTCTTTTAAGATATTGGAAATTTAATATTTACGAATCCACATTTTATGGAAGATTTATAGGCATATATATATAATATAATATAAATTAAATTAAATTAAAATAGAATTGAATGGGTGTTGTTTATCAAAATGAACCATAAAATCGCAGACTTCTTTAAAGGAACATAGAGGTGGATCTGTACTATTGGCAATATATAAAGTATTATGAAGAATACTCCATTGTATCTTCAATGACATAAATGATTATAAAGAAGTAAGACCATTAATGGCGTTAGATCTTGCACTCTCGGATGCAGGATTTTTTCCGGTTAAATAGTGAAGTATCAATATTTTTGAAACGTTAGGGTCTTCAACTGTTCCAAGAATTGTTTCTTTAGCAGGATCTTCAGCTTGAGCAGCAAAATAAGATATCTTCAAGGAAGCATTTGAGTCATGAACTAGATGAATAATGTTATACTTTGGAACAGACATTTTTCGAGAAAAGGCTATTTTTAATTGATTAACACCTTGTCCCATTTCATCAATGAGTTTAACGTGTGCCGGGTCTGACATTGAAATAGCTGGATGATTGATTAATTCTTTATAATGAGAATGATTTAAAACTCCTCGTACAAACCCATCACGAAGATGGCTAAAATCTGTATTTCTGACAGGAACGATTCTAATATCAAAACGTACACCATGATCAAGAAGGTGAGAAATGACTTTAGTGCCTAGATCAGGATCAAAAAGAGCATCCTTAAGACTTCCAGATGAAAAATCTTTGGTTGAAAAATTCAGAATTGAATGTGCTAACTGTATATCGTTTTTTGCAATATAAATTCCTACTGCATAAACATGAAACGATAAAAATGACACAGTTCTTACACCGACACCCAAGAGCTCATAACAAGTGCTTGACGATTGGCAATCTGATAAAGAGATAGTTGATGGAAAAGGGGGACATTTCGTTTGAGGCTGAACAAAAAGTTTTCCTTGCTCATTGGAGACTAATACAGACTTGGGATCTGGTACGCCTTGAGTTGGTGAATCGAGAAACACAATTTTTTTTTTGTAGTGATGAAAAGCATAGAACCCCAATCCCAGACCTAAGCAGGCACCAGGTAAAAGTCGATATGGCCGTTTTAATAAATTAAAAGGTTTTGAAGATCGAAAAATATGACGAAAAGCAAAAGTCATTTGTTAATTTTAGTTTTAGTTATATATCTATATTTGTCAATAAATATTAATTAAATTTATCCAGGTAAAAGTGGTTCACTAATAAGTCATAGTAAACTTTAGTGAGTTTAACTCTGAAAAAGTAATAGTACTAAATTAGTTTAAATAAGTAGACTACAGAATTAAAAAACGCTTATTAATATAACTAATTATTTACAATTAACCTGGTTATAATAAATGAGGCCCTGTTAAACATAGTTTAATAAAATAACTAATTATTTATTATATTGTTATTATAAGAGACTTAGTGTACTACGTTAAGTTGAACAGATAAATCAGGTTTCAGATTTTTCACAATTAAATAAAAATAAAAATTAAATTTAGTATATTTTAGTCCTCCATTTCCTTGTCTTCGTCTTTTTTTTTGTCACCAGATTCAACTTCCTGGACAACATGCTCGGCTTTTTGGTGAAGTTCTCGTTCTTCTTTTTTTTGTAAATATAGTTTAACATTGTGTCCAGCAGCAAAGTTTGCTTCTTCCTGAGTGTACGGTCCTTCTTTAAGCTCTTTTACTCGTCTCTTATGAAATCGGCCCTTCATATGAGTATTCTTTGCAGAAACGGAATCAAAATATTTAGCACAATTGATGCAATAATATTGGCCTAATCCTGGTTTTGTTTCATCTAATGGTTGGTGATTAAGCTTGGTTATGGATTCTTTATTTTTCATGTCATCATATAAAATTTGGTCGGTTGCCCTAAAGTACATATTAAAATTAATTCTTCTTAAAACATCCTCTCTAATAATACATACCGTGTATATCTTTTTTGTTTTCTTCTTTTGCTAGCTAAAACTACCATTTTAGCTTTTTATATATTACAAATGATTGCTTGATACTATGATATTTTTATTAACTAGAAAAAATAAAACTTTTTTTGTTTAAAAAAGATCTAATCTAATTCCAAGTATAAAATTTTTGTAAAAAATAAATTACATAAGCTTGCTTAAATTTTATGTAGGTTAAATTAACTCATAGGTTACCCTGACTTAATCATAGAAGTCATCATCATCATCGCTTTCATGTAAGTTATTTGAATTCTTATCCCTAGAACTTCGTATTGTTAAATGCTTTCTAATCTCTCCATATTCTTCTTGGTTCTTTAATAGTCGTCGATCACTATCTTTAACTGCACCCATGTTAATTAGCATTTCTTCTATATCCTCTTCTTTTGTTGACATCCCTCCTAATTCTTTTAATGTGACATATTGTTTCTTCACATTAGTATTTAGATATACTAGAATTGTAGGACAACTTTCAGGACGATAATTTTCATTTATTTGTCGGCCGTCAATTTGCACAAATTTAATATCTTTAAATTTTTCTGCTGCTCGCTGAAACAAACCTGACAAAAGTTTAGATTCGGGAACTCCATTGTACATAATATGCAAAAATACAAACGTATCATTTTTTGAGGCATCGGTAACCTCAGAAGTATATTCAGGTTTGCTAATAGTTGAAAGTTCTCCAAATTTATTTCGAGAAGTTTGTGCTTTAAGCTCCTCCATTCTTTTGCGGCGATATAATTCTAGAAACTCCTCATCCTCTTCATCCTCTAAATCATCAAGTTCATCCAATGTTTTGTTTTCCAACCGATTATCATGTGCCTTTTTTAAAGACTCCTGTAATGCTTCCTCGATTAATTCATCTTGTGATGGTTGTTTTTGGGGAATAATTCCATGTTCTCGAAGGATATCGTTCCATTCAGTATCCTCAGTGGGGTCGACTTCAACATTCATGTTTAACTTTATTTCTGATGAACTAAGTTGTGTGATTTTTAATTTTTTTTTTTTTTTTTTTTTTTTTTTTGAAATTACATAATCTATTTAATTTCTGCCTTATTTCTACTGTACTACAAAATATATTACAAAAAATTAAATGTCTTTAATTTTCCCTAATTTATTATGCCAGCTGTGAAGGCGCGTGGTTGCTTGTGAGTGGTTTTGGAGTTGGTTTTCGGTCTGCCAGAACTTTGGCCAAAATAGAATTATTAAACGTGGAGGAAATCCCAACGGCAACTCGGCGTTTAATAAAATCTGTCTTGGGTGTCAAGTTTTGCAGTCTGGACGACTTGTGAGATTATGTCATAAAGGTCGTTCGTGAAAAGGTGAAAGGGGTTCCCAGTGCGAAGGGAAGTTGGGATGAAGTCATAGCATGGGCATGCTGTGAGTATGTGTTTGGGGGTTTCCGGTTCCGCTTCACAGAGCGGGCACTTGTTTTGTATGTTTTCTTCGTTCTTGGTGCGTTGTGTGATTTTTAATCTTACATAAAAAAAAAGAGGTGGTATTCAAAATATTGTGACAAATTTTGTTGTGGTGTGACAACTACCAATTTTTTGTATCCTAATTAGGATAGGCTTAACAAGGTTTCCAATTGACGTATTGAACAATGTTTACTAAAGCAAATTATTCCTTCAATAAATATTTTTTGTTATAATTATCAAAAGCTTTATTTGCCTTAACAAAATAGTCGTAATTGCAGTTAGATAAGTTTACTATGCTTATAAGCATCAAACATATATTAGTGTATTTGAAAATAAAAGATCGTGTTTAAGTTTTGAAATTTTATAATTTCGAAGTCAAAAAAAAAGTTTTCGTTTTGTTTGTTTTTATTCAAGGGATAATCATAAACCTTATATATCAAGTTTATTAGGCACATCTTTTCAGCCAAGATTGTTACATACATAATATATGATTTGAATTGATTTCAATAACCTGACAATAATAATGAAAAATATACTAGTCATAGATCCTGGTTCTTTTCTTTTTCATTTGAAATCGGCTTTTCCGTAGAGATTTCTCCACATTTGGCTATCTTAACGGCTTTAACAGGCTTATCACCCCAAGATGTTCGTGTGTTTTCAATTTTTTTCACCACATCAAAACCCTCTAAAACTTCTCCAAAAACAACATGTTTTCCATCAAGCCAGGGTGTCGAAACAGTAGTAATAAAAAATTGACTTCCATTTGAATTAGGGCCGCTGTTTGCCATAGAAAGCTTCCAAGCACTATGTTTCACAGAAAAATTTTCATCTGGAAATTTTGGACCATAAATAGATTTTCCACCAGTTCCATTGCCCTCAGTAAAATCACCACCTTGTATCATAAATTGTTTAATGACACGATGAAAAATAGATCCCTCATATCCATATCCCTTTTCCTTAGTGACAAGAGCACGGAAGTTTTCAACAGTTTTAGGAACGACATCTCCGTACAAGCCAATCACAATTCTCCCAAGAAGTACATTATCCTGTTCAATATCTAAATAAACTTTATTGGTTATTTTAGGGGAATCTTCAGCATCAACTCCTCTAAGTAAGGACATGAAAACTAAAAGAGCAGTGGGAATCAGGGTGGCGATAGAAAAAAAAATTTTCATTTTTAGAAAAATATTGCGTCTTAAATAAACAAAAGAAATTGATAGGGTTTCCGTATTTAAGTCTTTGTAAAATAAATAATAATAAAAAACAAAGGATGTGTTGATTTTCGGAAAAGTAAGGCAGCTTTTTATTACACGATATTCAAGTGTCACTCTATTATATTTGTCAAAAAAGCCTAATGACAAACTATGGTAAAGTATGGGGGGGAAGGGAAATTAAAACCCTAACCTCGAGAAAAAAGACACTTAGTTAATAAGAAATTCCAGCTTCATATCCGTAACCTATTAAATAATGAATTTCTTTTCTTCCACATCTCTATTCATTATGGAAGAATCAAAGAAGCAAATAATTGGGCATCTTGAAGAACTTGCAAATAAATCTAAAGATATAAGTAATGGAAATGTTTTAGTCGACTCTAAGATTAAATCTCAAGAAGTTAATGGTGTACTTACAGATAACAGAGAGAATGGCATACGCCAAAGAAACGAGCAAAACATAAACAGTGGAGATCCCTTGAAATCATCGAAAGAAGATTTGCCATCTGTTATTCCACGAGATGTTAGACTTTTGCATTTAATATTGGCATCAATGGGTGTAACATCATACGAGGATAGAGTTCCTCTTCAATTGATGGATTTTGCTTACAGATTCACACATGGAATCTTACAAGATGCACTTATTTATAATGATCACGCCCATTCTTCCATTACCCCTGCCGGCCTAGGTCCAGCTCAGAAACCCCTTACTACAGAAGATGTCAGATTAGCCATTGCAGCTCGTCTCAATTATCAATTTAAGCCTGCCCCTCCAAAAGAAATGTTATTAGAGTTGGCACAAGAAAAAAACAGAAGACCCTTACCAATAATTCATGAGCAATGGGGTCTTCGATTGCCACCCGAAAAATTTTGTTTGACTGCCAAAGAATGGAGCTTTGAAGAAGAAAAAGAATCTTTGCAAAAGAAAAAGAGAATAAAAACCAATGATGATATTGTTGTTTCAGGGAGAGGGGTCTAGTTTGAAAGTTTTATTTTTATTTTATATATTTATTACAAGCATAATAAGTATGCTTATAAAGGATTAATAGTTAATATGTTTATAATATCTCTTCACTTTTTAGTTTAAGCACTTTCGATAACTCATTTCGCAAAAGTGACCTTGAAAGGTTCTTTCCTATAAAAATTAACTTGGAAGGAAATTTAGAAAGTCTCCATTCTTCGGTCGCTTTAGAAAAAACAGGAACTAATTCATAAGTTTGTCGAACACCTTGTAAAATAAAAACCTTGTCATCTAACGTAACGAGTCTCCCTTTCGATCTATGAATTTCAACATTTGACTCTTTTAATTTACCCTCCCAAAGAACAAGTTGTATCCAGTTTTCAAAAGCAGTTAATTCTTTTGCATTCAACTTAGGAAAAGATACTGCAACGGTCGTTATCCTCTAAATATTTTTCATTTAGTTTTTATTTTTAAACTTCTTAAAATGTTTGAAAACATACCTTATCATGCCATCCATGTGAATGAAAGCTTTTTTCGATATATGTATTATTAGAATCATAGGAGCGAATATCAAAAATCACATCTAATGGAACATTTGAAAATTTGGTATCATATATTTTAGCAACAGAATTAATTCCTTCAACACGTTTGTGTATATTATCTAATTTTTCATTGGATTTTATACGATCGATTTTGTTAAGAACTATCACATCTGCCAAAGCAATTTGAACGTGCGCTGTCGATATCCCATCATTTTCATTAACATCATCCAATGATTTAAGAATATTTTCCGCATCTAAAACAGTAACAATTCCGTCCAAATATAATTCTGAAGCTAAACCATCATCCAACCAAAAAATATTCGCTATAGGACCTGGATCTGCTACACCGCTTGTTTCAAGTAAAATATAATCAAATTTACCTTTCCTTTTCATGAGATTTTCTATTGCCTGAACTCCATTATCTTTAACTGTACAACATAGACATCCATTATTGAGTTCAAGCCATTCTTCAAATTCATGTTCCCCGTCTTTTACAACCAATGATCGCTCAATATCAACAGCTGTAACAAACTATTAGTATCAACAATAATAGCACGGTTATAAATATACTTACAATCTCCAAACTCTAAAATAAAAGTCGATTGAAAAACAAGTTAATAAAGATTTTCTTCTACGTTAAAAATTATTTAAGCCTGGAATTTTACTCACCGTTTAATATAATAGCAATTTTTTTCTCTTTTTGAGTTGTTAAAAAATTCAATAATGTTCTAGTTTTAAGATGTCAATTTTAAATTTTAACAATTTAACAATTTCGAATATCAATAATAGTAATTTTGCATACGATTTCCCACTGCCAAGGTACCCAGTAATAATTGTAACAGGTACTTTTGACTATTTTTTTTTTTAGTTCACTCGAAAAATAATTTCTTATCATTGATTACTTACTTGATTTTCAACAAGGTCTTCTTTTGGATTATAAGATTTATCAAGTGAAAACTGTGAGCTATCAAAAAGCTCTGGAGGCTCTTCGTTTTCAGAAAATGACATCAATGTTTAAATTATATCCTCTGAATGAAAAATAAATGAATGTTTAAAATTTAGAATATTGCTTAAAATTAAATGTTTTAAATAAGCTCAACAAGTAAGTAAACTGAAATAAACTCAGGAATATAATTAAAACAATAAGTAAAGTAGTTACATCAACTTACCCTGTTTTAATCCATGTTACTGAAAGTTTAATAATAAAGTTACATATTATATCACATATTTACCAGAGTAAGTTTATAATCAGCAGTATCGAAAGTATAAAAACAAGACGAAACTTAAGATTTAGTAATAATGCCGAAAGTACCACCCAAAGCTTTTGAAGTAAACGGACAAATGTAGAATTGCTATAAGATGTCGCATGTATGTTATCAAGCCCAATAACACTTTCTTTATCCTCCAACCGTTCTTCAGCCAAATTGTTCAATGGAATAGGTTCTGCTATCGTATTTGAATTTTCACTGGACTCTAACTCAAATACGTCTTTAGGATTGATAAAAAATGAAGTTAGAATTCCTGAAGCATATGAAACTCTTTCTGAAAGAAGAAGAAAGGGCACTGAAATGAAAAAAAAGTTGACAAAGTGGCGAATCTCATACGAATGGACTAGTTCGATGTATGAATTCGTAGTATTGTACTTGTTATTATGCAGCCCCATATCAATCATATATAGAATCCCTTTGGTGTCAGCAGCCATCCAAATATGAAATTGGAGAATAAAAGTTTCTAAGGAAACTTTTCCAAACCAAGCAAATCCTCTAGAATAAAAGTTTATTAAAGAAGGGGTGTTACGAACAAGAACAAACCCGATGATAGGAAGAATACTAAGGTATTTGTTTACTTTGTTGTATTCTGTTTTTTCCTCATATCTTCCACTTAAAACCCAGTAACTAACCAAAAGAACTGATCCAATTACTAGGCCCAAATGTCGAAATTTTAACAGTTTGCTGCGAAAATCATGAAGTTCGTCATTATTAACTAGAATAGAAGTTATCATACCGGCATGAACAGCCCAAATATCGAGCATAACCCTGAATCTCCATTCTCTTAAGTTCCATGAAATACGGGCCAATTTCTCCAGTACCCAAAATATTGCTTCCAATGGGCCAGGAATCGAAATGAAAAAATAGACAAAAATCCCAGAAATAGTTACTTTTATCAAAGACGATTTTAGGCCAATATTGTATTGGGGAAAGATTCTGTATGTTAACCATACTATTCCAAACCAAAAAGTTACTAATGGAGAAAAATAGTAAAATAAGTAATCAGTATTCATAACATAAGCCAAAAAAATAGTTAGCATATTAAGACGGCAAAGAACAGAAACTACTCTTTTAAGACCAAAATCTGCTTTCTTGGTAAAAAATACAGTATGGCCATAACCTGTCATAAATAAATATGAAGCAACCATAACTCTGATTGCCTTATATATTGGTAATACCTTTGATCCCCCAGTAATGTGGTATATTAAAATAGCAATCTGCATCCATCCTTTCCATTCATCTGTTTGAAATCGATTTAAAAATGTTGCGTTTTTTGGATTGGCAATTTTGATTGAGGTAAAGGAACCAAAAAGTAACGATATTATACATAATCCAGAAAATTCGCTCCACTTAAAATTTTTGTTTCCTTTAGAAAAAATCTGTGTACGGTCACAAAAAAAACCATACGCTAAGCAAAGGGAAAAAATCATAAAAGCTCCTTGGACGTTTTGCCAAGTTATTTTGGCTTTGGGGTTTCCATTTGACACCTTTGATCCCCAGCCTTTTAATAAGTAGTTTCCGATCATAATTACTGGAATAAATGCTACTGTTAGCAAAAAAACAAAAAGATAAGTTCCAGCTGGTTTAGGGTAGTTTAAACAGCAAGTTTTGGCAAAAGGATAAGAAGTCGAAACTTTAGTATTACAAACCATATTATACAAAATATCAGCCTGAAGATTATAAATCTGGTCAATATAATGGACGCCTTCTTTGTCATAATAATCGCCTCGACCCTCAGCTAACAAATTAAAAACTTGAGTAATTAAAATATTATTAGATGTTGGAAAAGCATTAATCAGGATATTATTTAGAGTTTCAAGTCTCACAGTACTAAAGTCTTCACTACTTTTACCAGAAAGCTTTTCAAAAAATGGGGTAAATACAGGTGCAATAAACACTTTAACATCATTTTTTTCAAGAACAGATGCAAGGTCTTTTACAGCCTTTTGGAATTCGCTTTGATATTTATCAGGAAATTTCTGTGCATATTCAAGACCGAAGGAAATATAAACAAAAGCAGTATTCTCGTTATTTTGGGTATTTTTAAAAAAATCCAATCCATCAGCAGTTAAAAATGGATCGAATATAAACTCAAAGGAGGAGTCACTAAACAAAAACTTTTCATTTGTTTCATTTGTTTCGGTTGTTTCGGTTCCCAAAGTGCTATTCATAGCTCTAATCGAGCCATAAAAGGTTTTCTGGGCCGTTGAATCACCAATAAAAACAACTTTTTTATTTGTTAAACATTTTGAAGTATCTTTGGACGTATAATGCTGAAGAATGCAATTAGGTGCCTGCCAATTACTGAGCTTTTGATGATCTTGTAACCAATATCCTGATAACGCTATATCAGCACAAGAATCTGTCTCTAAAGAATAACATTACAAATCAGAATAAATCATAAATTAGAAAAATTAGAAAAATTTAAAATAACAAATAACAAATAACAAATAAATCCACTCACCTGTTTTGTGACTAAAAAACGCCACAGCTATAGATATCAATGGGACTATAATCCAAAAATTTTGTCTTAGCAAAGATATCATAATACCAGTATCCTTAATTTTGATTCTTTCCTTAATACGATTAGCAAAGAAGTATATCAAAACTCGAGTTATGAATTACAAAATAGTCAATCAAGGGGCTTGAGGATTTCTTTGCACTGCAACGTGGATAAATAATTACCTAATTAGTTATAAGTTATTATTATTATTAAGCTTATCAACATTACTTAAATAATTCAACTAAACATCACTTATATTTAAAAAGGTGGGCTACATTTCCCCGCTATGTGAACTCGACGATGACGTGCAAGTGAAGAAGAATCACCAAAAGCCTTGTCACATACATCGCATTTATGGGGTTTTTCTCCAGTATGAACCCTCATGTGAACTGTAAGGGCAGAACGTTGAATAAATTGTTTTCCACATATTCCACAAACGTTTGGTCGGTCCCCTGTATGTATTCTTTCATGTCTAACCAAATCAGAACGTCTGGTAAATTGTTTGGAGCATGTCATACAAGAAAAAAGTTTAGATTGTAAAGTCTGTAACTCATATTTTTCTTCATCTCCATCGTGTTCCTGCTTATCAGGTGTCTGTCTTTTTTCTTTTCTGTCACCTCCTTTACCATTCGCTTTATTTGTTTTATTTGGTTGTTCCCGTTCTTCTCCACCCATATGTCCATCTTCTTGGTTTGTTTCCTGGTTCGACTCCTGATCCTCTTGCTGAGTTTTCTCTTCATCTTTGTTTTTGGTTTCCTGATTTTCTTCTAGATAATTTTTTTCTTTTATTAATCCTAGATTATTTTTTATATTACTGGTTAAATCCTTTTGAAATATTTTTCGTGACATTTTCTGTGAATTATCCTTAATTTTCAGTAATGAACGCTGTTCAACCTTTGTTTTCTTTAGATTTATTTCAAGCTTCACCTCCGAATGTTTTTCTAGGCTTAATGCAGTGCCTTTTTTTTTATTTATTGTATTATCTTGTTCTAATCTTTTAAATCCGTATTTGTTTTGATTATTCAGTAAATTAATCGAGTTTGATTCCTCCATATTATTATTTGCCTGTTTTTTTTGTTTTTTCTCTAGATATTCTTGTTGTTTAATTTTACTTAGAATCTCTTCTTCTTTTTTTCGCTTTTCCTTCTCGTTATGTTTTTGATTATTGTGAATAATTCGATCATTCAATAAATTAGGACTTAGATCACTTGAAAAGATTGGATTTGGATTCTCATGCATATAACTCTGTAAGGTATCAGATAAAGCGACATTCCTGTCAGAATATGTAATGAGATTTTCCCTTTCTATAAATGGTTTGCAACTGTAAAATGGTTTATGGGAAATTGTCATTTCGTTTAAAGAAACAGGAATATTATTTTGTAACGATAATGTATTGGGTGAAAGTGAAAACGAACATGTCGTATCCTCTAATAGTAATGACTCTTTATGAATGTATTTATCTAAATAAATATCATTTCTTTCAAATGAATTATTTTTCAAGGTAGCATTTGTTTTGAAGCTATTTTCAGATGTTTCTAAAATAAATGGAGATGGCTCCGAAGATTGTAAACGAGAAGATTTTAGTGGAAATAAAGGTGAGATATTTGGTGAACAATCTTGGGTTAATTCTGGCTTTGATAAGAAAGAAGACACTGTATTTTTAGTAATTGAAATTTTTGCCCTTTTTGATTTTTGATTTGAAATTTTGAAAAAGTCTGGTGTAACCCCTACAGTTTCATTCTCGTTTTTATTTAAAATCGAAGTAATGTCCATGGCCTAAAAATTTGTCAGTTTAGAAAATTTAATTAAAGTAGCGTATTAAGTTATCTTCTTCTCTATCTCAGGTAAAAATATAGCTTGGTTTTTTGGGGGGAAAAAAAATTTGAAACTATTGCTGAAGATGAGGATAAAATCATTTGTTAGATTCAACAGTTTAAATATATAACATGCTTTTTGTCGTGTGGGTTTTAGATGAACCCATAAAACTGGAATGTCTCATGCAATATTTTGTAAGATTTTTAGAACCTTAATTAAATCAAATAAAAATAAGGTAAAAGAAAAAAAATAGCCCATATCAAAAACTGCTTTAATCCTCCATCTAAGATGAATGCACTAATTAGTGTAAAGAGTAATCTAAAAAAAAAAAAAAGGGCCAACCACCTTCTTAACAATTGCAACATTCTTGGCCGTGGTATCAATGAACTAAAGAAATCCGTACAGCCATCATTTTGGCTTATTACAAGTGATGTCGTGTTACATCCTAAATCAACATTTTCTACTCTGAAACCATAACTGCAAGATAGGCTCTCCTATGTATGTATCTTTTGGTATCACCGACAGGGGAGGGGGTATATGGTTGCTTTTGAAGGTGGGGCTTCCTCCTTGAATCATCTCTACAATTTACAAAGCTCTAAATTTCTACTAGTCAGATTCTGACTCAAAAGACCCCAAATAATCTCAAGTTTCTCAGTGTTTTGAAAGACTTTTATATTATCATATGTTAGAGGAAAAAGTGAAGTTCGGAGCTGGTTAGATAGTTTGAATTTTGCGAACAAAGTGCATGATACAATAGCAGAGCTTGTAAAAATGCTTGAGCGTCAAATGAAAACAAAAAGTTTAATGTCTGTTTAAAAAAAAAAGCCCTGGTTTGTAAGTACAAGACGTTGAGAAATAATTTTAAGTATAAGTATTGCCTGAAAAGATTGTGGGTTTTTATTATAAAATTTATAATATTTGGTTTATTCAATGTGAAAAAAATACAAAAAAATACAAAAAACGGCTAGTGGAAATGGTAAGTTGGTGGTGATTTCGCAATACTCGTTTTTCCGGTGCTTTTTATTCAAATGCCAATTGACGGAGACAAGACTTTCTGAGATGAATGAAAAGTACATCAGTAAGACATGCACTTGTTACGGGACAGTGAAACCCAAGCTGTCTCTGAGTGGACATGAATACCAAAGTGACTTGTGTAAAGTCTCTGTTGACAGAGACGTCAAAGAGGCCAGAAACATCCTAATCAAGTGTCTGGCCTCCTCCACATAAACACATTGAACACATTAAACACAAAAGCGCCATGCCACTTTAAAATAATTAATGCTATTTTGGCGTACATTTCCATGAACAGTAATTATGTGCTAAAAAGCAACACTCTTAACGAGATCTTTTAATGGCATATGCCATGAATAATATACTTAAAACAATTACACTCATTACATAATTTTTTTAACTTGAAGTCTTTTACGATTTGAAAACATTTATTCATAAGCATACACATTTATTATTTGTCACATGTCGTATCATAATTTCTAGCCCTAACCCATTCATATTCCTTTTGACAACGTAACGAATTTAAATATATACTAAATACATATATTCGAACTAATTAATCCCTTTAATTTATTGCACAGAAAGGAAAAACACATCTACATAGAAATGGAGTCACATATGTCCGAAGATAATAAGGAATCACCGCCAGCTATTCAAGGTACACAGGAAACCTCTCTTCAGTCATCTGCTTCAGCAACAGAAGAAAGTATCGTTGAAAATATCAATCTGTCTATTCCAGATGATAAAAAAGTTAATCCCCACACCACACCTTTCGAATTTGCATTATCAACATGGTCAAAAATTGCACTTTCTCAATTACAAAGGAAATTGGATGATGAGGGTGTTGAAATTCTCCAATTGCAAAAAAATTCTATTATTACACGAAAAGAGTTGGCGTTGCGCACCAAAACTTTTAGAAAACTTTCTGATGAAGTGAAACTTACAGAGATTAAAAGTCTTCTGAAGTTGTATCAAGCTGAAATAGACAATCTAACTCAAAGAAGCAAATTTGCAGAATCTAGCTTTATGAATTTGTATAAACTTATTGCTGAAGCGCCTGATCCAGTGCCTCTTTTAGAAGCATCTGTTGATTCTGTATTAGCTGCATCGGATGTAGTTAAACTAAGTGATGAAAATTCAATGTTGGTTGAGAAACTTAATAAATGTGCAGATTATGAGCAAATTAAAACAAAGCTTAAAGATTTAGAAGTGAAATCAGTCGAACTTTTAAACACTAAGGTTTTAGCAAAAGAATCCGAATTAAAGGCTATATTTGATGAAAAAGAACGACATTGGAAAGAAAGAGAAAACGATCTTCAAATACAAGTACAAGAAGCAAGGGAACAAATAAAAGAGCTCAGATCCAATACTGAAGTTCTTCAAGCAAGATTATCTGCCAAGTCTCAAGGTCATTTAGCAGATTCGATAACTGATAAAAATACTTCGAAGTCTACAGGGAGAATAGCTGAATTAGAGTTAGTTGCTAGTGACTTGGAGCGTGCAAACAAAAGAGTACTTGAAACAGAAAAAAGGAATGTGGAACTGCGCTCAGAGCTTGAAACTGTTCGCTCAGGTACTCAAAATGTGGAAAAAATACGAGAACTTGAAAGTCATATTTCTGATTTGGAACGTAGCAATTCAATTTTGGCTGCACAATTGGATACTTCAAGAAAATCAATTGCTCAATCTAAGTCTTCTTTTCAAAAAAAAATTGACTCGTTATCAAGGGATATTGAAAAGGAACTATCAGAAAATAATTTGTTGAAACAAAAGATTGATTCAATGCAGGATTACGAAAGTATAAAACGAGAACTCGAGATTTTAAAAAGCATGGAATTTGATGAAGAAAGTGATGACTTTAAAAAGAAGGAAATAATTCACTCATTTAAAGACGCTACTGATAAATTCAAGGATGATGAGGACTATGAATTTGCCGAAAATATTGAAGGAAGTGAACATGCAAAAAATTCACAGTCTTTGGAACGAATGATGCATACCCGAAATAAAAAACTTGTCAATGAAATAACTCAAATGAGAGTCTTAAAGATTTCCCTTGAAAATGAAGTTTCTCAATTACAGACTCGTTTGACCGGCTGTTTAAAAGAAAATTCACATTTGAAACAACTGAGCATCAAACTTGAAGAAGATTTAGCCCAAACTAACGATACATTTTCCAAATATGGATCTACATCTGGACCAGCCATGTCAGTCGTTAGTGGGTGGGGGAGATCAGTTATAGGAAATAATTCAACATCAATAAAAAGATCAGGCAGGTTATCTCCGACTGTTTCAATAGTTGGTGGATATGAACCCAATGAAATGGCAATGCAATCTCCCCCTTCTCCTGACTACTCTATTCTACCCATTATCACTCAACAGAGAGATAGGTTTCGAGCTAGAAACTCCGAATTAGAAGAAGATTTGAAAAAATGTTGGGCTACAATTTCTCAGTTGAAAAAGGAGCTTGATTCAGTTAAACGCGATAATGTTGAATTATATGAAAAGGCTCGTTATGCTTCATCATATAAAAGATCAACAGGCAACAACAGTTCTAAAACAAAATGGACCCGTGCTGAGGAAAGTTATCGTGACATGTATGAGGAAGGTATTTCTCCATTTCAACAGTTTAAAGGACGGGAAAGTGAAAGAGCACTATCAAAAATGGGGCCTGCAGAACGTGCGCTTTATTCCCTTACTAGAACTATTTTGGTTAATAGAACATCGAGGAATCTGTTTGCTGGATATTGTGTTGCATTACATTTGATGGTTATGAGTATTTTGATGTATGGCTTGACATGGCATGGCAATGAGTTTATACCAGCAAATAATCCAGTAATTGATGACTCTTCAACCTTATAAACAAAAATGTCTATTTGAAACCTAGATAATCCAAGATTTTGTATAGTTTAAGTGACGTAATGAAAATATGCTACAGATCTTTACCAGACATTTATACGAATTCAGTTTTTAATAAAGAATTTTTTTGTTCAACATTAGCATTTTTTATATAGGGTCATAACGTTTACTTAAGCAGTAGCAACTTGCTTGTCTTCCTCAGCAGCAGGAACAGACTCAGCCTCAGGAGCAAGAATAATCTCAATGTGGGAAGGAGAGCTCTTGTAGGCATTGATGCGACCGTGAGCACGGTAAGTGCGGCGACGGACCTTAGGAGCCTGGTTAACCTGAATGTGCTTAATGTAAAGAGTAGAGGCATCAAGGCCCTTAGCCTCAGCATTGGCCAGAGCATTCTTAATCAAGTCAGAAACAAACTTGCAAGACTTGACAGGCCATCTAGCCTTGGTAACACCAAATTCCTTTCCCTGGGCGGTGCGACCAATGCTACCATTGAAACGGCGGAAAGGAATAGCACGCTTCTTATCGGAGACAGCCTCAAGGTACTGAAGAGCCTTGTTGGCTTGCCAGCCGCTAACAGCCTGGGCAGTCTCGCGCGTGTTCTTAAAAGAAACACGAAGGTAAGAACCTCTGGAAGAAGCGCTGTTGGAAGCGTCAATAGAAGTAGCAGCGTAGCGAGTCATTGAGCCGACGTGGATTTGTGCTGTCAGGTAGGTGGTCGAAGGGGGGAGGGACAGAAGGTGAGAATAACACTCAAATTTTTTTTTTTCTTCCAAAATTTTTTTCAGATATGTTCCAAGAACCTTAATCGTAATATTACAAGATATAGTTACGCTGTAACAAAATGGCTGATACACTCACTAGAAAACTATGTGACTTTTATTTCTACTTATAGATGTATACATTTTGCCCTAATTATTTTCAATAATATTAGCCCTTAATATATAAAATTAATAATATATCTGTCATATTTATTAATAAATATACATATTTTGAAAAATAACTAATTTAATTTTCTAATTTATTAAAGTAAAATATTTGAATTAATTAATAATAATTCTTAATTATTTTATTTTTCTTTTTTTTTAAGATGAATTTTCTGCTTCGAACCCAAGCCAAATAATCATAATTTTTTCTGCACCTTGGCACTTAAAACTAAAAAAAATTATATAAGCTTAAGCAAAAATAAAATTGAGGTAGGGTAAGAGGGAAAAAATTTTCTAGATTTTTTTTCACTAAGTCCTTGATTTTTTTTAAAGACTTTACCGTTAACCAATAACTCCATTTTTTTACTGGATATATCTACGACCTGTTCATATTCCTAAAAACACTAAAAAAAATGGCATTTAATCAAGGAAGAGGAAGAGGCGGTCCCCGAGGTGGCGGTCGCGGTGGCCCCCGAGGCGGCGCTTCTAGTCGCGGTGGCCCTCGTGGCGGTGCTCGTGGTGGCCGTGGTGGTTCCCGCGGTGGGGCTGGTGGCCGTGGTGGTCGTGGTGGTGCTCGCGGTGGCCGTGGTGGAAAGTTTGGGGCTGGTGGTGCCAAAGGTGGCGCCAAAGTTATTGTTGAACCTCATCGACATGCCGGTGTTTTCATTGCTCGAGGAAAAGAAGATTTATTAGTTACTAAAAATATGGCTCCCGGTGAAAGTGTTTATGGTGAAAAGAGAATTACAGTGGAAAGCGGTGATAAGTCAGATGGTTCAGCGCCTACCAAGACAGAGTACAGAGTTTGGAATCCTTTTAGATCAAAGTTAGCTGCCGGTATTCTGGGTGGTATTGATGAATTTGGCATTGCACCAGGGAAGAAGGTTCTTTACCTAGGTGCTGCATCCGGCACATCTGTTTCTCACGTATCTGATGTTGTCGGCCCTGAAGGTGTTGTTTATGCAGTTGAGTTTTCTCCAAGATCTGGTCGTGATCTTATTTCTATGGCTCAAAAGAGACCAAATGTTATTCCTATTATTGAGGACGCCAGACATCCTCAGAAATATCGCATGCTGGTTGGGATGGTTGATGCAGTTTTTGCCGACGTTGCTCAGCCCGATCAAGCAAGAATTATTGCTTTAAACTCACACTTGTTTTTGAAAGACAAGGGAAGCGTTATTATTTCTATCAAGGCCAACTGTATTGACTCAACTGTTGATGCGGAAACTGTCTTTGCACGGGAAGTTCAGAAACTTCGTGAAGAAAGAATTAAGCCTTTAGAACAGTTAACACTCGAGCCCTACGAAAGAGATCATTGTATAGTAATTGGAAGATATCTCCGATCAGGAAACTAAAAAATTTGAGAAGATATATGAATATATATACTTTTGTTGTTAATTAATGTGTTATGGATATTTAGATGTTTAGTTAGAAATTTATGTGAAGTATGGTACAAAAAATGTTACAATTCATAATGAAAATAAAACCCAAATGTAACTACTTTTAAATTTTCGCCTATTCCGCAACTTGGATAACCGCCACAAAATCTCAAAGCAAATACACAGATGAAGAAAACAAACGGATTCACATCATATATAGAATATATACTGCTTTTATTGGCGATCACATCACAAGTAGTTCTTGCTACTTTAAACTGTGATATTCATGTAGATGGTGTGTCTTTTAATCTGGCCCCTCTACAAGGAACATATCAAATTAATAGCACTATTTCTACACCCCCGTCAACCAACGACTTTACATGGCTGTTTGATCCATGTGCTTCTATCATTCGCGAAAATGACAAACTTCCTTTTTCTTCTGAATGTCCCGATGGATCTCAAAGTAAGTTATCGGTAATATTGTTGGTTTTTTTTATTATTTTTTATTATTTTTTATTATTTTTTATTATTTTTTATTATTTTTTATTATTTTTTATTATTTTTTATTATTTTTTATTATTTTTTATTATTTTTTATTAACGCTTTGTAGTTTGCGGTATTCAAAGAGTGATGCTTCCTGGTAGTGATCCTCTTTTGGTTTCTATTATACCTGTTGCTGGTGATTTTGACGGAAAACAAACTGGTGCAAGAATTGAACTTATCAAGGAAGAAAACAGTGAGAAATCAAAGGGATTACGTGTTTCATTAAAAGGTAGTTCATGGGGTGAATCAACCCAACTTCAAGGAATTATTGAGTTTATTTGTCCCGCTTCTGATGGTAAAAATGATATCTCAAGTTTACCAAAGTACGTCTCCTGGGATCTCAACTCTCTTCGCTTAACCTGGACGACAAAATATGCCTGCGAAAATGCTATTACAGAACCAGGAAATGGTGATCACAAGGGTGACAACAAAGATGACAACAATAAGGGCGATGATGATAGTGATAAGAATTCTGATAATGATGAAAGTAAATCTTGGGGATGGTTCACCTGGTTATTTATCATTGGAGTTTTGGGTTCAGCAACATATATTATTGCTGGATCTTGGATTAACTATAATAGATATGGATTATCAGGCGTTGATATTTTGCCACATGCTGATCTTTTGCGAGATCTTCCATTCCTTATACGTGATGTAATTCGAAAGATAGCAGGAACTTTCTCTGCAGGGAATAGTAGAGGCGGCTATAGCGCTGTTTAAATAAAAAAATACAGATGTGTTATTTGAAAAGATTTTTTTTCATTAAATCAATTTGATACGTTCAATTCATCCAATGCGTTTATCACATTTTTGTATGTAGTATCCAAATACAAACGTTTTTTTTCAAACGCTTTTAATTGTTCTTGGTATTCTAAACGCTCATTTTTCATGGCGTCCAATTGTTGGTTTAATGGAATAGACAAAAACATCTTTCCTACTCCTTTCCAAATAGGTCTCTCTGTAGAGTTTGTCGAATATTGCGTTAACTCCTTAAGTTGATTTTCAGTTGCTTCCGAAAGTCTTTTGCGGCGAATAAGAGATGCTTCTTGAATGCTAAGAGTCTGGAGTTCCTTCGATACAGTTATAGCTCTTAGCTGCATCTCCCCAAGTGTCTATCTACGTTAGAAACCAATAAATATAGGCAAATAAATTTTAATTTACCTTTTGTAAAGCATCGCTGGATATCGACATTAGATTTTTTATTGTCTTTTTACTAAAACTTATTGAATATTAGTGAAAGATAATTGTTAAGCTGAATGATGTTCTAAATTTAATTGTGAGTGTATGAAGGTCTGACATATAAAAAAATTATGTCACACGCTTCAGAGTGGCTTAGTAATTCAAAAGCCAAATAATAACTTAGTTACTAAGTAAGCATAGCCAAATTTGAACAAACAAAGTAATGAATCGTAAGTTTAGATCTATGATGCAGTAGTTTCAATATATATTATGAAAATATTACAAATAAATAAGGGTAAAAGAAAATATAGTTAAAGACCCTCATTTTTTATTGTCAAGAGATATGATTAATACTTTAAGTATTATTGTGTTGTATTAATATATCAAAAATAAAATGACAGGTATCCCAAGGTAAAAGAATATAAATCTATTTATATAGGCGATTTTTGTATTTTGTCATAAAAAGAGAGCGAAAATAAAAATTTTTAATTAATCTTAAAAAGTTAATTACATTAATACTAATTAAATTATAAACAAAGTTTTATTTATTTTCAATAAATGTGAAGCAATTCATGGAGAATCGGTGAGGATTTGGAAGAATATAGGGAATTATCTAAGATATATATAATTTATAATAATTGGAGTTGGTTACTGAAGCACATGTAAATGATTCTTGGTTGTCCGCGGGTTTCAGTAACTATACTCCGACAATAACCAAATTTCTTTAGATTTAAGACTTGAGATGCCCTTTGAACTTGTTTTAAAAGAAACCACATAACCTATCAATTTATATAATACTATTACTGTATAATAAAATCTATCATATTTATCTATTTCACAGATAAACAAAATCAAGATTTTAAATAAAAGTTATATTTTCGCGCTGTAGGAGATGTAATGTTGAAATTGAATTAAAAGTTTCTTATGAAAACAGAAATTTATATATTGAGAATGAAAAATTTACCCTTTGAATAAAAACCAACTGAACAAACAAACAAATCTAAGTTGATCCTATTTTTTGGAATTTGATAATTATTTTAAGTAAAGTCGTAATAACCCGTTGGATTCAGTTTAACTAAGCAAAATTATTTAGTGTAACTTTCTAACTTCATTGATGCATTAGGTAATAGGCACATTTTAGATTACGGAATTTCCGTAGAATAATGGTACATTAGCTATTTAGACGTTTTAATTTTGCCTTACCATTTAACATTAAAGTTGGTTTGACTTATTATCTTCGGTTTTTACTCATGGTTAAATGTATGTCACGCTTTCTCGTGTCACTAATGTAATAAACTTATTTGGCTATCTGATTCTACTGATGATCGAACTGTCATTAATTGTTCAGAATTTTTTAAAGAAGCCTTTGCTCCCCATTCTGAGCCTGAGCCTTATCTTAGCTTTATGTTTTTTTTGTATATTTATAATTGCCAATAGCCCTACTACATAATTGCGAATAGCAGTAGCACGGGTAAATAGCAGTAATACTTAATTATAATTGTAATTACATATAATAGAGTATGCTTACCCTATAAAAAAAACTGGCCCGAAAAATATTATTTCGCTGAAATAGGAAACAGAAGCCAGCACGAAACAGAAGCCAGAAACGAAATTATTCTTAGCTAAACAAATAAGCCTGCCTGAAAATTTTGTATTGTTCTATAAAGAAAAAAAATGGGTAAAATTACCCTACTTGTTCATCAAGTTAACTATGGATATTTCTTCACGTAGACATGACCAAGCTTATCAAGTCATCAAAAATGAATTAAAAACAATATTCAAAACAATCTATAAGGAAATTACAGAAGCTATTAAAGACCTATTTGATCTTCTGTTTTAAAATCATGAAGTTTTTACACTGGATACTCATGTATATTAATTTCAAGATGGAGAGTGATTGCAAGAAGAGATAGAACAACGTCCAACAAATCTCAACCGGTTTTCCAGGATGCCTGAATCTTTACCTGTATTCATCTGCAATATCAAACCTATAAAATATCAAAGCATTGTTTTATCAATCTATTTAAATTATCAACTTTTGATTTTCTACCCATCTTGTGTTGTGGTTAAAGGGCCTACAAGATTGAGACAATTAGGTGATTTTTGAAATGAGATCAAGGTTAGGTTCTCGAATTTATATTTGATCCTGCCTTTTTTTTTTCTAGCCTAAAGCAAAGACTAATCAAGCGAAAACGTGACTTTTTCGGACCAGTTTTTTTTATAGGGTAAGCATACTCTAATTATTAATTTCACCTGCCTTTTCTCTTTTTCTTTAGTTTTCTTCAACCTGTATAATCACACTTGAAAATAAATGGGTGGGAAAATGGAAAAGTTTCACGTGACAAATTAGTCAGGATTGTGTTGGTTTTTAGTTAGAATTGAATCAATCTTAGTAATGTTTGTGTGGATGATTATCAAAGAATTCCCAAGATGGTAATTTTTTTAGGGTGAACCCCCAAAAAATTCATGGAAATTATCCCATGAAAGCATATAGTTCTCTTTTAGCTCTCATAAATGCAATAATCATTCTAACCCATAATTAAACAGCAGAGCCTTAGGCTAAGATGTGAGCGTAGCGAGCCACCATTTTTTGAAAAAAAATGTCAACACCAATACTAACATGTTCTTTTTCTAATTTTTTTGTTTCCAAAAACATATAATTCTCATTTAGCTCTTATGAAACTATTAATCTACTTTGAAAAAAATATTCTTTTTTTCTACAATCTAACAATCCATTACCACTCATAAAAAGTCAAATTGAGCCTTATTTAATAATTACGACCATTTTTAGATGTCAACATAGCAGGCCAGTATTGTTGGAAAAAAATGTTAACACCAATGCCAACATTATCAATTCCCCACACAAAATCTTTGGATTAGTGGTTTATTTATTCAGTACTATTATCATGGACTGTACTTGTTCAGATTAATTATTCACTTAAATAGTTTGAATCCTTTTTTCAAGTCAAAGTTACCACAAATCGATATCGGTGATAACACACCTTGTTAAGTTAATAATAAACCTCATTATTTAAAAAAACTATTCGTTAAAGGAAAAACAAAGGAATTCAAAAATTAAAACTAAAAGCATGTAATTACTTAGAATTTTTTTTAAAAACATAAAGCTAAAAATTATTCTATTTTTATGTATATGAATGAACTATTTGAGTAGTAATTTAAGAAATATTCTTGATTTCATAAAAATTTGTTATCATTTTTAAGTAATTATCATGTTGCATGGTAAATATGATTACTTCTGGCACAGTGAAACTGGTAACCAAGTGTAAATACAAAATAATAAAATGTACGCTCCAAAAAAAAATTCACAAATTTGTGAATTTTTACATAGTTTATAAATTAAGTATTAAGGGGAGTGTGATAAAAAATGTAAACATCATAGTCGAACTTTGAAATTTGGATCCATGGGTGGTACCAATCTTGTTACTATTAAAGTAAACATTATGTTATAGCTGGTCATTTCAACCGTGCTTAAATAATAATTATAATATTTATTTATAAACAAAAGCGAAAAACAAATAATAATAAAAAAATAAGGGATGATGAATTATTTACCAACTGATAATCCACGAATTAACAATGTTAAGCAATTCGTTACAAATATGAATTAACATTATATCATTTTAACCTAGGTTTATTCGGGAACAAATTCAAGTTGAATACAAAAATATCAGGGAGGACCAATCAAACATATTAGCAGCCTTTTAATATATCTAAGGGATTTTTAGTAACCTGAATAACAATAATTTTTAAGAAAAAGGAATATTTAGTTTGAAAGTTGATTTTGTTCAATGATTGACGGGAATCATTCTGATTAAATTGCCTCTTGTAACAAAACATCTCAAACCAGTTTAGATTTTGGAGCAAAAGTAACATTTTGTGTTTATTATATTAATTCTATATTTTATGGTGAATACAATTGTTCTAAGCTTACCAAAAAAAAAAAGAAAGTAAGGGTCTCTTTTCATTTTTTTTCTACAGGTTTAACTATGTGAAAAAACAAGAAAATGCTAAATGGCTTAATACCATGGAGATTTACTATTATGTTAACAATTTTGATCAATGATAGTTTAATGCATGGATATATACACGTGATTACTTAAAGCCAAATTTGTCAATTAGTTTTTTTTTATTTAGAATTTTCTCGATATCATGTTTAGGTATTTATGAACAAATGACCTAGCTCCCCGGGTGATAATCCCCACAAGAAAACTATTTACTTGTAAAAGAGCAACTTTCAAAGTTGGCCTATTCATTTATTGGAAAAATAAACAAAAATTGTAGCAGATGTAAGGCACTAAATAGAAATCTAAAGAGGTAAAAAGACGATTGAAATGTTTAAAGAACTTGCTTAAGATGTAAAAAGGAATTTTCTGAGATAATCGACATGAAATCACTATCTTAACATACGAAATGATACACAAATGACTGGTTTCATTTCATTTCATTTTTTATTTAATTGGTTTCTTATTATTGGAATCAAAATATCACTTGATCAATTAATGGGGTTGAGGTGCTACAGCATAACAGTGTTTATGAAGTTTACTAAAAACTTACTTCAGCAATTGAGGGGTACTTTTTCTTCTGATTTTAAGATGATTTTGTTCCACTTGTGCGGTCAACCCAGAAAATAAAACAAATTTAAATAGTTGGTATATTGGTACATGCATACGGATTAGGTAAATATTAATAGGTAACATGCAAAACAATTAAAGAAAAATTGGCCTCGTTTACAAAAGAAAAGTTGAATTAGTTCTTGGCCCATTATTTCGATTCTTCAATTATTTCGTTCAACCGTTCCAAGCTTATTCTTTTAACGTGATTTTGAAAGCAAAATGCTTTTTTCAAATTGCAGGTATTTTTTTGTTTGCTGTGCCAAGAATTTCCTAATTTAGATTTAAAGTTTATTTATGGTACGAAATGTCGTCTATCTAAGAAATACGATTTACTTAAAAAAATATTGATGCATCGATGAGACCAAGTGGGGATCCGGCGAGAGACCGAAAGCAAAGAGGACTAGAATGGGTAAGCGGGTGAAAACAATACAGGGCTAGGGTTTTGTAAAAAAAGTGATCACTTTTTAATCATGATTTTTTTTTTAATGGAAACAGCTTTTTTAAGCGGGTATTTGTGTGCAATTTACGTAACTTTGAGAACTTGCAGAAGGGACCGAAGGCTCTCCGATATTTTGTTTATTTGTTTTCCATGAGGCTTAAATAGAATTCAGGGCCATAACTATGCCATAAGCCAAGTGATGTCCTTTGTTTTTTTTTTCCTACAACTATTTACTGCCTAGAATTTTTCTTTTGCTAAAGACTGATCAGTCCCTCATGAGGGAATTTTTTTTTATTATTTTCCTTCGAAGCTCAATGATCATATGGATCTTAAGAGAGGGAATCAAAAAATCTTTTCTCAGATAGTTTTTAAAAAGCGGAACTTCTTAATAAGAGAAAGAAAATCTTAACCAAATTTATTTATCGATAACAGAATTTTATCTTGAATCCCGAAAATACCGCGGTGAAAATTACAGGTTCCGATCACATGACTCCAATAGCAACAAAAATCCAGAAAATATACAGGAAGTAAACAAGCCTTTATCATCTGGCAAATTATAGGGGTTTTTGATGGTAATCTCACGTGCGTAGGGTAGAATAATTAAGACTTATGATAAAGCCGTGTTACACATACGTGCAGATTTAAATAACGCGGAAACAAAATCAAATCAAAACAAAACAAAAACAAAAAAAATACAAAAAAGGCCTAATTGACACCAATTGTAGAAAGGATAAATCAAATAGGGCAAACGCTTACAACGGCTGGTTTCCAAGTAATAATAAACAAAACAATACACATCGAGATGCGAGACTTATTTATTCAAAAGGCCCAAATGGCTCAAGACAAAAAGTTGTTCAAAATTCAAAATGAACACCAGAAAAATAAATAGATGAAAATTGCATAAAAAATTAAGAATATATACCTAATGTCTATTCACTCAAGAATCGGGTAGTTCAATGAAAATTGAATGAGAAACCCGATAGATCCGTCAGTGCCGGTAACAATTTACATTTTGGGGACTCTGCCCAGCTTTCCCTATAGGGCATGCTAGGCCAACAAACAAAAAAACTCACAACTTCACTATCAAAGAAAATATCTAAGAAAATATCTCAACGTTTAGATGTGTCTAACAAAATCTATTTATTTATGATAGAAAAATTATGCGCAATGATCAACCCTATCAATCTTTGAAGGTCATTAAATAACTTTTAATTGAAACGAAAACAAAAATATAAGAAATATATATATAAAAAAAATATAACAACAACTATAAATGCTAATTATATTTTTAAACCCACTGTAAACGGAACTACACCGAGGCGTCGACAAAAACGGAAGGCACCGATGAAGTGGAGATGCTCTATTACTATTACTATTACTATTACTATTACTATTACTATTATTATTAGAAAACAGAAGATTGATGCCTCCTAGAATGCACCGAGAAGTGGTAGTATTTAGTACCTTAGATATTGGAATTGATCAATAGTTGTTTAGGCTTAGGTATACCATTTTTAAGCCTCTATTTGAATAAGCTCCGGTCCCTATTATGCAGGGCGCCGGGGCCGGCATGGCCAATGCCGACCTCAACGCTCTATCCCAACTACTTTCACGACCACAACCACAAACTCAAACCATAAGTTTACAACATTAATAACCCATAAAGCGTAACAAAATGTATACAATAGGTATATCTTTAAAATAACTCAAACAACAAACATACACACCATCAATTCCCGCAGAGGTGAGTACGGTACTTTCCTGCCGAGATATTCTACATTTTCAATACACATTTATTGAAACTTGACATCGCCGGCCAAACACACACATATTTCCTGCTTCACAAATTATAAATATGCTAACAATTCCTCGTCTTTTTTTTTTTTTGTTTTTTCACATCCTACCTTGTCGCTAACACCCATAGCTTCATCAACCCTACTTTTTCTTTTCCAACAAACTATACAATATTATTTCTTTAATATCGGCAAAATATTTGTTAAATTAAATTAATATATTATAATCTTCTTGAAGATTACACAAACGCTTTTAAAGGTTGCCCAAAATTTTTTTTTTGGTTTCCAGAATTTTTTAATTAAATATTTATTTTTGTTCACGTAAGTTTTATCTCCTTGAAATATTTCATAACCTCAACTTGAGCTATACGCCTCAACTTTTAAAAATGGATTTTATTTTTTTTGTTGTTAAAAAGCTAACATTTTAAATTAAATAGCATTTAAAAATGCCTGAAGGAAACGCAGACGAAATGGAGTCTAATGCTGAAAAAGTTCAGCCATTTGACCCTGAAAACCACCCAGAACAGCTTACTGAAAAAAATAAGCCTGGAAATCCTTTGTCCAGATTTTCAACCAGATTGTCTCAGACATTCTCGAGATCCAGCGACTTGGAGGGTCAGAGTCCCGAAGCATTGTATTCTGATCAATTACAGAATGCTATGTCTAACCCTCAAACCGTTGAAAGAATTCAAACTTTGGCTAGAACTCTTTCACGCAGAACTAAGAAAGAAATGGAGCATTTTGAAATCAATGATGATGATTTTGATTTGAAAGCTATTTTGCAGTTTTTGCATGCAAAGTCTGAAGAGGAAAACATTACTTCTTCTGCTGCTGGTGTTGCATTTAAGGATGTTGTTGCTTGTGGCAAGGATATCAATGCTGTTTATGCTCCTACTGTTTACGAAATGATTCTTGCTGCTGCTAATTTTATTCCTAATTTGTTTAAAAAGGATACTACTCCTCACAGAGATATCATTAAGGGATTTGCTGGAGTTTTGGAAGCTGGTGAAATGTGTTTGGTTCTTGGTAGACCAGGTGCTGGTTGTTCTACTTTTTTGAAGGTTTTGACTGGTGAAACTGGCGAATTGACTTCCTTTGACGGTGAATTTTCTTATGATGGTTTATCTCATCACGAAATGATTCATCACTTCAAGCCTTACGTCATTTACAACCCTGAGTTGGATGATCATTTCCCCACCATTACTGTTAAGGAAACTATTGATTTTGCCTTGAAGACCAAGACTCCCAACAAGAGAATTGATAATTTAACTAGAGCTCAATACGTTAACAATATGCGTGATTTGTGGTGTACCGTTTTTGGTCTTCGTCACACTTATGCCACTAATGTTGGTAACGATTTCATCAGAGGTGTTTCTGGTGGTGAGCGTAAGCGTGTTTCTATTGTTGAAGCTTTGGCATGTAATGGCTCTATTTATGCTTGGGATAATGCTACCAGAGGTTTAGATGCTTCTACTGCTTTGGAATTTACTCAGGCTATTAGAACAGCTACCAACATGTTAAACAATGCTGCTTTTGTTGCCATTTATCAAGCTGGTGAGAATATTTATGAATTGTTCGACAAGGTTACTGTCATTTATTTGGGTAAACAAGTTTACTATGGTTCTGCCACCAAGGCCAAGGATTATTTTGAAAGAATGGGCTGGCATTGCCCTTCGAGAATGACTACACCTGAGTTTTTGACTGCTATTACTGATCCGAACGGTAGAACTCCTAAGCCAGGTTATGAAGGTAAAGTTCCCGAGACTTCTCAAGAATTTGAGGAGTATTGGTTAAACTCTCCTGAATATCACGAATTGATGGCAACTTATGATGATTACGTTCGTAATCACAATTATGACGAAAACCTTCACCGTTTCCAAGTTGCTACCACTGAAAAGAAACAAAAAATTCAGCGCAAAAGCTCCCCTTTTGTCGTTTCTTATTTCAATCAGTTGTATTACTGTGTTACTAGAGGTTTTCACCGCGCTAAAGGTGATACCACCTATATCTCAATTTATATTGGTTCTTTCTTAGTTAAAGGTTTGATTGTTGGTTCAATGTATTATAAGATTCCCGAAGATACTTCTGGTGCTTATTCTCGTGGTGGTATTCTTTTCTACTGTCTTTTGTTTGCTGCTTTGACTTCTTTGGCTGAAATTGCTCGTTCTTTTGCCAGTAGAAAGATTACACTTAAACAGAAATCATATACGATGTATCATTTGTCTGCTGAGGCCATGCAAGAAATTATCACCGAGTTACCTGTAAAGGTTGTTGCTGTTATCATTCTTTCTTTGCTTTCTTACTGGATGCCACACTTAAAACATCAAGCTGGTCCATTCTTCATGTATATTCTGTTCTTGGTGTTGGTCAATCAAGTGTTTTCATTCACTTTCAAGTTGGTCGCCACATTGACTTATGATGGTGAGACAGCCCATGCTATTGGTGGCCTCTGGGTTCTTATGCTTTCGGTTTATGCTGGTTTCATTATGAAAATGCCTTATGCTCATCATGTTCTGAAATGGGTTCATTGGTTAAATCCCATGTATTATTGTTATGAACAATTACTTACCACTGAATTTCACGGAAGAATGATGAAGTGTCATGAACTTGTTCCTAATGGCCCAAGCTATGATAATGTCGATATTGCTCATAAGGTTTGCAACCTTTTTGGTTCTGTTGCTGGTCAAGAATACATTAAAGGTGATGATTATATTAAGAAACAATATCAAATGGAATACAAGCATACTTGGAGAAATTTTGGTATTAATATTGCATGGACTGCTGGATTCATTATTATGTACTGTCTTCTTTCTGAGTACTTAAAGAATGTTGTTGGTGGAGGTGATATGTTGTTGTATAAGCGTGGTCATCTTCCTACTGGTAAGCAGGAAACTGCCGATGGTAGAGTTGCTACTCGTGAGGAAATGATTGTGGCTCTTAACGGTGAAGGTGTTGACTTGGAAAAGGTCATCGCTGAAAAGGATGTTTTCTCTTGGCAAAACTTAGATTATGTTATTCCCTACGATGGTGCTACTAGACAATTGCTTGATAATATTCAGGGGTTTGTCAAGCCTGGTACTATGACTGCTTTGATGGGTGAATCCGGTGCTGGTAAGACTACTCTGTTAAATACTTTGGCTCAAAGAATTAATTTTGGTGTCATTACTGGTGATATGTTGGTAAATGGTCGACCAATTGATTCTTCATTCAAGAGAAGAACTGGTTATGTTCAACAACAAGATTTACATTTGTCTGAGTGCTCTGTTAGAGAATCTTTGAGATTTGCTGCTGATTTACGTCGTCCTGTCACTGTTCCTCAAGCTGAAAAGTATGAATATGTTGAGAAGATTATTACCTTGTTAGGCATGAATAACTATGCTGAAGCTGTTGTAGGTAAGATTGGTAGAGGTTTGAACGTCGAACAGAGAAAGAAGTTGTCTATTGCTGTTGAACTTGTTTCTAAACCGTCTTTGCTTTTATTCCTCGATGAACCTACTTCTGGTCTGGACTCCCAATCTGCTTGGTCTATTGTTCAATTTTTGAGAGCTTTGGCCGACTCTGGACAAGCTATTCTCTGTACTATCCATCAACCTTCTGCTACCTTATTTGAGGTTTTTGACAGATTGTTGCTTTTGAAAAAGGGTGGCAAGACAGTGTATTTTGGCAATATTGGTGAAAACTCTCATGAGTTGTTGAATTATTTCGAAAGACAATCTGGTGTTAAGTGTGGTGCTCGGGAGAATCCTGCCGAATATATTTTGAACTGTATTGGTGCAGGTGCCACTGCTTCTGCTCATGAAGACTGGCACGATCTTTGGATTAATTCTCCTGAGTTTGCTTCTATTTCTGAAGAAATTACTACTTTGCATCGTGAGTTGCCCCAGCGACCTGTTGGAAATTCTGACGAGGATTTATCTGCAACTTTTGCTACTCCTTGGTTGCATCAATTATGGGTTGTTTTGAAGAGAACTTTCTTGCAATTTTGGAGATCTCCTGTTTATATTAGAGCCAAGTTTTTGGAATGTATTTGTTGTGCTTTGTTTGTCGGTATTTCATACATTGGATTGAATCATACTGTCGGTGCTGGTAACAGTTCTTTCTCTTCTGTTTTCATGACTCTTTTGATTGCTTTGGCTATGATTAATCAGTCCCATGTGTTTGCCATGCCTTCTAGAGAACTTTATGAAGTCCGTGAAGCTGCTTCAAACACTTTCCATTGGTCTTGCTTGTTGTTGGCTCATACTTTTGTTGAGATTTTCTGGTCTGTTGCCTGCCAGTTTATGTGTTGGATATGCTTCTACTGGCCTTTGGTTCAAGGTAATGGTTCTGTTTCTAGAAACGGCTACTTCTTTTTGACCTTTGTTTTGATTTTCCCCATGTACTTTATGTCTTATGGTTTGTGGATTCTTTACATGTCTCCAAATGTTCCTTCTGCTTCTATGATTAATTCCATGTTGTTCGCTGCACTGATGTTGTTCTGTGGTATTTTACAGCCTGAACAATTTATGCCTGGTTTCTGGACATTTATGTACAAGACTTCGCCTTTCACTTATTTTGTTGACTCATTTGTTTCTCCTCTTGTTCACAAGAGAAAGACCATTTGTGCTCCTAATGAGTTTTTGAGCTTTCCTCCCCCCGAGGGTATGAACTGTGGTTCTTATTTGGCTGCCTTTATGAATGAATCTACTACTACTGGTTATATTCAGGATTCTCTTGCTACAGATTTGTGCCAGTACTGCCCATTCAGCGTTCAAGATGAGGTTGTTGCTCAATTTAATGTCAAGTGGCATCACAGATGGAGAAATTTCGGTTTCTTCTGGGTTTATATTTTCTTCAACTTTGTTGCTATGTTGTTTTGCTATTGGGTATTTAGAGTTAAAGTCTGGAACCTTAAGTCTATTTTGGATTTCAAGACATGGTTTAACGGTCCTCACAAAGATAGACATGAAAGGGATACTACCATTTTCCAAACTCGCCCTGGTGACGATAAAATTCTTAAGCCTAAACAGGAGTAAATTTGAATTCTATTATAAAATAAAAAAAAATATCTATTCTCTTAACCGCATAATAATAATAATAGTATATAGTTTCTAGTCAGGTTCAATGCATTTAAATTAATTTTTGTCTTTACATAATTATTTTTTCACAATTTCCACAGTTAAAAAAATTATGATTTTTAATTAAATAATACTAATTTAATTTTTTTCTATAATAGTATTTAAGTCTGAAATGTGATTATTTCTTCTACTTAAATGATAAATTTATTAAATGATTATGATTAATTGGAATAAAATATTATCTCGATATCTAAGATATGATAAGGTGTATCAGAAGCGTGAACCCAATTTACGATGCTGCTATTACTAAAAGGATAGCGCAAATGCTGATGTTCTATCCTCTGAATAAAAACAAAGTAACGAATGCTATTACTAACCGTTTAGACTTTGCCCTAATCAAGATATTTTGAAAATAATATTCCACAGCCAATTAGTTAACCGTTTTGTACTGATTTTTGGAGACCATTGAACTTTTAAAATCTGGTAGAGGTAGACTTATATGGTTTCCAGTGATACTAATTGGTATCTTATAAGATACCAGCTTGGGATTGCTAAAATTATTAGTCATATATCTTTATATTAAGAGGGTTAGGGTTACTGAGGTTAGAAAAACTTAATTTTTCATTTGCAAATCTAAAAATCCCATCAAAAAATAGGATTAAAAGTTTTCTTGTTTAACATCGAATTTAATTTTTTGAAAATCTATATTTATCAAACCTTCCATTTTTTTTACATCATTATACTTAAGACCTGTTGCGCTTTTACACCAAAATTAGATTTATGATGAGACCCGGTTTAAATAACGTTAATATTTTAAAAAACTGTTCTCAAGCTTTACAAAAGTTTCGAAGTATTTCTTCATGCACAGTTGTTAGGGCGACACAAAACGATAATGTTTTTCATATCACACAACCTATTAAAACTAAAGACCACCCCGATCATTTAGAAAGAAACATTCCAACTGAAACAAATAGACTTGAAAAAACCCATGAGAGATTTTGGGAAAAAGTGACGTTAGGAAATACAAGAAAGGGATCTCAGGAATCTTCAGATTATGTTATTTTATTAGACGGTAAGCCTATTAAAACACCTGCTGGTAACCCTTTAGTTATTCCTTCTCAGAAGCCCTCATTAGCACAGCTTACTGCTCATGAATGGACAGTTCTTCCTTCTCTAAAAATTAAGCCTCATCTTGTTCCTTTAACTTCATTAGCTTCTCGTGCTATTGATTTAGCGTGGACTGAACATGGAAATCTTTCAAGAATTGACTCAGCTGCCTTGGAAAATATTGTTGAAGCTTTGTTACCATATCTTGATACCGACACACTTCTAGTTTTCGCTCCTTATCGTGATTGTGAAGGAAAGTTAAGACCCGCTCAAGAAAAAGAATATCGACCTTTGATTTCTAAAGCAGAAAAATTTTGGACTGATTCTTCCAAGTCCTCGAAACCTATGTCATTGAATTGGTTAGACTCTGAAACAATGGGATTTTCACTCAATAAACAATCATCCGAAACTAAAGAGGCTGTGTCCCAATGGATTAGATCGTTGGATACATGGAAATTAGTTGCATTAGAACGTGCTACTATGTCAGCTAAGAGTCTGATAATTGGAATGTTAGTCGCTACCGGTAACATTTCTGTTCCAGAAGCTGTTCGTGCTGCAACTCTTGAAACAATTTACCAAACTGAGTTATGGGGTGAGGTTCAAGATTCACATGACGTTGACTTTCATGACATGCAAAGAACCCTTGCCAGTGCCTATATTTTAGGTTCTGATAAATAATATTTTCAGATGTTAAACCATAAATATCCATTCCAATTTTTTTGTATATATGATTTATTAACATTATAAATTTAATATGTAGCGTTTGTTCTTAAAACTAGGCTTGCTTTGAAAGTTTTGGTGGTACAAAGGTCGAAGTAAAAGTAATAACCGAAGGTGCCCCTGAAATGTATTTATCTAAAGTCGAAGTACTGCTGTTTAATGATCTGTTAATGAAGATACCATTACTTTTTAAGTCATTAGATGCTGCTAATACTTTTGAGGTAATGTCCCTTCGAGATGCATCAGTGTTAAGTGCAAATTCTTCCGCCTCAAAAGAATTGTAAAATCTAAACATTAATGTTGATGGCCTAGAAAGGGCTTCACACTTTGGTTCACAATTTACTGATCCAATTTCCACATCAACTGCTGTCCCACGCCTAATTGATGTGTTCTTAGTAATAGCAAATTTAAAATTTAAGGCACCCAAAGAACATTCAACAAAACCTATACTATTGGATTTCTTGACAGAGACTTTAATCAACATGTGGGAAGCAGAAAATCTTTGCCATTTAGAATCTTGCCATTTAGATACAATACTTAAAGTTTTTAAAATAACTTCTTCATCTTCCATTGGAAGTTGAAGCGTTGTTTGGGATTGCGACTCAGGAAGTGAAATAGATGGTAAATAAGAGTAGAGAGTGGAATCACTAGCAGATCTTGATGAACGAAGCATTAACGCTTGATTTCCACTATTTGGTAAACTTTCTTCTGGATTTGAATTTGAGTCACTAGAAATATTAACAACTGAAACATTTGTTTTGGTTGTTGCTGATGGGAGAGTGTTTTCAGAATCCTCTAAATCGTCACAGTCACCCGAAAATTCTTCTTCTAGAATTTTTGAAAGACATCTCTCATTTCGAATAGAACTAGAAAATTGCTGACGAAAGTGAAGAGGGACCATAGTTTTTTTATCATCCAAAAAACTTTCTTTTTTATTTTCTAAAGTTAATTCTTCATCTGATAACTCAGGCAAATAATTTTGTCCCATTTTTTGAGTCTGCGATTTCGATTTGAAAAGTTGTCGAAAGGCCCCAATCAATCCCTTAGTATGCTTTTTTTCTTTCAAATAATAGAAATTTTTTTCTAAGTTATCGGTAACATTGGTATTTTTGTTTTTTGAAAAAACTTCAGAGTTTATTATATCTTGATCAAAACTTTTTGTTGAAGTATTTAGTAAATTCATTGAAAATTTATCATTTTCAAATTTGGAAACCCAATTATCCTTAATTTCAATATTATCAAACTCTTTTTTTTGAGTTTCATCAAACTTTAAACATTCTTGAACAGGCAACATCTGACTTTGGGATATTTCTGCATAATTCATTGGTAAAACCTCATTAATCAACATACTAGGCTCTTGGTATTCAATTGTTCCCAAACTATGTGATGATTTGCTTTCATTGGCGTCGTCAATTTCGTCATCACTTGCCGTCACATCTTTTTCGCTTTCACCTGTTTCAGCAACAGAATACCTTAGATTAATAGAATCTGGTTTGCTAATCACAAAAGGTTGAAGTTCAGGAACCGTGTCTAAGGAAAATATATCCGAAGAATCTGATTCAATTGAATCCATAGAATTACATCGTTCAATTTTAAATATGTGTTCATCATTTAAATCCAGTGATTTTGATGATCTGGAGTTAAGAATATGTAATCCCCTAAACGGTTTTCCCAGGATGTCGTCATGACATGATCCAAAATTTAAACTTAAGGCTTCATTGCTGGTGTTGTATAAATCCGATGTATGTGAACGACAAAATAAAATATCTAAGTTTTTTCTCCATTGATCTGATAAGTCCAATTCGTTCGTGCTTAAACAAATCATCGATCCATTTGTATCTTCTAAAAGAATGTCTTTAGGCGAAATCGAAGAATCAAAAGGGTAAAATCCAATGAGGTGATTAGTTTTTAATGTCGCTAAATTCCTTATCTGTAAATTACCTTTGCGAAACGGAGGAAATATTAATGCTCGACCAGGGTATTCTTTATAACAGAGGACTAATGAGTCAAGTTCGTTTTCAAAAGCTGATTTCAATAGCAATGCTTCTACTTCACATGGTGTCCATTTCACGCCATAATTATGATGCAAACTGAATGTAAAATTACTTCTTGTTACAATGAGATCCTTGTCAAAGTTTGCAGAGACAGGTTGCAATGAATCAAAGGAAAGAACTTTATTAAAAAAAAATAAATTCATATCAAGATTTTTTAACTGAGTTTCAACCTTTTGACGAGCCAAGTGTACTGCTTTGCTAAATATTCGTTCACACAGTCTGTTGTAGTCTTTAAACAAAGTATGCTTTTCTTCCAAGACCTCATCCTCAAAAATGCGATGTTCATTTTGAACATTTTTCTCTAATAATGTTAATTTCTAAACAATAATACGTTAGAAATAAAGTTAAATCTCTGAGACCATAAAACATTTAACTTACTTTGAACGCGTTAGCCAATAAACTGATTCTAGCAAAAGGGCGCTTTAAAAGAAAATTTACTTCGGGTAACTGATTGGGATCATATTTAAACAAATCAATATATTCCGTGTAATATTTATCTGCTTGAATTACCTGTTATCCGATGGTTAAAAAAGAAAATTATTATTTGCAGTGGTTAAATCTTACCCATCTTCCACGAGCTTGAGGGTTCTTCAAATAGTCTGGGAGCTGGTGTAGTTGAATAAGGTTATATATTGTATAAGCCAGTCTGTGAGATGATTTAAGGAAGCATTGTAATGATTTCAATTCCATAACATATTGCTTATCCGAATCGTAAATACTTTGAACCAAATTTCGAACGTCTAAAGATGACGTATAAGAGTTATTTTGAGATATCATATGAAAGAAAAAACAAAAAATTCAATTTTCAAAAATAGGTACAAACTATTTGGATCCGTCAATTCTAATAAAGAATCCAAAAAAAAAAAGATTGAAGAAAAAAATAAATAGAATTGGGGAAATGCCCCTTTAAATAACATCTTGAAGTTTTTTTTTCTTTTATGAGGTTTTTACAAGAATTCTTTTAATACGCGTTATGAGCGCGTTGTCGGAATGTGTACCTGCATGTTATTAGATAAAAAGTAAATTAAGATTACGATGCTCTGACGGGTCATGAATATTTATTATCACTATTGCCTAATTTAGAATTTGAATACACGAAAATAATTATTTTTAAGTCGCGTTAAATACCGCGAACTAAATGGGTGACCATATTAATGATTTAAATAAATGACAGTTATTAATAGATTTTTGATAAAGGACTTTTCACAATCTCTTAAAGATATTTATATTTGTTTATTAAGTTTAACCGATTTTTTTTAGGTTAATTTGGGTTTAAACATGGGAATCATAATAAGTTCTGTTTTTTTGTAGATAAGTTTTTTTTAAATGTAACCCAGGACTATCATAATTATGATAGTATTGTTATCAATACAATTAATTACATATTGTAAGCTTTATTTTGAGATAAAAAATTTCAATACTAATAACACGTTTGTCAATTTTAAATTATGTAAAGAATAAAGAACTTAGTTCTTTATCAAATTAAATTTGTCTTCAAACTTATAAAAATTTAACATATATACATTTTGCCCTTGTAAAATAAAAATATCCATAAAGCAAACACAGATCTACAATATTAATGCCATTAATGTAATCAATTCAAAATCAAGAATTTAAAATATTGGGAAATTAACACATAAAATATTTTACACTAAGCTAAGAATATTTATGTCTAAATACAAAAGAATTATTTTTTCTTAACAAAACGAAGATCATTGGGACTGAATCCCCCTTCTTCTGACCCATATATAGCCCAACTTTGAGTAGGTGCAATATAATCCATAGGGCCAAAATCTTTTCCAGCTTCAAGCAAATTAAAAAATTTATCATAATCAATTACCGTATGCCAAACACCATCAACCTTAAACCTATTTTGTGCAATAAGAATGCAACAGGAATGTGCATGTTCTGCTGCAATTCCATACTCCAATCCAAGGCGACCCAGAGCAGCGTTCAGATTTTCCACGAAATCTTTAACTTCCTGATAAAAAGGAATGTTTTTCATGGTAAGAGAGCTGGTTTTAGACGTTCCACAAAATGTGGCGCCTTTGATTTCTACAAAGCATGGTTCACCACGTGCAATAAGTTTCGCGTATTCATCATAATCACTCATGTTGTAACCCGAAACAAGAGTCAAACGAAAAACAGTGCGTTGCTCTTTCTTTTCACGCAAAATATCAAGGCATTTTAGGAAACGGGTCCAAAAATCACGATGAAGAGGCCTATCCACCTTTTTCAAGTTTTCTTCATTAGATGCATCCACGGATACGTATAATTGAGTGACTCTTTTCAATCGGGAGAGCTCATCCGGATGTTGTGCATTGCATACCAAAAAAGATGAGATACGCTGGGAATGCAGTAGATCCACAAAATCATTAATATAAGGATAAAATATCGGTTCTCCAACTAAAGATAATGCACAGTGGCGAACTTGAAATGCCTCAGCAAACCTAGATGCAACAACTCCAGGTACTCCCTTCATTTGTTTTATCTTTTTGTAATGACCTTCGAGTGCACCTTTGAAAATAACCTCAGGTGAATCTACCTGCCAGCGCCAAGTAGTACCAACAGGATTTGTTCCATGCCTCCAACAAAAAACGCACTTACTTGAACAAGCAAGTGAAGGTGTAGTTTCCATGCATAAATGACTCTTAATACCGTAAAAGGAATATTTATAGCATGATCCACGTCCACGTAAAGCTGATTTTGTCCAACGACAAATTTTTACACCAGAATGAGACCCAACAACAGTATATCCTTGTTTTGTCAACGCATTGAATGTCGGTGTGCTTTTCCCCACCATTTCCTTTATTAAAGAAGAATCTTGACTTCTGGAATTAGCTGTGGCTTCAATAGATGGACCTATATCTTCCACATCAACAAGAGTAGCGTTAGAACTAGACTCTAAAGATTCTATATCTTCAGATTCAGACTCGGATTCAGAGTCCGAGTCCGCAATACTATTAGGTTCAGAAAGTACTATCTCATCTTTCAGCGTTGAAATCAAATGTTGTAACCACACATCAAATTCCTGATCTAAATTAGTTTTAACGCACCCCATTCCCAAAGGAAACAATCTCGGGGCGCCAAGTTTACTCAACCATTTATCGATTATTTTTCCTTGATAACAATATTTTGAAGATTCGGGCCAACTTTCTTGATCACCTATTCCAAAAACTGAGAATCCGGCTATTAAAGAAAGGGTTCGAGAGTCCACACGGAAATCATTATATGTTTCTTTTAATGATTCAATAAAGTAATCTAAAGGTGATTCAGTTTCATATGAAGGAACGATGAATAGATAAATTGGTGGAAAGTGAAAATCCTTAATTGTCGGAGACACAAAATACTTATCAAGATCATCTATATAATCAATGTTTAAGAGAACCGGGGGATTGCTTAATACCAAGGAAATTTTTTCAATGGCCAAATTGGCAATTTTTTCTGAAGTTCCTGTAAGAGTAGAATAAAAAATGTAAACTGGACTATTTAGAGATGGTGGCGAAAGTTCAGAATTTAATTTTCCTAATTTTCGGGATACAGCAATCGATTTTTTCGCTGAAAAAACCTTTGGTGCCTTTTTTGTTTTAATTTTTCTTTCCTGGGAAACTTGATTTTCAGTTGTTGTAAAGTCAATAGCTAATGGGTAAGATTTAACTACTGGAATATTGCCCTTATCATTGTTATTAATAAAGTCCTTATCAACAGACTTTTGGGTATTATAGTTTGAAGCTTTTTTATCTGGTTTAAGACTAGGCGGCTGTTCTTCGCTGGTTATGCTGAAAGTGCTAAGTTCCCAGTATTTGAAAATCCCGAATACCACAACAGTTGTTAAGACAAATGGCCGAGCAAAATGCCACGCATCTAATATGTTAACTCCTATAGCGTCTTTTGTTATTATGTTGACTAGAATAAATAAATTTGTATTTAAGCTTACCCATTATGCCAGTCTTCTAAACAAGATTGTTGGTAAGGTATGTAAAACGAAATTTTTGATCCCTTCATAATAAATGGTAAAAAATTTTTCGATCGAAATAAAAATAATTACCTAAGCAATAAATTAAACCAACAAAAAATATGATCACATGACATAATACTGATTTGAGATTAAATATAGTTAGATATGGATTATTAAGCAAAGTTATTGATCATTTATGTAAGTAAGTAAATTACATTGCGGATGAAAAATTATACATTATTGCAACTCAATAAATATGCAAATCAAATTTATTACAAGTAATATTGCAGTCATGTAAAAAAACAAAATAAATGGCTGTCAAAATCCGATAAACCAACCTATCTTTATTTTTAAAAACTACGTTACAATAATTCTGAAGATAAATGGGCAATAATAAACATGACCATAACAAATAATATAAAAGGTAAATGCGTAGAAAACGCAAAATAAGATTTTCCATTTCTATGTAGCATACTTCTTAGTCCACTCTGCAGCAGTGGCTTCATATCTTGCTCTATCATTCTTGTAAAGGTGTGCAATATCGGGAACAAGAGGATCATCAGGATTAGGGTCCGTAAGAAGAGAACAGATAGAAAGAAGAACTTTAGAGATAGTTAGCGCAGGAGACCATTGATCCTTCAAAATATCGAGACAGATAGATCCATTAGCGTTAATATTGGGATGGTATATCTTAGTTGTGAAAGCAACCTTAGGAGGCTTAAAAGGATAATCTGTGGGAAAGTTGATTGTTAGAAAAAAAACGCCACCAGCGTATGGACTATCATTTGGACCCATGATAGTTGCTTGCCATTGAAACATATTATCACCATTAGGGCCTGCGGAGCAGGAGGATGGGGGATCATTCCCAAGATCGTTTAACTCCTTGTTGATTCGTTTTAAAGCCATCGTGATATAAATAAAATACTTTTTCTAACTTCGAAAAGTTTTTTAACACTGTTAAATATCAGTAACAGAAAAGGTGTGGGTTTTAGTTGAAAGGAAAAAATTAAGAAAAAAAATCGGCAAAAGTACCACTCAATTTATATTACGTGGCACGTGACAAACAAATGACTAATATTTAAGTAATAAAATTAATAATATAAAGGTCGTACCATTAATAATTATAATCATTAAACTTATCACAACAAGTTTAGAAAGTACTAGAAGCGATCTCTTTAAAAAAAATTTTTGATAAATTTTTTTAATGTTTAACAAATAACTGATTTGGTGAAAATTCTATGCAGTAGTAGAAATGTTGTAATTGTGGTAAATGTATTGATCATGAAAATTTAAGCATATATACAAAATTGATAAATACAAAATACTAAAGTATATTAGGCGTATTTCATTTCGCCAATAGAATTGTATCTGACTTTACGGTTATGTTTTTGATCGTCCCTAGAAGCACCATAACGGAAACCGACCTCACCCACTTTTGCAGGAATAAGTTTTAGTAATGATTTTTCTCCTTTAAGATCTTTGGCAAAAATAGATTTTTCCAAAGTTTTGGACTGAGTTGAAGCACGGTGCTTATGATGATCTTCAGTTGATTTAAGCTTGTCTAATAAGGTTGACGCTGATTCGATCCCAAGAACGTTGGCGGCATCGATAGGACCAAAGGGCTCACTCTCAGCAATAGTAATGAAACGTTGAGATCTAGTTTCTTCAAGCATTGGAATTTCAGATAGGTCATCAGTTGGAAGAAAATTGTTTCCGTTATTACGATAATAATCTACTTTAGGAAGCATTCCTTCCATGACTCGAGCCATTCGTTTAAGATCAAGATTAATTTTTTTCTAAAATATTAGTCCACAATTTCTTTGATGTTAAAATAAATTGAAAATACATACTTCAGTGTCCCATTTTCGTCTAACCCTTTCTAATTCGACAATAGCTTCCACACGAGGAACCGAAAGACCATATTTTATTGAAGCCTCTTGAGCACTAAGTTTACCACTTTCAAGATCTTGAAAAATATCATTTTTCATATTTTGAGGAACAACTTTGTTTGTAACCGTATGAGGGTTGGTAGCAAAGGGAGTAGAGGAAGTAACTCCTACAGGACGACGAGGAGAATTCTTGCCATCAACAAAAACCTTCATCCAGTTGACGCCTTTACCATCACGATGAGAGACTCTGATTGGATATTGCGAAACATAATTAGTTTGGTGATTTGCTGAAGGGAAAAAAAAAGGATTGAGTTTATGAAATCCTTTATAGTTGCGTGGTCCAAGAAAACGTCGAAGATCAGATCGCATGCTTGAGGTCTGATTCAAAACCTTTTGAGATTTCTTAGAAGCATAGCGAACCTGACCCAGAGCCGGAGTTTTAGCAAAAACGTTTAACGATTTCCCCGTCAGCATTTTAAAAATTTCAAGCTTGTTGAGTGAAAAAAAAGTCAAAGTAAGTTACCAACATTACTAAAGTACAGAAAAAAAAATTCAAATCAAATGAAATCACGTGAAATTTACATTACTACTTATCTTACAACAAGTCAACCGATTTAATAGTAAGTTAATTCTAATGTATCTGCGAATTTTTCATTAGGTAATAAAGCAGCTTGATTGAGATGTGCTTCTAAGTCCGACACAGTGGATTTCTTATGGATTTTCTGCGCATCTTCAAAAGGGATTCTTCGAATAATTTTTTGCCCAGTTTCGGGATTTCGTTCCATCTGTTGTTGGAGCCTTATTTGTTGGCGCTCTACTAAAAGAGTACCGGGTGAAAATTTGGGGAATGGATCAATGTTAGCTTTGTCTGTAGTAGAATCAATAACAAGCGAGTCCTCTGATTCTTCTCGCGATTCATCAATCTCTCCTACATATACCACATTTTCTCCTCTAACAATAAAAACTCCTCTATAAGTCTCTCCAAATGTGCTTGAATTAATGTATATTCTTTCTAAAGTATCCTGTACTACTAAATTTGCTGAAATAAAAAATTAGACAAAAAAAAACTACAAGAAAAATAGAAAACGTACCAAACTGGTCAAATGAACGAAGAACACCAAAAAACTTTCTTCCATCACGGAGAACAACGACTACTCTTCTGTCTATAGCTGGAAGAAGTGCAGCAACTGTTGTGAATATTTGTGAAGGAAGAATATTAGAATTATTTGGGTCAGATGAAGAATCCATTTTTAAAATATAATCATATATGCTTCCTAAATAATTTTTTTGCTTTTCGAATAACTAAAGGTCACTGAAAATTAAAGTCTTGCGATGAGTTTGATCTCAAGTACAACAAGTTAATCCTTTCTTTTTTTTTTCCTTGGTGTAAAATGGTGGGTTAGGGTAATTATTTATCAATTTATGAATATCAAAAGATGACAAAATAATGATCCGAACAGGAAAAAAATATTAATACAATTTTGATACTTATATATATTAATTTTTTTTAAAAAATATTAGTTTAGTAAAATATAAGAGTTAAATACATTTATGTTCAACGTTCAAAAAACTTCAGATTCTTTAGAAAGAGTCGAGTTAGAAGCTTTTGAATTAGAAAAACCACTAAGTTGGTAAAATGTTTCCCAGATTTCAATAGCCTCTTTCTGCGCTTCTACAGCATTTTCTAAATACAACTCAACAGAATTCCGAAAATCATTTGCCTTAGACTGTTCAAAACGTGAAAATTCACTGATTATCAATTTACTTATATCGTCAAAAGCAACTCGTAAATTGATCACTTTTTTTTCTTGTTCATTGACATCATCAGTCAAATATGATATTTTATCTTGCAAGGTTTTGGCTTGTTTTTTTACCTTTTCTAGATTTTGACGTTTTTTTGATAATTCTTGTTCAGCAAGTTGCATTGAAAAATATGCTTTTTGTCTTTGAATGAAAACATTCCTAATAGAAGCAATAAGTCTAATATATTCTTCAAGTGTTGATCCTAAAGAAAGGATGTCTTGCATACATTGTCGAAAATAGAGATCTCTTACACGAGATTCTACCGATGAAAAACGATCAATGAGTTCACCAAATGATTTTGATAATTCGACATTTGAAAGTGAGTTTAAAATAGCACCGAACTCAGCAGTTGCATCACTTAATTCCTTGCGTTGAGTCACCATCATATCCAAAGACTTTTCCAAATATTTAAATTGAGATTCCAAGGAATCTACGTACGCTTTCTTTTCTAAAAACCATTCATCAGTTTCAACATACTTCCCAGAAAATGAGAAATGGCCTCCTAGACCCATAAAGCCTTTTGATTCAACACCGCCATTAACAGTTGAAGTTTGGGCTTGATACTGCTTGGATTTGATATCGGTAGAAAAGGTTTCTGATTCTAAAAATATTCTAAAATCCGGATCATTTTGAAGAATAGAATGTGACGCGCATTTGTTTAGCATTGTTTCCAGAGACGAACGACGAGATTCTACAAAATCTTCATTGAATCGGCCAACAGCTTGCTTTTCGGGAGGTGGTGGGATAATGACACCAGGATTATTGTTTTCTAACGCATGGTACAACCATCTAAAGTCTTTGTATCGTCGAGTCACACTGGTTTCCGAATTGTTGAATTTAGGAGAATTGGTTTTAGTGTGAACGGTGTAAACTGTATGGGCCGATGTTAATTCTCCAACTTTAATTGGGTCACCAACAGTTATATCAAAAGAACTTTGATTTATTTGAGCTGTCGAAGAGTGTTCCTTAACTGAAAGGCGGCTAACATTTTCAACAAGTTCACTAGGACCAGAATTGATTAATGGAAGAACGGAGTTCTGAAGAATTTTGGGCTGCACAGCATCTTCGCCAAAAAGAGCTTGTCTTTCATTGTTAGAGTTAAAATGATTTATACTAGTAGTAATAATTTGATCACCATAACTTAGGGTAGTTTTAATGGGCTCAGAGTCGGTAACATTTCCACCCAAAGGACCTAAAGGATCAGTAACTGGTACTGATTCAATTTGAACTTTAGGTCCTGATTTTTTATTAAAACGAGAAGATCTAAGTGTCGATATTCTATAATGTTTTGATTTTTGAGGACTAGAATTAACTTCAGACTGAGAACCAGAAGAGTTGGGCAGATGGTGATCATTTGGTGAGCTTGGTAAAGATTCTTCTGTAGATGAGCCGTTTTTTTTTAAAGAGTTGTTTGTGGAATTCGATGTTTCGACAGAGGTAAATGCATCTCCCCAATGAGAGCTGCCAATATCTAGGTCATCTTCAGACATTTTGTTTTGAATGTTAAGTTTAATTTTTTATTTGAAGCAAGACTGGTTTATAGCTTTTGGTGTTGTGTCAACTTTGAAAGTCTTCAATACACAGAGCACGACTTACGAAAAATACGCCACTTACTTAATCTCAAACCAAACCCTAACCCATAAAGCAAATATATTAATATGTAATGCATAAATCTTAAGATATGATAAGCAAGGTCTAATTATTATTATATATTATTATAATAAACTATAATAATAATGAATATTAAAATATCCTTAATTAAGATTTAAGAAAATGCTTACAAAATTTTATTAATGTAGTTTTGTAAATATTCTTGCTTTTCTTTTTGTCTCGATTATGATCATAATACCAGGAATATTTATGATAACGTATTTGAAAACTGTATTGTTAAAAAAGGACACAAAAAACTGTGTTGAGCTAACATTACATGTCACAGTAACAATGTGTGTTTACAAAAACCATATACACTTTATATGAAAATGAAAATAATTTATTGCACTTGAGTGCATATATGTAGTAATAGTATAGAATAAAGTAAAATAAAACTTTTAAAATAATTGATTTAAAGAATAATTATCAACCCATAAAATTTCGATAATAAACTGTGAACTTGAGCTTAAAAAAAATTCCACCTTGCATATGATATACATAATTAAAAATCAGATTTTTTCTGGGACCCTGAGAAACCGGATTAGGGTAGTTGAAAACAAATCTCAAATTTTTCTTTTGTTGTTTTATTCTTCACTGGTGATGTGTTATTAAGTGATTATGTTTGATGTTGCTTCTTTTCTTCTAATTATAATCGACTATTAGTTAACTTAAATCTATTTGGAAGCCCACATAAGTCTATGCTATTGACTTGAGCTCAAATGTCTGTTTATCTCCATAACTAGCCAAGTTACAATAAACATTTAAAACTCATCAGAACTCATCACAACTCATAAGAATTCATCAATTGCATAAGCATGTATTATATTTAACTTCTGCACTCTATTATTGAACTACGGGTTGCAAAGGACTTTAATAATTTCAATACCAAAACAAAGAAAACCTTTAATTCCCATATTTTTAAAATTGTTTCTTACAATGAATACAAAACATCGGTGTTTAGCCAGAATTTTTCAACAATCGTAAATCATAATGATAAAACTGTTGTAATACAATGACATATTTTGAATTCAGTTTATTTGTATTAAGATTTCAAGGTCAAAAAGTTCTGAAAAGCAATTTGATGTTCACTATGACGTATCGGTAGTCGGAAATATTTAAAATTTTGTTTATCTAAATAATCTTGTAAAACAACTCACCCATATTACTTACTAACGGATCCTTAATGGTTTTAAAAATCATTTGCTATAACCAAATAGCCTACAGAACCATAAATTTTTACAACTGCAAAAATTCACCCAGTTCATAGCAACATTGAAACCATTTCAAGGGATTCTGACTTAGTATTCAACATAATATTAATTAATCAATACAGTATACATGTATTATGATTTTCAAGGCTTAGCCATTTCTTGAAATATTAAACTACAAGTACTTAACATCTTGCCAGGTTGATTATTCTAATATTTAAAACTGCTATCGTAAACTTTTGCCACAATAGTTAATTTAATTTCTGCCTCATTTTTTAACTAATCTTTTTTAATTGAAAAATGTTTATGGATGATACCAAGCTACCAGATATTTCAAGTTAAATTATATTACCTTTGTTCACCCTATTTTTATTAACAACCTCTTTCATGACTAATCTTGGGCAATAGCAACTACCACTTTCACCTTAACAGAAATTAGAGGTGAATTATCGAAGCAACCATTTAATAGAGTCAGAATTTTATGCAATATCCGTTTAAAGCCTTTTCTTCCAGCTAATGAGATGCGAAGCATCTTATGTTTTTCTTCTCGTCATACTTGTGCTATCAGTTTCAATACCGAAGATATGTGCCAAAATTGCCATCACCTGGATAATAATGCGTAAAATCTTTATGACCTAATACCATATGGCATAAGCTTTTTATTCATTAAAATAAGCGTAAACTCATTTTGTTAAAGTAATTTTCTCTATCATATTGAATTGTTCAAATGCAAAAAGTTTAAGCCATTACTGCATATTCTCACGTATTGCCAAATTTTTTCCATAGAGATTGCTTCCAAAAAAGGATTCACAGTGTATTGGCAGTCAAATATTGATACCAATATTTTTAATACAACGCCGTTTTTTTTTTGCAAATTTGATAAACCCCGAACCAACTCCATGTCCAATCATTGACTTTATAACTAAACAGTAAGAAGAAACAGCCACTCGTTTTTCTTTGGGTATTTTTTAGTTTAATACTAGTAGTTTGTGCAATAAAACGTTAGTTGTTTAGAGCGAAGTTTCTAGTAAACATCTCACAACAATAATGAAACATGTGCTTTACGATTTTATTGTTTGTTAGGTTATTCTTATCTAATGGTTGTAGATATCTATCATCATGCTGATCAGACTTAGCTATATCCTTTTTCATTCCATATAAACTTCTGTTTTCACAATATTATTTTATTTTGACTTCAGCATCAGCATCTCTGGAATTTTGAATTTTGCTGAGGTTAATATTGTTGACATTAATATTTCAACTGTTGATATTTGTTTTTCTAAAGATTATTTTACTTGTTTCTGAGGAATATAGTTTTGTTGTCACAAATTCTTTTTTTCAGTTAGTACATTTTCTTTTACATTTGGTGATGAGGAAACGGTTTCTTTTCGTATTGTTATTTTCACGAATTTAAATTATCATAATTATTACTTCAGCCATTGCTTGATTGATGTTCCATTATACATCGGTTACCATTTTTCTTAATGGTATAATTCTGAAATATTTTTCTGATATTTGTTTCCTATATTCTCAAAATTCATAGTTTATTGTTTCAGACTATTATAATTCTAAATTCAGGTTATGAATTGTTGTCCCCTAATACTTCAATGTGGCTATGTATAAAAATTTTATGGTACTAGCCGCATATATTAACAATATTTACTATCTAATTGTAAAACTAAGGATTTGAATATTACTGATCAAACCTACCGTTTTGAATCTCTTATATATCATGAAATTAAATTGAAAAATTGGAGTCAAAGGTTTAATTCCGTAATTTTAGCCATTAAATAATCCAATAAAAGGATTGTGAATATGGCGGTTACGAGATTATCACCACGAACTAGAGCGATTTTTCAGTCATCCTTTTATTACAGATAATAAGCTGTCGATATATAAATTGTTAAGCGAGAAGTAAGCTGAGGTATTGTGTTAAAGGTAACACTATTAGGAAAACTTTAATTTTGTCTTATTGATAAATATATAAAACTATATGTATAGAGCAGTGGTTGACTTTTGTCATTTTATTGATTTCAAGACTTTTTTTATTATGTATGATCTAGATTGAAATATCTGGATCTCCTTAGAAAATGTGACTTTAATTTAGTTATAATGGGGTTCATTTATATTTAGTGACTTATTGTTAGTGCCCAATATAAACATTAAAATTGTCTTTTCATATATGGTTCTTATAAAATTTGAGTTAGAAAACAATAAATTAAAAAACTATAATTACAGCATGAGATGTTTATAAACATAAAGAAGAATTTGTAAAAAATATTTGTTTAAATAAAGGTTATTTTAAATTTTGAGTGGTTTAAAATCAATATAGGACCTGAACATTTTAATGTAAATCAATATAATATATTGACTTTCAGACTAGAAGATGGTCTGAATCTAACTCCACAATTTCTTAAAAGTGGTAACTACTAAGTGACTGGTTCCTGTCAACACCAGTCGGTAAGAATATATTTTCAAAAGCCAAAAAATAAAATTTAAATTTAAAAAGAACGGTTCAATAATTAAGAACAAAATTCATTAGTAGGTAAATAATATTAAGGAAAAAACCTAAGAAAATGTTCCAAAAGATTAGATAAATTTGATAAGAGAAACTAATAATTCCTATATATAAGATTTCATTTCTAACATAAATACAAGAGTTTGGTCTAAGATATTTATATTTAAATATTTTTAATGGCAAAATGGTAGGAGATTTAATTAATAGTTACATATGGTTAACTAAGAATAGTCATTGCAAAAAAAAGAAATAGTAATGGCTGTGGTTTGACTAAGGAATTCCATAGATTTTAAGATAATTATACATGCAGCCTGTTGTTGACCCATAGATCGATGAAAAGAAATAAATTTGATAATTAAAATTTATTATCGCTGTTTGTTGTTTAAAAATCCTAAAAAATATTGAGATATTTCGTTAGCAAAGGGGGGGACAAAAGGGGGGAACAAAAGGGGGCAAAGGGGGGACAAAGGGGGGGGGACAAAGGGGGGGGACAAAGGGGGGACAAAGGGGGGACAAAGGGGGGACAGGGGGAGACAAAGGGGGGGACAAAGGGGGAGACAAAGGGGGGACAAAGGGGGGGGGGACAAAGGGGGGACAAAGGGGGACAAAGGGGGGGGACAAAAGGGGGAGACAAAGGGGGAGACAAAGGGGGGAGACAAGGGGGACAAAGACAAGGGGGGGACAAAGGGGACAAAGGGGGGACAAAGGGGGGGGAGACAAAGGGGAGACAAAGGGGGGAACAACAAAGGGGGAGACAAAAAGACAAAAGACAAAGGGGAGACAAAGGGGGAGACAAAGGGGGAGACAAAGGGGGGGAGACAAAAAGGGGAGACAAGGGGGGGACAAAGGGGGGACAAAGGGGGAGACAAAAAGGGGGGGACAAAGGGAGACAAAGGGGGACAAAAAAGGGGGAGACAAAAGGGGGGACAAAGGGGGGGGACAAAAGGGAGACAAAAAGGGGAGACAAAGGGGGGAGACAAAGGGGGAGACAAAGGGGGAGACAAAGGGGGGGACAAAAGGGGGGGACAAAGGGAGACAAAGGGGGAGACAAAAGGGGGAACAAAGGGGGGGGACAAAAAAGGGGAGACAAAGGGGGGGAGACAAAAGGGAGACA